AACGTAATCGTTCATTCGTTGTCATACTATGCCACGCCATCGCGTTTACGATATAATTTATTATAACGTGTGTACGGGTCGTTTTTGTATTTTTTTTTCGTCGCAAGTACACCAGAAATGTTTTCCGTTCCATATTGATTATGTTCTGGCAATTATTGTATTATTGTGCACACATCGGTTTTCTCGTGCGCCTTTATATATTGCAACTTTTATACAATTAGAAAAAATAAAATTGCTATTATTTTATACATAGGAGGTAGGTACACGCTAAAAATTAAATTTAAAAAAACCGAATAATGAAAATATTATTGAAAACCTCGCAGCCGTAGTAATATTTTTCCCCTCGACGGAAAGAGACATTTTTTAATATTAATCATGTATTATTATTATTATTACAAGCTCACTGGAATATCCGATAAATATATTTAATAATTTCTATAATATATTATAATAATATGTTCTAATCGAGTGTATCCGCGTTCACATCCGTCATCCATTCTCCCGTCCGTCCGTCTGTCCATCCATCACCATGCAGCGCGTGACAATAACCGTATATTTATCGAAAAAAAAAAAAAAAAAAAAAACAACGACACACGAGAGACATATTCATCGTGTTAAAATCGCTTCGAAGAAAAATGTTAAGTTTTAAACACGAGTTTATTATACGCGGGTGTGCGCATACCTGGATTTCGGGGGTGCCTACAATATTGTTGGGCCCATTTCATAATTTTTCTCTACAAAACATGTATATTTAATAAATTATAATAACACACAACGCAATCAGGATTTATATTCGGAGGGCGTTTTGTGAATTTGAAAAAAAAAATCCATTTCGAATGGTGTTTGGTGGGGTGGAGGGAGTAAAGTTTAATTCGGTTTATGAGTAAAATCTTTAAACTGTTTAACTTTCATTTGTAGACAACGCATACTGGGAAACGATTTAGACTCATATTAACTATGTATTTAAAATATATACTTTACTCAAAAGTACACGGTGGGCCATTTCAACCTTCGGGATGTTTTTTCGGTAATAATTTCCAGTAACATCAGTCAAAACACGGGTCCTATGCTCTGTGACTTAAATTTTAGGGATCCAATTACAAAATTTGAGGAGGTGCCCAGAAACACCCGGCACCCCCCGTGCGGACGCCTATATATGTATATGTATATGTAGGTAAAGCAGCGGTGTGATGCCCAGGAATTTTTAGTGAGAGGTAATGTATCATGTATAGCTAAATAATTCTAAATTAATTGATCCTGGAATCTCCTCTGTCCAATTTGCCTATGGTATAGGAATTCAAAAGCCGAATACAAAAAATTCAAGTTTTGATTGGCTTTAATATACATATATATTAAGTATAAATAACTAAATAGATACTAATTTGTACTTATAAGCTAATGGGGATCGCAAAAAAAAAAAACTCAGTTTTTTCGCGTAGAGCATATTTTTAATTATAAACAAATGATGAATGTAGAATATAATTTTGTTTTTTTTTTTTTTTAAATACTATCTTTTGTAAATATCATATTATAAGAAATAGTTATATTAGTTAATTCGAATTAGAATTTTACAACAATTATCGGAGAAATATTATTTATTTTTTATCCAACAATCGAACTGAACTATACAAAATATCTTCACTTAAGAACATATTGTAGTTATTTTAATTTAATTTTTAAACGTTTAAAACACTTCGCGTCTATTTTATTATTATTATTATTCTTTGGGGTTGCTGGCCATTAGGACCATCACGTTATACAATTAGACCTCCAGCTAAACCTGTCAGACGCTTTTGCTGTCCGGTCGGGACCTCCATTTACCGATTGTACATTCAACTCATAGTTATTATTAAAAGTGCTTAGAAAATCATAAAATAGGTTTTTTATTCACAAACCAGACAACGTTTTCTTTGAGAAAAAATGCTACTCTTGAAATTTGAGTAAGATTTCAGGAAGAAAAATAATTTAAAAATAATGCAATTTTTACTATCGTAAATTTGTCAATTTTTCCCAACGTTTTCGCCGGTTTTTCAAAATCATTACGAAAATCATTTACCAAATTAAAATGCAGATTCGGAATCCTGGCTATCGCACCTAACATCCGCTCCTTCCGTATGCCATTGAGGCGAATACAAACGAACTTTGAAAACTTTAATACACATTAATATAAATATAAATAAATATATTTTTTTAATATAATATTTTTTAAAATAGAAATTTATTCACAAAAAAATGCATTATTATATTATTACAATAAACAAATAGCGAATTAGTCAATCTGGCAATGTAAAAAAAAAAGCAGATCGTTAAATGTAATTGACATAAAAAAAAGTTTTTTTTTTAGTTTTTCCAATGGTGCAATCGTGCGGTACTGTTGTGATTGCATAATTTTCGAATTGAATCATACTAGAGAAGTAACTAATACAGGTAAGTATTTTTATTATTATTTTTTTTTTTTGTGACCACGAGCTATACTTTTTACTCGTAATATTCAACGCCAGATTGGCGAACAAGTTCAATGAAAACAAAAATCTGATTACTGGGACGGGTGTTTCGTAATGTATCGACTTAGTGAAATGTCCTTTCAGGAAAAGTGCTACATTTGAAAATCCGAACAAAATATTTGGTAGAAAGGTTGAAAAAAGTAAAAATAAACATAATCATTGAAAATCCAATAGGTACGTACAGTATGTACATCCCTCGCTCTGCTCAGAATCTAAAACCGCTTATAAACGTCACGTTAAGTTTTCAAGCATTTCTGTTCGGTAAAATGGTTTCGTATACACCGTATTTAATCAATAGTTTATAGTAATTTTCAATACCGTCGTGCAAAAATATTTAATCCGATGGTTCGTAACCGGAAACAAAATACATTTAGAATTTATCGAGTTTCCATTTACTGAAATTTCAATGCAATAACTTTCGTTAAGTCGGTCTAGAAATATTATCGGTACTATCGGTCCGGTATACACACTGCATTTTCGAGGAGCCCTGCGTACTATTATTTACTTAGGCTTTTCAAAATGAATTGGTCGTCTTGTCCGGTTTCGGGTTTCGGTGTCAAAGTCTAGCAATATTAAACTTCTAGCGGCGCACTATAATATAATATACGTATATCATTATCACGGGTAGCTTTTAGTGAGTTTTCATATATGACGTATTGATTTTGTGGTCCAGTTTCGGATTTCTGTTTGGCCATCGACGAGTATATTTAGTGCCTATACAGAGTGGTATCCTACAGTGTTATCCCTAAGCTGATAATTCTGTCAATATTCATTTTTCTTAAAATTGTTCCATTTTTCAATCGGATTTCACGTGAGGGCGACATACGCCTACAGAAAAATTACATTATTATTTGCATCCCTTATTAACTCTTGAAAAAAAAAAATTATTTTTAAAATTTTCAAAACGACCATTTTGTAAAAAAATATTATTTTAAACATTTTAATGCAACATTCATTCATATCGGATAAACAGTTTTTTAACAAGAGTCGTTTTAATTTTTGGAAAATTAGCGTAAAAACAACATTAATTTTCATTAGAACGTTACGTGATAAGAAATCAAAATCAGCACGGTAATTCCTTATCTTTTATTGAATACTAATATTGTTTTCAAGCTTATTTGCTATGTATTAAAGCCACTATAACTAAGAAATTATTAATCGGATATGAACGACTATGATGCATTAATATTTTTAAAATAGGACATTTTACAAAATGGCTATTTTGATCATTTTAAAAAGTGTAAAAATGAATAGTTATTTTTTTCAGCGATTGAGGGATGATAATAAAAACGTAATTTTTCCCTATATTATATGTGCCCGCCCCCCTCGCATACAACTCAATTACAAAAAAAAAAAAAAAAATGAATATTAACAGCGAGTTATTACTTATTAGCATAGGGATAACACTATGGAATACTCTGTATAATATACCACCGATGACCGAATGGGAATTACGGAATTGGTTTCCGGGTGAAAACGAAATCACAGATTTAATAATATTAAGTTTAATGATGTAGATCCTTTTCGTGTCGCCGAAACCTATAATAAACTTATTTATCAATCAAAATCCGTTTTCGTAATTAAAATCCAACAAACCCAAATCCTATACAGTTTTATCGAGTTTTTCGGTTCGAATACCAAATTTTTTTTTCAACAGCTACAATATCCGCCTCGGGTACACAGGTCTAGAAGGTTTTATTATTAATTGTTATCATATAATATGATATTAACTAAAAATATTGTTTGAAATAAAACACGTGTTTAAATATTCCAGACTTCTAGTCCTCTACGCACGAGCCCGTGTAAAATGATAAGTAAACTGCTATTGTTTTAATGGTTTATATTTCTGTTTTTATTATTAACAGTAGATCAGCTGTTCACCAAAGGGGATCCAAGAGTTACCTATGTATACCTATAGACGGTTAGACTATTCCCAAAAACCAATTCGGTAATATTGGGAATCAACTCGCAGACGTCTGATCAAATAGATGCCCATTTCCTCCCCCTTTTTTTTTCTTCTTTTGTTTGCTTAAGTACGAGATTTCGTGCGCTCGCAATCCGACTACACGAAAGCCGGATTTCCTTTTCATGTCAGACGCACACGATAATAATAATAATAATGTGGGTGGAAGTGGAAAATATACGAGAGGTGATATAAAACTATATTAAATTAAAGTAGGTGCCTACAATTTAGTTTAGTAATAAGTATTAAATATACGCCGAAACTAGACAGTGTTTAGTCATATTAAATTATTTAATAAAACGTGCAGCAGGTAAAAAAAAAAAAAAAACACAACTTTGACGAGATATTCAATACATTAAAATATTGTGTAGTATTCCCTTTGAAAACCTTGATTTATAACCGCACTGGATAAACACCGAGATAGTTGACGAATAATATTCCGTGGCATAACATACCAAATGAATAATACATATAACTATACGAATTACTTTTCCGCGGTAAAAGCCAATAGAATAATCATACAAATTATGGAGTCATTGGATGATTTGAGGATTTATTTTTGATAAAGATTTACTCATTATATATAAACGGAATTTTTCAGTAATTGCCCAGTGTAATGCTGTTACCTCGAGCTCATTGCTGTGATAGCGCTTTTCAGGGTATTTTAACGTTCTGCTTGCATATTCGATGACACGTATGGTACTATTGTGAGCTTGAGAGAGGCAAGCACCTAAGCCTTCATAACTCGTATCTGTTTCCACTGTCATTGGAACATATTGGCGAAAGGCAGCTAAAATTGGTGCAGACGTAAGTGCTGTTTTTAACTTAATAAAAGCTTGATATTACTTATTAGACAAACAAATTGTATGATTGGCTGATTTGCAACCTACGATAAGTTTATTCTTTAAAATATCCGATAGAGGTTATTGATGCGAAATGTTTAATGTATCGTCTGAAAGAGTTTGCGAAACCTAAAAACTTCTTGCTTCAAATAGTGAATTTAAGGTTGTGTACCTAAATACTGGTTGTACACGATCTGGATCTGGCCTATTTTCAGTTTCGTCTAATATTCTTCCCAAAACGTTGAGTTCTTGGACTGCAAAACTGCATTTCTTTTTGGTGAATTTTAGATTATATCTCCCGGTAGGTCTTCAAATATTAATCTTAAAAAACCTATGTGACCTTCAAATGTTTTGATCATAATACTTAGTTAATCCGGATTCAATTAAATGACCATAAGCCGTAGAAATGGCTCTTGCCAATAGTGGTGGGGCATTGGTCAGACCAAAAATTACTCTGCAAAACTCGATGTGATGATCGGTAGTCACTGCCGCTGTTTTATAAATATCCTCTTCTTTAATTTTAAAATTACTAAATTCTTGTTTAACATCCACTAATGATTTATACTTCCATCTCGCTACTTTATTAAGCATCAAGTCCATTTGGTCGATTAGAAAGGGATCTTTTACAGTGACTGGATTGATTGTTCTAGGATAATCTATTACTAAACGCTTTGGTGTAGATTTGTGGAATGGCTGTTCGATAAACAAATGCAAGTGCTGCATAAGGCGATTTTGACATACAGTATACTTCACGTTCCAAATGTCCACTTGATTTCTCATAAATTCCCTGTCAAGCTCAATCGCCTTATATGGTTTACATTTAATAGGTGTTTTGTTATTTAATACTATTTCCATTTCGAGGTCAGGAAACAGGCCAAGCACTGCTTCTGGTGTCGAAAATATATTTTCAAGCTCATCAATTAATGACCCAAGTTGATCAGTTTGCTCTTTGCTGAGAAAGGAAACTGGGACTCTTTCTGATGTACAATTATCATTCCTTATTATGTTGGGCTTAATTACTTTTGAAATGAGAGGGGTGTTACTAAATCTTGATTGAATAACACATCCGATAAATGACTTATTTGCTTTCACACAAACAAATCCAAGGATCTAGGGTATCCATGATTTTCAATTTTTTAAAAGAAAATTAACGTTTGTAATAATAATAAAGAAAAAACTTGTAATAGGAGAAAACGTTTTCGTACTGCTAACCGTCCTATCAGACAACGTTCTGAAGGTGGTTACATTGCGGTGTACGTACTGACGTTAGCTACAGTTATCTCGCATTAGAATGAAGCTGTAACCCGGAATGGTACGTATTTTGGTTAACCTCAAACTTGAAAAGGTCAGAACAAACGGTAAATAAATTTTGCACACCCGCGTGTCGTAAAAATGAAATCCGACTCGAGACTAGTGAAATCGTAACAAACGCTCTCGTAAAGTAGACCCACGGTCAAACGTCACTTTAGTGACTAACATCACGCTAATAAATGCTGTATGCATCACACCGTCCGTTACAGACATTGATAGTATAATGATAACGAATGACGATTAAGAGCTTACGAGGTTCGATAGGATAAAATCGAGTGGCGCGCCCGAACATTATCGTGCAACGATGTAATATTATTATTGTTGTTGTTGTTGCGTACGGATGACGGTGTTTATTTTGTTCCCCGCCCCCACTTACGTGCTCCTAGTCTTTTAGACGGGGCCCGCGACGACAAGAGAACCGCGCGACTTCGACGAAGGTGAGGGGGGGGGCGTGGCGGGAAGGCGGGAGGGAGGGATAATAATAATAATAGTAATAACGAAACGGAATAGACGGAAAAGAAAAGTAAAAAAAAAACACGCGACGAGCTATCCGAACAAACGCGTGTATGCGATCGGCCGCGTTGAGGAAAACGCAAGAAATAAATGAACAAAAAAAAAATCTCTTAATAAAAACTCGTTTTACGCGCGCGGACAATGCGGACTGACCGTGGCGCACATTCGACGGTCGCCGTCGTCGTGGCACCGCGCGGGCGTCGAACGCGCGTACCTGTGCGCCGCAGGTACGGGCAAACTGGGGGCGGCCGCGCGCGCGATTTTATTAATTTCGCATTGTATCCGCGTGTGCCGGAGCAAGTTAACGGGGAAAAAATCGCCGCGCGACTACGCGAACCGCACACGACCGGCACGTAACGTCGTCGTCGTCGTCATCGTCGGCCGGCCCGTAGGCTTGTAGGTACGACCTATGCGGCTCTCGTGCTACGCGACCGGCGACGCGCACCACGGCCGTCACCGGCAGCAGCTGCCGGTGCCGGTTTTATTTATTATTATTATTATTATTTGTTGAGTCGCCGGAGAGCCGACGACGTGGAGCGAGAGTATTATTATTATTATTATTATATTACAGGAAGGTACGGACGACGGAACGGGAACGGGCGCGTGCGTGCGTGCGTGTGTGCGCGCGCGAGTGCCGGGTGGGAGGACGAGTGAGAGAGCCAGAGAGAGAGAGAGAGTGAGAGAGTCAAAGTGAGAAAGAGAGAGGGAGCGAGAGAGAGAGAGCGACCGAGCGACGGGCCGTCCTCGGCAGCGACCAGACGGTGCAGGCGGCCAGTTACTTCGGCACCACTCTTTTGGTATACGCGTGTCGTCCTCGTACCGCGACAGTCGTCGTCCTCGCAGCCGCCGCCGCCGCCGCCGCCGTCGTCGTCGTCTTCGTTTTATTTGATTTGAGATATTTTTGTATTTTTTCTCATCCGTATTTCCTCGCCGCTCAGAAGAGACCGACAGACAGACTCCGCCGACCATAATGATCGTGAGTATTATAACAATAAAAACGTGTATTTTTCGACGTCGTATAACGTCCGAATATTTAATATTTTAACACGTACCGAACAATGAGACGCGCCGAATTAATTTATGTCGGTTTTTCCTCGGGCGACCATCGAAACTCGAGCCCAAATAAATGGGGGGGGGGTTGGGGGCGGAACGCGTACTCCGGGCCCTCTGTGTATTATTTCAACGTCGTTAACTGTCGCGGACAAGGTGGACATTGTTGGCTTAAAAACGTTTTCGTCGGTTGAGAATCTACAAAAAATCGGATGCGAAAAAATGTGAAAGGGTCCGTTTCCGGGTTCCGCTTGACCCTCGGCCTCGTCGGTTGCTCCGCGATCAAACGGTACAATAACAATGCCTAAGCAGGCCACCCGGAGACTGCACAGGCGGCACCGTACTGAAAATCTGTTCGGAGACACGGTTTTCGTTAAATTGTCGACGTTTCGTCGTTTTCCAAAACACGTCCGAATCGCGCGAACAGATGGATGATATTATTTTCGGACCCGGAACGATAAAAAAAAAAAAAAGTTACTCCGCGTGTCTGTCGAATGAATGTACGCGACGGTATTTGGATTGTCAATTTTCTAACGATACACCGAGACGTTTTTGCATTGTTGGCGTCCCGGGGCGCTGTTCCTTTAGCGCCTTTAACCCAAGACTATAATGGACTTATGGACTATTTTTTTTTTTCTGTACAACATACTGAGTTGCATGCTGTGCACGTTTTGTACGGCCCGCCACTTTGTCCGCATTAAAACGCACTATTTTAGACGCTGTTGAGCGAGTGTAAACCGCGGCACGGAGTACATATGGAAAAAAAATCGGTAGCGCTATTTCACCGCGTCTCAACAAAATTGTGATCGTTTAAACGTGACGCCCGGGGAAAATGCCCCTGTGGCCCTCCCCTTAATACGTCCCTGGCGATACTCGATTGCCATTGACAGAGCTCTGGCGTATTCGCCAATATCATAACTCGATTGTCTATCACACTTGCAGAATCGGTATTAGGCCTGAAACCCGCTCCTCGGTGTACCCATTGGTCTTTAATAAAGACGATTGATTCCAGAGATCGCTTATCAACAAAGATTCTCATTTTCACATTTATATACGAATCGGGGTGGACCAACAGTCATTCCTAAATTTGCGTCCGTACCGTTGTCCATATCGTTATTGCGGTGTTATAATCAGTGTCCACTGCGGTTCTATACGGGGTAGCGCTTGAAATGACACAAAATAGCAAAGGGTACTGTGATCCCTACATTTCATTTTGATCGTTCCGTGCGGCATGGTCCCGGATGTTTGGGAAATCAAGGAATCGTTAAGGAAAAGGTTGTTCATTAATCTGTCAAACAAAAAAAATTGTCTCGCTTCTCCCGAAAACTGACATTCTTTTCTATAAAATAAACAATATAAATGTACAATAGTATTTATTTGTATCGACGTCCATAATAATTTTACTAATGTGCAGAATGAAAATTGAATAATAGGAATTTTAATATTTTCCCGGCAACTTCATTGTACATGATATTTTTTTAACGCTTACCCCAACATGTAAGTTAACAAAAATGGGCGATACTGCTGATGGGCGCATTGTTGTAAGTGGAGAGTTGGAAAGGTAGTATAAACGATAAGCCATCGCTAAAGAAAACGATTCTGAGCGATGTTCGTTTATACATGATTTGAAAGGCCGTAATACATATGAGTTTCGTCAAAATTTCATCTTAAAAAAAAAAAATCAAAAAATCAAAACCTATTTACTTTTTTTTTTTTAACTACTAAATAATAAAACCTACAATGAACCTCCTGTTGAAATTTCAATCATTTAAAATCATTTCATTTTCAACCGTTATATCAAATAATTATATTCACTTAGTACCTAGTATCTACCAAACAAAAACTACGTACAAAACTCGCAAAATTAAAATGCCTATAAATAGCTTAAAACGCGCCAAAATGTTTTCAAGTCTTCACGAATATTTTTAACTGAATCGGAGCAAAATAAACAAAATTGAAAATAACAAAACCATTATTTACGTTAGCTTGACCGTTTTTCCAAATTATTATGAAAATTGTTCGATCGAAGCAAGTTTTCCGTTCGAAAAGTCGTTTACAGACAGAAAAATAACACATCATGGTAAAACCAATAGGTCCCTCCGCTCCGCACCCGAAATAAAATTGTTAATATCAAAATATATCCATGGGAACGTACATGGTATTTTCCTTTGAATCGCGATGCATGTTCATTAGGACTTTCATTGCACATGTCCATTACCTTAACACCTACGTTATGTATATTCACAAAATCATAATTTATATACATTATGCATGTATTATATATCTGTGGTCTATACTGTACAGCGTACACCACAGAATATACATACATGTATATTTTTTATTTGTTTCGTACAATCCATATCAATAATGCAGTATAATAAACACAAGTGGCTAAGTGACAATTCAAATGTCCGCCCACTGGCGTCACTCCGATAAACCATAGAATAGAAATACAATTTAAATCACGATAATAATTTTTTTTTTTTTTTTATCAAAGATTAAACTGAAAAATATCATAGGTATTTAACAATTCCAAAATCATTACGTTTCAAGTATACACAATTATTTTGAATGGTGTATATATTGTGCCGCATACTCTTTAAATAATTTGTTAAAAAAAGACTCTTTTTAAGCACATTGAGAAGTAAAGGGACCTAGTCCCCTTGCATCCTTCCCCACTTTGACCCCTGATACAGGATATCCCACGAACATATGAACGTCATTGCGTTATCTTAGAAAGTATTAATTTTTATTTTTTTTTCGGAGTTTTTGTTTTCCGGACAATTTAAGTCCATTTGACATTACCGTTATCATTTTGGTCACTCTTCTTATCGATGACTATCCACTTTTGATTTTCAAACGGCAACCTATATTGAACATTTTATAAATAGACGGGGTATTAGTTCGTATACAATTTGGTGTAGACATTTTCAATTTCCGTTGAACCTTTGCAAACGAGATATTCCACTTTTAAGTGTTGGCAGAAAGAGAGTAGTGGTGCATCGTTAGGTGACGTTTGAATGGTTAGAATGTTTATACCTCCGTGGGGTACCCTGTGTACGCATATAATAGGGTGGCCTTTGAATTTTATTATATTGTATACCCAATATTACAACGGTTATTTCCGGCGGTGGCAAAAGAAACCTGAAACATGTGGCCGGTGTAATAATATTTCTATACATTTTATTCTAGTATAATAAAATACGTATTATAGGGGTTCGGGCGGTAATAATAATATGCGTTTCCGGCCATCGACAACGTGCCAGGATAATATTATTATTTTTGTCGATTTCTCGTCCGACAATGTCGGTCACAGACGACATAATGTTTATTGCAGTTAATTCAGGGAACGGATCATTATCATATACACTTGTTAAAATTCACTGAAAAAATCAAAAATCAAATCAAAAATTGCAGTCTGTGTTTCAAAAATACGATTAACGCAATAAGAGCATAATCTATTTGAAAATAAAACTGTGCGCGTATCGAATGAATCAGTAACCGGTGTAAGACCATTAGTTAGCGATTTGATGGGAGGGGGACTAATTTTTTCTGTTTCATACTTTTTGAACGGGCTTAGCCTTCCAAAAAAATTTCGCCAGCGGCAACTTTGCGAATTCTCGAACGACAATCGCCCGCGACAGCGTATACGACAACAACGACACACACGCACTTTATCGGGTACCTGTACGCACGAAGCACGTTGAATACAATCGAAAATTAATGTAGGGTCGTTCGTATCGTTTCGCGACCCACGGCGACGGTAACTTCAACCGTAGCGTAAAATGTGTTTGGAGCCCACGACTCCGTGTCGTACAGTATAAACGCTTGAATATACATAATATTAAACAAGAATGTGTACTTAGGTACCCATATAAATTACATTTGTATGAGCTTTGACCGTACTCAAAGAGGCGGCGATACATCCCCCGACCCCTTGAACGGGTCTAGAACCCGGAGCTGTTTTCCTTTTCGTTTTCGTGCAATATAACTACTTGTTGCACGCTGCAATGCGAGTGGCAAAGCGTCAAACGCGATACACGCCGAATTTTCAATATTAATAGTTGTCCGCGTTCGTCGCTTTATCATGTCTATCAAATCGTGTGGTTTGTATTACGCAGGGTGTACCCCGAAGATATAACCCTTGTGTAATATCTCCGGAAATAATAAAGAGATAATCAAATTGTGTTTTTTTTGTTTCGTATATTACTCACAGGGACTACAAATATTTATATTTGAATTGTGTTTTTATGTTTTGATAAAATATAAAACTGAAAAAATAACTTTATTTTTATTTTTTTCGAAAAATTTTAAGATGCCTAGCCATTTTATAGAGTTTAATCCTTCTGAACATTCTGACGTGTCAACATTTTCAGACGAGTACTATAAAAGAGCAACCTTCAAATTGTTCAAACATAATAAAATTAAAAATTACCTATTTCTTTAGGTTTTTTTTACCGAGACATACAAATTTAACTAAAATATAAATATTTGTAATCCTTATACCCGCGAGTGACATAAAAAAAAAACCAACAGAATTTGATTACTTTTATTATCTTAGAAGATATCGCATTGGGTATACCCTTCGTGGGACACTCTGTATACTACAATATTAGTTACGATTTTTTCTGATATTTTTAAAACAACTAGTCATATTATCGTCATTTAAAAAAAAGCCATAAAGTTACGTCGCTGGACCCGCACAGTTGAATATTATGCTTATTGTGTATGAATAATATAGAAAGTCGTAAATATTCTATAATTTTAGAAATGCACGGATATCCATAAAAATTTAGATCGGTAAAAATATTTTATACTGCAGCACTATTGTGTTGCGGTTCTTCAGAGGACGCTGTACCCGCATTAATAATTATAGTCTAACTAACGGGAAACATTACCGAAAATACGCTACACGAAACGTGAATTTTGGCGGTCAGGTTGAAATTAGAGTTTGAACACGTATAACTCAATTTTAAATGGAGAATATTTTCGAAGGCTACAGTAAATAGTATTTATTTTTTTTTTTTTTTATTTTATGTCACGCGCAGTGGCGTGCTCAGACGGATGAGGTTAGAGGTTATAATACGAGGAGGCTCATTAGCTTGAAAATTCAAAAAAAAAAATAATACGAGTAATTTACTCTCGAAACGCAATTCAGAAATAAATTCAGTCGAATTACCAGAAAAAGCTTGATGCATCGATTGCAAATTTGTTTTTATTTAGGATCCGGCTTTTAAACGGCCAATTCCCATAGCCGCGTCGGGTAGAGAAGGCAGTTTACGATTTATTCACGATTCTTATACGCTACGTCCCCTGTCATTGGAAATTCCTGGGCACGCCACTGCAGGTTGCGCGTTGTCATTAAATCGACATGGTAAATGCGGCGGGCATGGCGATAACCGATATTCAGTAACCGAGACCTAGGCAAATGTCCAAAAATCGGGCTAAATTCATCGTTATTCTCTCGTTCGGGTTATAACGGTTAAATTATTTTTCACAAGACATATTGTTACAAAACATTGTGCTCTCATCATAATATGATATCGCCGTATCCGTGAACACGACGTCGATGGAATATCGCCTCGATACTTTTTAGATACTCTGACTGCACATTTCCAGTTCGCTAATCTCGTCTACTTGTCCATAAATTGTCGTCAAATTCGTGCAAATGTCTATTATACATAAATTCCGGACTGTACGGCCTTTACTGAGGGGATGCATTCTGTCGGCCAGAGCAAGTTTTGCCGAGCTACGGTTCGGCGCGGCTATAGAAACTCCATGTCCCCGACCCCCCTACTTTGGAATTTCGAATTCCAGAGTTAACTTTATTCGTTTGTGCTTTTTACCCTGTCATTTGTGCTCAACTCCTACCCGAGTTATCCGACTTTTAAAATCGGGGTGGATGGGAGAAGGCTGAGGACATGTTTTGCCCTCCCCCACAGACAAGTTTTAGATTACAGTCTCGAAGAAAATTACTACTCGTTCGATTATTTTGTATGTATACGAAAAAAAAAATGATTGTACATGTATAATAGTTATTTTGGACCAGGATTTATAATAAATATGGCATCATGCTGACGTATTCAGTAACCGAATGCAGGTATCAATATGTATTGATTTTACTGTGATGTATGTGTGTGTTTTGTTTTGTTTTTTTTTTTTTTTTTGTGCGTCTGTAAACAACTTTTCTACCATAGAAATGTTTGCTCCGATCGAAAAACTACAAATTGCCGTCGATTCGATCGCGGTAACGGTTTTTGTGGAAGATAATATTTCGTTTAATAAACATCGGACATGATATAAACAGAAAAAAAAAAAAAAATCCGTATACATTAAAATTACACGTTTTGGTTTGCGCACGCCGAATAAAATATGATTATTATGCTGCGGGAGTTTGCGAAAAACACCTATAAATAGACATACACGAATGATCGAAATAAATTACGTTTTTATATTATACAATTACGCGCACTGCGTATAATTTCGTCTAATACATACATACGTACTTATTATTATTGGAAATCGGGGGAACAGAAAAAAAAAAAAATTAAAAAAGGCGTATAATTATTATTGCACGGGTACATACATTTACATATTTTCAAATAAGCATTTTACTATATTATTATTGTGAAACGATTTAAAATTTCTGGAATTTATCCGAGTTATACACGCGCGCGGCTGCTGTTAACAAAATCGTTTTAACGTATTTATACCGTCTTTAAGCCGTCGCGACGATTACAAAAATGAACGTAGGTGCTCGTATTATTGTTTACAAACGCCGGTAAATATTATAACGTCCGGACGGTTCGTGTCTACACGATATTATAATGTGGGCGACTGCAGCAGTCGTACGAGTAACCCTGCGCCATAGCGTTATTATGTTTTACGAATAAACAAAACACATTTTAACTATTGCCGGCGTAAAACGTTTCCGAGCGCGGTTAGTTCCGTATTGAACTTCGTGTTTTGAAACGTTCGATTTTTATATCTATTTGACCTTTGAACGCTAATATATATATATATATAAAATTGTTTTTACGTTTCGCTAACTTTTTTTCTTTCTTTTTTTTCACCATTACAAGTAGAACTTATAAAAATGTAAGAGAAACCGTTATTGCGCGAATTCTCCCGGTACGCGACGGTTTTCCGCAATTATTATTACAGAAAATACGAGGGGAATGAAAAAACGACTCTCCCACAATGCGTTAACCACACGGAAAACCGCCTTTGAAGTTGACGATCGGAGCAAGACTTCTGGTTGAAAAGTCGCACGCGGGGAGAACAAAAGAAAAAAAAAAATGCCTATGTTTTACGATTAAACGAACTACGTCAATGAATCGTATATTTCCGAATACCAGCAACGAACGCCGCGCGTATGTTACAATAATTATATTTAAATGTATAAAACAGCGCTAATTTATACGTGAGTACGATTAAACCGTACCGTTTCGTCGAACTCTATATAATATTTTTAGTAATAACTAATAAGGCTTGGGGGAAAAAAAATTCGATCGAGTGAAAAAAAAAAAACAACATAAGAATACAGGTTGTTCAACTAGAATATTTATTTATACGAGTTTATTATTAGTGCGGGTATGGATGCCATCGCCCCACCACCACCACCACCATCACCATTAACTGTAATCCGTCTCGAGTCGCATAGCTTCACCGTAAAAGTAAAAAAAGAAACGAAAAGCAAATCATATTGAAAACAGAAATATTTACTTACGATTATTTGACGGTAGATTTAACATCGTATTATGTATCTATATATATATACTAAAAGTTTCGCGACTCGACTTTTCAGACAAGGTGGACGTTTACGAAACATTCATAAATCTGCATTTAATGATATCGAATTCAAAATATAATATTTAACAATATGCGCATTTATTTATAAGCTACTAACAAGTACTCGTATAAGGGAATATAATAAGTAGATGGCACGTCATCTAATATCCTCTAATAGAGACAGTTTCTTTATTTTTTATATAAGACGATAATAATGATGTGGCATTTTTTCTTTCGTTGACATCAAAATGTTTCAAGAACTTATTAGATACTACGGGTAGTATTTCTCTTTTTTAATATTCCGAGCGAATCAAGTAATGTATAATTGGTTCTATAATTATAAAGTGTACTATTTTTCTCTCTGTCTGAAAACGACGTTTTTATCTGCAGGAATCTTGTTCCAATCAAAATAATGGATAAACGAGCTTTTTATAGCATTTTAGATGTTTTTAGTGTAATGAGGAAGAATAAATTTTCCACCGGGGCGGATACAAGACAAGATAACTGGGAGAGGGGGGGGAAGGCGATTTTGAAAATTGCAAAAAGACACGACGAGCTCAATAATGAATCAAGAATATATAATACAGCTAAACGTATATTTGGAAAGTGAACTGGATCCGCACCCGTCTTTCACAGTATATAAACAATACTGTTTGCCTACTGGAATCATCCACCCGATCACCAGTAGGAACCCGGGTTGATGACAACAACAACAATGTTTGACAACCAACGTTTTCACCAACGAGGTCTCGGGTTTGCTAAGCCCGCAGCTTCATATGCCCCCCTGAGGTTAAACTTAATCATATTACTATTTATCATTTATTCGTATCTCTGAATCATACTATGGTATATGGAAAAAAAATACATAATTTTGTATTATTTCTAAATTTAATTATAATAGGCATTTGTTTGCATAAAAATTAAGAATACTACTGGAGTTTACTGAGTATTTGGTACTATTTACAAAAATGAATTTAAAAATATTAAGATACACAAAGTTATTTGATTTACGCTACTATAAATTATTGCTGTGGAATTTTTACAATTTTCGGCAGAATGTTAACTTAAAAAAACTTATAAATTACGCATTATGCTAAACTTTTAACACTAAATACAACAAAAATGAGGAAATTGAAACATAATGTGCCAAATGGCGTGATTTTTCAATTCGAATTTGAACTTTAAACGCGTATATTATGTATAAAAAAAATTGCTTAGTTACTATTCACAACAAAAAGGCAAAATCGATAATAACGAAGCTATTATTTCCGTAAACTCTTCCGCTAACATCAGTTATTAAGAAAACGACTACAAGCTGAGAATCAAAAAACCACTTCTCCCATTGGAGAAGATCTAACTTGGGCTGAAATGGTAAAAGAGCTCACTTGTCATTTTTTGAATGGATCAAGATTTCTGGTATAAAAGTTGATAACAGATAGAAAAAAAATCAATTAAAAACGCATCATTCTTGGAAAAAAATTATAATAACAATTACTCTTGTTAAAACAATTTAAGTTCATTGTCATTTAAACGATTCAAATTACTTTTTTATAAATAAGTATTCCATACTAACATAAATATATCTTCAGAAAGAAAAGTTTAAGTGGATTTCGTATAGTTTTTAATACGAGCAAATTCAATTTTTGAAAATACATACTTATACAGATAGCACACTATCCAGAAAAAAAAAAAAATAAAGTACTGAAATTGCACGAGCAAAAAAACAATGCCAAAAGTTGACTTAAGCCCTTCCCTTCTTCCCCGGCACCAAAGATCGCATGGTTTATAACATACAATTGTATGCACATAATATTATATAGTTGTATTATGTTATTTATATTTATACAGATTTACTCGAATGCAATATTATGCGACGGATATTGCAAAATATTAATTAACAAGAAAAAAAATATGTAAACGTGGTTTAAATTAACAATTCCTACTTACCTATTGTGCGTATCTACGAAGGTATCTAAATGCAACTCGAAAATATCAATTAACGTTAAAATCTAATAATAAAATATTAAAAAGAATATATTATATATATGTATATAGGTACACCTACTCGAAGGTATACAATGACCTCCGCGATCTATATAGATGTATAGCAGGCTATACGATGAGTGTCGTACATTGTATTTCATTACTTCTCCAACCACTGCAGTGCTTTTAAAATAAGACGTTTCAATTTTGTTTCGTACAGTGGCGTCATTCGTGGGATGCAAGGGTTATGCAAAATATGCATCCCGTGAATTCGTTTGAACACGTTTAAAATATGTGTGGATGCAGATATAATTTCTTGTAATTTTCAGAATAATACAATTATTTTGTAATGAATTACACAAATATATTTGTTTGCATTTCATCGGAATAATTTAGCGATATTAATCGCATCGATAGACATGATGAAACTGAAGTTTAATAACTTTATAGATTAGCACCGGATTTCTTTTCATTTTTTTTTTTTTTTTTTTTTTTTTTTTTTTATATATCAAATTTAATTTGATCAGTATCAGAAGACACATAAACATGGCATAAACAGTATAATAAATTATGGAATAGTGAATTTTTTATTTTATTGTTATAAAAAATATATATAATATTTTATACCTATTGAGTGCATCCAGTTTGTGCAATTTATATTAACAGTTTTAACTTTTAACGAGTACCCAATCTACCTTTTTTCATACCCAATTCATTTATGATTATTTAAAATACACGAAGGACGTACCGAAATAGATTTTTGACTATTGTAAGTATTATTATTATGCGCTATAATTGAAAAATCGAATTTCGTATGGAAATTTATTCATTTTGTCATTTACGTGGTAGGTACGCGATCAAAGCCAGCGGCTTTGATCGCGTTACTAATATTGATAGCTTTACTATTGAATTTTCAATATTCGTTTTGCATTCCGTGAAAAAAATGCGAAATATGACGCCCCTGGTTTCGTGAAGTATATTGCAACGCATGTATTATTCAATATTATATGGGTGTTGTCTCGATTTATACATATTTACATGCGTATCGTATAATTACCTATACGAGCACACAGAACAACAATTATTATTATATTCGTACAACGAAGATATTTATAGACGTTATGATTTAACAAGTAGCGGTTTATTTACATTCGAAAAGACATACTTATACCTAAAGTACGGCTAGAAAAATTTGATTTTTTTTTTCGCAATGCTGACACGTAATTATGACTTAAAATTCTTCAGAAAGTTCCAGACGAAATAGTTATAACGATACAGTAATATTGTATGTATTACACGTCAGTTGCGTACAGTGTAGGTAATAGTAACTATTCAAAATTAATTGATGCAATTGAATGTATTCAATATATATTATATACCTGCTAAAAAAAAAGGGTTGATATTTTTCTGCACATGAGTGTGCCACTGTTTTAGGAGGAAAGTCGGTAAGAATGTGATACAATATTGTAGGGTAATTTATTTAATTCGTCCTACGCAACGATAAATCATTGCTAACGAAAAACGATTTTGAGCACAGTATTATTAGTCGTTGGTATCCGTTCCCTTGATGTAGCCGAGATAACCCGGTAACCAACAACAATTATACAATCAAAAAAAAGCGAGTTTTTCCGATTTATTAAGGAAAACTACAAAGGAAATCAAAAAAATTACCTTCTTAAAATGCCCTAACTAAATCAAAAAGTCTACAAGAAAGTTCTAACAAAAGTTTTGATTGGAGCATAATGTTTGGTAGAAAAATTGTCAACAGATATAAAAAGAAAAAAATACAGCACAGTAAAGTTAATACATTCTTCGCTCAGAATCTAAAATATTCCATTATTTCTATAATATTTTTTTGAATAATAAATTGTTTACAAACAAAGTCATAAACAATTCTCATATTACTGCAGCAAGCATAAGTGTTACCTAATAATATTTACTTATATTTAGACGCTAGTACCGATTAGGGTTTAATACTATACCTAAGTAATTCATATATTGTAATTTTTAACGATATTTAGTTATCACCATCCTCAGACTGTAGTTATTGAGTTTATGTACGTTTCATTGTTATGAAAAATAAAAATACAAAATAATAATAATACTATATTCACCTTGAAACAATTAATATCGTTATAGGTTAGTGATTTTCTTGCGATTTCCGCGATTATATAAACGGCACGTCGCGTTTTTTATGCGTGGGGGTTTTTATATTCATGTTAATTCATACCTAGCAAAATCAACAATAAAACCGCGTAAACAATAACTGATTACAATCAGTAGCGTGCTCAGCGTAATATGACATAATAAAGTATAGAACAATGAGTGTAAACGATTGCGATACGATAGTTTTTTTTTATTGAATATTGCCACCAAAATATTATTAATACAAAAATACAGTGTATAATAATAATACGGGAAATTCATGCAAAGCTAAATGAGATGTTAAAAAAAAACCAAAAAAAAAAAAAACACAAGGGAGTTACTCCAGACTCTCTATCACCGCATCAATTTATCGGTATTATACACCGCTTCCAAACGTACACCGTAAACTCGTTATATTACAGCCGTTTATCTTCTTCGTGGCACGCAAAAATCAGTGGTGTGAGCAGAGGGATGTAAGGAGTACCGATATTCCCCCTGATCCCATTGAATTTTAAAAAAACTTTGGATTTGTTGTTAGTTGTTTTATCATGAAATTATAAATTTCACAATGCCCGATTTCCGAGGGCAAAGTTTGAAGAAGTTTACATTATCCGGGTATTGTATAAAATGCCCAACTAGATTTGGGCATTGTAGATTAAAAATAAAATAATACATCTTAGTTCTTTAATAAACATACAAACTTGCAATAGACGCCTCAATTATTATCCATTGAATTATTTAATTATTAAACAAAATATAATGTTAAATACACAGTATTAAATTATTTTATTCACTATTACATATATTAAAATATTAAATAAAATTAATAATAATAAAAAAGATACTGGGGATGGGAGCGCCCACTGTTGTAGGTGAGAAGTTGAAAGGATAGGATACATAAGGTTATTTCATTTATATCTGTAAGCAACGATAAACCATTGCTTGACGAAAGCCGATCCCAAGAACAGTCCGGTAATACATAATTTATAGTGCCGTATTTTTTTTATTTTTTTTTTTGCGATTTTCGTTGAATTTGATTTCAAAACGCTTATTAAAAATAAAAGTTGTCCGATTATTTTGGAAATTTTACCACATCTAGGTAAGTCCAATATAAGTATTATTACCAAGTTTCAAGTTTTTACGTGTATTTATAACCGAATTACAGCAAAAAAACTACCAAAAATTAAAATTCCTTAAAAACTCAAAAGTGGCGCAAAAGTTTTGGCGATGATACAGTAAGAAAGTAAATCAAAAATATAACAAAAAAGAAATCTTATGATTTTTCGATTAAATAATTTTTTCTGTTAGAAAACGTCGTCTGTGTTTTTATAAAATAATGAAATCGTGAAATTGTACGTTTTTCCCACTTAAGTGCTTTTATTTAAAAATGGCGTCGAAAATCAAAAAATGACATTCTTTAAAGTACAATTTAGACAATTTGAGCTTTCAGAAAAATTGCTATATGTAAAAATCGGAGCAAGTTTACTAGGAAAAAACGTAACTATAGACTAGAAGAAAATAAAAATAAAAAATGATCATTTTAGTAGAACCCTCCCTCGCTACACATCCTCCTTCCCATTGGAAATTTCTGGGCTTACCACTACGTAAAATATATTTTTTTTTGATACACCAATGTAGCTGTAAACGTTATCAAAACCACATATTTTTCTATTATAAACACCGCAAACTAAATTATCGTTGGTAACATGGCCATGTTTTTTGTTGACGGTTGGATGTTTTGGAATTTAGGAAAGGTATGATTGCGAATAAACGCGATTTGAAGATAAAGTATACATACTTATCTAATGTATACCTTAAATAGCGTAGAATCGTTAAACGGTTCAGATTGAACAAAATAATAATATGGTTAACATTTAAAATTTTGTTTTACTGATTTAGTCAACGTTTCGACTTAAAAATCATAAATGAGTCGTTATATATTAAACAAAAAAAAAAAAAAAACCGTCCAGAGGGATATAATACCCCTTACTCCCCTTCGCCGTAACTACGCCCCTGATTTTCATCACTGAAATATAACGTAATAAAATAATAATAATCGGTTTTATCCATCACTCGCAAACGTAAACCGTAAACTCGTATACTGTTACAACCGTTTGTTTTTCGTTTAAAAATATACATAAAAAAAAAAACTCGTCTATTCAAAATCGCGTTTTAATCGGTCCGATTACCGCGGCCGGTATACCGCTATATTTTATCGTCGATACCGGAAAATCTCTGGAAACCGGCCGGTATATCTACGTTTATAAAATAATCGTTATTTGTTAGCCGTATTACCTTTAGCTACGATATAATTATATACATTTCCTCGTTGAATCGTGATGCGACCGGTGTTAATTTCAGGAAAGGGGCGTTCGACCTAACCTAACCTATTCCGATCTCGGAGAAAAACTTATTCATTCCCCCATTCCTCCTTCGCCCCCCCCCCCAGAAAAATCTCCTTGCTGAAATTTACATCTTTATTGTGAGGCTGGGCAAGTTAATGATTTTATTCAACTCAGTTAAGTTAAATTTAAATAAAGTTAATAACTAAAAGTTAATTCAAAATAATTTATCAATTCAACTAAGTTAGAAAAAGTTAAAATTAATTTTTTAACTTCAGTTAACTTGATTAAAAAAAAAAATGCAAATATTGTCTATTATCTAATATAATATGACCTAATAATCTATCCACAACTCCCGACCGGTGACTGCAGTAAAAAATAACAAGGATTCATAACAATTTGTATTTTAACATGTTGATAATATTAATAATATACACTTATATAGATTATACGAGCATACAAATAAAAATTGAAATCAACTTGTTTAAATATAAAATTAACTCATTTAGTTAATTCTTTTGTATTCTTCAAGTTAACAATTGAGTCAATAGTTCAAAAAAAAAAAAAGTATTAATTAAGTTAAAAAGTTAATTTAACTTTTTAACTTATTCGTTCGTTAATGCCCAGCCTTGCTGTATTTTAAATTACCGCAGTAATATAATATATAGTAGTATAGTATCAGTGAATTTATAATTTTGTCATACACGAATTGTATATTTCGGTAAAGACGATTCTGTTAATTGTGGAACTCGATTAACTGGTTATAGATAGCGTTAGACAGCTAGGTATGCCGTTTTGTTCCCGTTTATAACCAAGCGAGTCCAAAAATACGAAAAAACAAAATTCCAAAAATCAAGTACTCCTCATATCATACAATTATATATTATAGAAATTGAAATTTTAAAATCCGTCTTCGATTTTCAATATTATTGCCCGATCTACGGTCCGTTTGGGTTACTCAAAATTTCAGGAAATTTGGACTGGAAGGTGGACCCAGAGAATACTGAAAGAGGTTTTCTTCGGCATGGTGATCTCGACAGCCGTGAAAAATAAAATAATAATTATAACACGATGAGTTTTTAAAATTTTATTTTTTCTTTTACACTTCAGCACCTCTCTGCTAACTTTTGTTTTCGATAATTTAAACGCCGGACATAGCCATAGTGATACACGTAAACGAACGTATTTTAAAAACTGCGGACCAGTTTATTATCGCTGTGAAAAAAAACAACAGACCACGGCGGCGGCTTTGTTTTTCTCTCTCTCTAAATGAGTTTTTCTCTCTAATAATATTATGTCTGTGCTATTGTACAAGCTAAATCGCTCTATAGCTATAGTATATCCTTTACCTCTCCGACTTTCCGCCTACAACAGCGGCCTATTCGCCCCTTTATTACATACCCTTATATTGGCGCAAAGTACGTCCGGCTTTTATTATTCTTGCTATTAATCACCGTTCTTCGCGTACCTACCTACCTGCCTATCCGCCTACCCGTCTCACCCGAGCAGCAACCGCGCATTGTAATAACATTCTCGGTGTTAAAATGGCATACGGCACAATGGTTTTTGTTCGAGGACGACGACGGTGACGCCACAAACACCGCGTGAATAATAATAATAAACATAATATCGTTAAGTCCTTAGGCGTATTAATTATACGAAGGTACAGTACTCATTGTCGTTTAATATGCAATACAATATTACAATATAATCGTTATTATTACACCGGCGACGACGCCGCGAAATTATGTTTTCATTGTATTGGATTCAAAAGTCGCCGCGACGATGACGATTTTCGGATATTTTCTTCGCGGGACGCAAAAATAAGTGGCGGTGTGCGCAGGGAGAACGTGGGGGGGGGCATAAGCGTGACTAGGTGATTTTCGAACGAGGTGCAAACAAATATTCCATACTCCGCCCCATCGAAATTTCTCCGGAACCTTTAAAAAAAAAAATAATAATAAAAACTAATTGCTATAAAGTAATTTAATTATGTTTCATAACACTAAACAGTCTAAAGGTTATTTATGTTTTTTTTTTTAACACTTTAAATTCTTCAATGATTTCATTATATAGGTAATTTCGGTCGCGAGTACAAATATTATGAAAATATGGAGTAATCTCCTGCTTGCGTCATCAAATTTCCGTTTACTGGAATAGCTTGCGCTTCGGAAGTTCGTATTATAAGTTGAAAGTACTTTAAATATATTTGAAAAAACGATAAATTGTTATCATTTTTGTAGCCAGCTATGCATCGTTCTTGTCGTGAATTCTTTTTCAAGATGTCCAGGTGCTTTTACTACGTGCATTTTAGACTTAAATTAATCAACGTTTGATAACAATAAGTGATAATACATCCCTAGTATACCTAGTTTCACACATAGAGAACAATATTAGTAGATATTAAACTTTTTCAGCTTTTTTTGTAACTATATTTTATTAGTTTACTATATTATATTTTCCAACTTAAGAATCTTGACACGATTCTCAGGTTGTACAAAAAAAAAAAAAAAAGCTCGATTTACTCAATAAAAATTGCCTTTTTTTTAGTTAATATGTATAACAGAAGACGATTCTATACGATTTATTCTTGAACCACGATTGTTATTTTTACTGTATTATCTTCTTTTGAAAATTTCGGGGCACGCCACTCCGTAAAATCAATCTATTCAAATGTACCTGAAAATGTTATCAAAGTAGTGCAAAGTATTATCTACTCCTAAAAAATCCATCTACGTTTATATTATAAACGTCGTGAACGAAATTACTGTTGGTAAACACGGCCATGTCATTATTGATGGTTGGACGTTTCAAGATTTTTTAAAGGTATACTTATTTAATTTACTTATAGTTTAAATCCTGTAGAATCGCATTAAATTAAAAACGGTTGTCAACGATTAAAACGACTTTAAAACGTTTGACAAGAAAATATTTTATGTGTCTGAAATTGTCAGAAATGACGTTTAAAATTATTTTTCATTTACTTATATTAAAATAAATTCAACTTATGTCAAACCTTGTATCGAATTTTTAAGCTTTTCACCGAGCGAAAAAAATAATTGTTTTATTCACATAAATCAACAAGACACTGATTATCTCGAATAGTATTAACATTTTTTTAAATTTGTTTTTTTAGAACATTTTAGGAAATAAGTAGCTCTAAAATGTTATATAACTTATTTTTTGTCACCCTTATTGGTTTAACTACTACCTAATTTTGATTTTCAAATGGTAAACTCACATTGAAAGTTATTTTAAAACTATTTCTCTACCTAAACTTAAAAGTATAATATCTCGTCAACGGTCAACGAGTTGACGGAAATCAAAAATGTCAACACCAAAAAGTATTAAAACTAATACTCCGTTTATTTGTCGATTTTTTAATACAGGTTGCCATTTGAAAATCAAGAGTAGGTAGTCGGTTCATTCTCGATAATAAGAGCAATGACAAATAATGATAACGTAACATTTTTAGAATATAATGATCACAAAAAGTTTTCAAATTAGTAATTTATTGAAAAAATAAATAATTCATGGACAATTCGATTGTAAAATGACATTTGAAAGACCGTATATCAATCTAAAATTATTTCCTAAAGCTAAGTCCTTGTTTCTTAAATGTATACAAATTTCGAAAATAATTAATACTTTCCGAGATGATTAGTGTTTTGCGTTACGTCGATCATTGTTTAAAATAGGTAAATTTATTGTTGTATAAAATATATTGAATGGAAATACGAATTATGGCAACGAATATAAGTGATATTCTCCTTCTTCGGGGGGGAATTGTTCCGTACCGGTATTTTTCGACGGAACGAAAATTAATACGTAAACTATCGACTACCGTCGGATTTACCCGTTACATGCGAGTTACGGCAGTATATTATATGGTTTTGTGGGTCACCGAGCAAAATGTTGGAACATCGCCGCCGTCCCGTTGCGATATAAATCCAAAGTTATTAATACATTCATAGATGTTATGATATTGTAACGATGAATAAAACTTGAGTACCAAAAAAAAAAAACAAATTCAAATCACTACTAATGAATAATAACAAAACACGACGTAATTTAACGTGGGTTTACCTACAGGTTAGGTTGTTGTGATTATAGATTTTGAGTGAAGCGAGGAATTTATTGGTTTTACAATGTTTTTTTTTGTGTGCCTTTTCCAGAAATTTCGCTCCAAGAAACTTTCTTGTAGAATTTTTTTTCTAGTTGGTGCATAAAGGAGCATATTTTTTGTTTTTTTTTTCGTAGTTTTCTTATGGTAAATGGGAAAAACGTGCAATTTTCTCGTATTATTTTCGTTAATTTCTGAGTTACTTTGGTAACAAAAGAAAGAATACGACAATTAATATCTATTATGGTTTGCTCAGAATCATTTTTCGTTACTAAAGCGTGCAAATATAAATTAAATTACCCCGTACGTCATATACCATTTCTTTCAACTTCCCTCTTAAATGCTAAAACAGTGCCACGTCCATCAGCAGTATCAGACATTTTAAATAAAAACTATATAGATTAACGCTCGAAATAATTATGTGTATTATAATTACCTGGTGTTAGATAATATGTAATACAGAAATTATAGACTGAATTTCTCCCTTACCATGTAGATACTTAAACGTAGGACTTCCACTAAGTTATTTAAATCATTATAATTTATACTAAAAATATATTTTTAAAATTGTTTTAATTAAATTTTTGCTTAACCTTCTCCTCGCCTTATCTTATTTACTAGATATTCACCTCTGAATTTATTTATATAGTGTAGTAATACCGCACTAAAGCATATAGTAAATCATTTTTTTTTTTTTTTTGAACCGATTAGTTTGTTACACGATTGTGTTTGCATGCATTTTTTGCGGTTTGATATAGTTGAAAATAATCTAACCTAACGGTTTTGTCGTATTTTAAAAAAAAAATTTATATATATCATTATTCTTTTGACTGTTCAAAAAAAAAAAAATAATAATATTATTATTATTATTTTAAATAAATCACTACAATAGCAATAATATCTTCTAAAAATGGCGACTTTTGAAAAATATCATATTACGTTTTTTTAATTATATAATTGAGTTATTGGAATTTTTTTTTTTTTTTTGCTTTGTTTTTGGGGGAAGTTGTAACAATGCAACATACATATTATTCAGTTGAATTTTTTTCCCGTCTTTATATGCTGGAAAATAGGTTTTCCTGTAAAAGTACGTGACAAAATTGGAACTGTTATCGACAGTTTAGCATGAAAATAATATTCTATAATTATAAGATTAAAAGTTCATATTTCATAGTCAAGATACTACATAATAATATATTATAATGTGTAGGTACTCAAGTCCGTCATCCAATACACTAAAAACCGTTAAAACGATGACGAGAATTTTTTTTTTTTTTTATAATCGTAAACAAAATATCGTTAGATTGGTATCGTTAATGTTACACGAGGTTTGTGTGGGTTTTTTTTTAACACACTTCCCGGAACGAAGATGGACGCGAAATTCGAACACGAAACCGGCGGCGGTGTTCGGGTCATTTTGCAATGAAACATTATTATTATAATATATTCAATTATCGCTGATTAATATTTAAATCTTCCAGTAAATAACTGTATACCTGAATCGATAAACACGTTAGTAACGTTCCTGTCATAATGTTATACGAATATACACGGCTAAAAACTGTTCGTTTATAGTGTTTTTATAAAAAAAAAAAATACATATTTTATTCGTTTTACTTGTGCTGCAGAGTGATCCGATTCCTCGATAGACGCTAATTATCTCGGAAAATATTAATCCTGTTCTTTGGATTCGTTTTTTTTTTTTTTTCTACAATTTATAAAACAATCGGCTCTAAAATGTTACATTATTGTTATTGCCGGGGATGAAACCGATTTAGATTTTCAATTATAGCAACCGATTTTAAAAACCAGATAAATAGATGAATTTTTAGTTGAAATACATTTCGGCGTTGACGTAATATTATTGAGAGTAACCGATTGTCGACCGTTGTTGATCACTCTGTATATAGATTACGTGGTAATTGAAATATTAACGAAACTATAAATTCCTATTAAGAATCCCCCGGTCCCAAAAGCCGCGGAACGATGCTTACCCAAAAGCCACTATGCTTCAGCCCGTATACTTATGTACAACAACAGTTATTTCCGTGTAGATTACCTACTGTAAATTGTCATCCGGTGCAGTGTTTTTTTTTTTTTTTTTTTTTTTCGGGCGCCGAAATCCCTAATACGCCTCTGCGGTGTAAACGATTTAATACGATATGCATAAAATGTCGTCCATTGTGTTGTAACTGTTATGACTCGCACAACGTGATGTAGTCGTATTATAGTGCTGCAAACGCAATTGCTATTTACCAATAATATACTTTACATTATTATTATTACTTATCGCGTCATTTTATTACCGTACGAACGCCGCGGATTCTTCGGATATATAATAATATATTATTGAGAAAACTAGAGACCGTGTCGGTGGTATTATTATTATTATTATTTTTTTTTTTTTTCCGTTCGTTCGTTCGTTCGTTATTCCGTCTCGATTTAAAACGGGGCAGAAAAAAAAAAAAAAAAACGCAACACTATCTAATGGCGTATAGTTAACATTAAATTCTATAAGCACGTCTGAGGTACTGTTGCTCGTGTTTTTTTGTTTTGTTTTTTTGTTTTTTATTATTTATATATATTTTTTTTTTCGACCTATCTTATTTTCACACTCGTACAGTCGCCGTCTCGTCGTGGCCCGGCGTGGGCAGCAAACAGCAAGCAGCGGGCACAGCAAGCAACAGCAACAGTAACAGCGCGCGGTATATTGCGTAGTCGTTATTATTTGTATCCGTTTCTTTTCGCGTCGTCTCGAATAAGTGGACCGAGGAAAAACGACGCGATTTATAATATATTACTGGAAACCTATATTATTGTATGCATCAAAAGCGCCCGGCTATAATATGTGTTTAAACAACGATGGACGCAAAACGCGACAATGTCAATATTAGAATATCATTTTTCGCGTGTTCGTCGCAAACACGACGGCCGACCACCGTGCCTCCGGAGATCGTAATTATAGTGTCGGCCGATCCGGACGAAATTGCGTCGGGCCAAACTTCACGAACCATTTTGCAATAAAAATGCGAGTACGTAGTGTAATTACGAGAAACGAGGGTGAAAAGCTTCGAAAGTATTTCTAACGGTCCGTGTTTCCCGAAATCGGCGTACGGACACATTCGATTTCGACCCGTCCGAAATAAATAAATGCGAAAAAAAAGACGGACATATTTCGCGCGTGGATGCAGCCACTGTTGCAGGCGGGACGTTGGGAAGGTACGAAAGGAATTTAACGACGAACCGTTGCTAACGAAAAAACGATTCTGAGCGGAGTTCGGTTGATAGTGATGCTTTGTCAACAATACAATATATCATCTTATGTCATATTATTGTAAAATGATTAAAACATTGTGCGTTTCCACGATAACAATGATTGTTTAAAAAATATTAAAATAATAAAAACTAAATAATAACAAAAAATAAATAAAAACGGTTACCAATGACGACCTTATATTAAATCTTTCAATCTTTTTTAACCTAAAGACCGATGTATTCCTACTATATAGTACGAATTTCAAAAAATGACCTATTTAAAGTACAATCCAGAGAAAATTTCCTTTCGGAAAATTGTACTATACTTGATAATCAGAGTATTCTTTCTGGTGGAAAAAGTGTTCACATAAAAAAATAAAAGGAATTGGGTATTGGGATAGGTCCCCGGACTGTTCCAAGTGATTTCGAATCTAATAAACGACTGAACTTTTATGGCCTGGGCCGAAATTTCTAAACGGCCTGCTCAAAACCTCGCACACCCGAAAAGAAAACCGAAATGTCGCCCACGCGCAGTATTTACGACCAATATATTTTCAATAGTACTAATATAGGTACGTATAATATTATGATACACACAAACATATTGTTATGGATGACCAGACGTTGTCATTGTCACCGTCCGACTGTCGCCTCGTAACCCTTGGGACACTGACGAGAATTGATTGATATTTTTGCTTCACACTCTCATACCTATATTTTATGTGTTTATCTTTATTATTATAACGTCCTCCGGCCGAATTCAGTGTAATGCCTTTTCCCCTGACCACCCGATGACGTGTTACCTCACATTATTACCTCGTGTTCTCGTCGTCGACCCCGAATAAAAACGCGCGCAACGCGCAGCGTTGTTAACATACAAAGAATATTTTTCTCGGCGAGTATAATATTACATTCACTATATTTCGTATACATGTACCACGTTCATGTACGATCTACGCACTAATTTAATACGCAGTAAATAACCACTTTAGTTAATGCGTATTAATGTGTGGGTTCACAAAATATTTGAACTTAACTCGTATTAAAAAATATACAATGTATACGAGTACATAAATATTCGATTCCCGCCAAAAATATTAATTCACTTACCGTTTACACGCATTTCGTAATACCAGAATGCCAGAGTTAGAAGTTAATACGGTTTGACAAATGTACAAATATAGTATAGTTAACTTTTATAAAACACATCAAGGTAACGCGTATTTAACGCGCGTTTATGTATACATGCATAACTAAATACGAATTAGGCTAATACGCATTAGCGACTCCGTATAAGCGTGGTACATAATTTGAACATCCCCCCCCCGTTTATAAATAATATCAGCGGAAATTCTCTTCCTCTAATTTTTCTCTTAACACATTTCGATTGCAGTAAATGACAATAATGATTAATAACGGTAAAAATAGTAATAATAATTACAAAATTATTTTATATCATCGCAACAAATATTGGATTATATTACAAATCAAAAAAATTACTCAAAAAATACTAGGAAAAGTAAATCGGATAACATAAAATATTAAATATTATATACTTAATAAAATATAATTCAATTTTGTTATGATTTTTTTTTTTAAAATTGTTTTAGACGATTGAATTGTTAAAACTATTATATTATCATCGTTTTCCATGAACAAAGTGTGTATGAGAAAAAAAAATGTCCTAGTGGCTAGTATTATTGTATTTCGAGGAGAAGGTCTCCGCAGAAAAATGTCCTAGATGCTATTATTTATACCATTCAAATAATAATGAAAATGTTTTCGTGGGACCTGATGGATATCGTATCGGCGAATTAATTTATTCCTATTTTTTTCCCGGCTTATTAACTATGTGAAAAAAACTACAATAACATGCCCGATAAATATCTGTGGCATAGGTATAATTAATTAGTAAAATAATACACGAAGCGTAAATTGTTTTTAGAAATTAACTTTTATAATGGGATTTCATAACGATATTTTCTTTCTTTGTCTATAAAACAGCGCATATTATGTATAATAGCATAGCGAATTAGACAGATTTTCCTTCAATAGGTCCGATCGATGTAACGGTGATAAGCAATAAATATAATCCTGAAAAGGTTTGATGCGTGTATGAGATCGCGACGAGGCAATTTTTCGCGATACGTCTGTCCGTATAAATGCTCCATCTCTCGTATGTGGTTGCGTGTTTTGAATTACCGTTTTAACTTAACGGTTAGTTAAGCTCTAAAAAGGCCCCTTAATTTCTCCAGCGTTATACCGTGTAATCGATTTCGATTAAGATACTAGAATATCATGCTACTCGTGTAGACTATCCGGTTTGTTTATCGAAATCATTTTACAACACGAGCTGTTTTACTCGTCGGGCACCTTACGCTACTTCGATACTCCGGTTCGTATTGGTTTATCGGTCGAAAATAGGTCTGAACCACAATTCACGACGCGTAAAATGGATACGCGCCAAAGGCGAATAAAAAAAAATGGATATTCTCTTGAAATCCCTTAAATTCCCTTAAATTAACTAGTTACTTATTCAGAAGAAATACAAAACGGACACCTCCCTTAATGTGACGTTAATACTTTCCGAGCGAACGTTGCACAAAAGTATCGGAATATCGCCAAGCGGGCGGACGTTAAAAACCGCGACACAACCGTGATGATTTATTTACAAATGATGATGACGGTTACCGGGTTCGGAATTCCGCAATAATATTGCGCAACACGTGCACGACATGCAAGGAAGCCTAATACACCCGGACGAAAATCCAAACGAAAATACCGATACATTATTATATTGCACATATATAAATTAGATGCCGCGTAGAGCGTAACCAGATCTAGCCGGTGTAGGCATACACCGGGCCTGTGTGTGAAATGTTAATAACCGGGCGATATCGGTGTTTTGTTTTGTTTTGTTTTGTTTTTTTTTGTATTCAGTTTAAATTTTAACGAAAACCGACGTTTCACGTCCCGCTTTTCGATTTTTTATGTGAATATAATTTTTTCGGCCGAGCCGAAATGTTTGACAATTTAACACAGGGTACATCGTTTGGCCGTACTCGATGGTGGGAATAGAAACGCTTTGTGTTGTAAATTTCGATGAAGAGATTTGGAAAAATGACGGTATCTGAAAGCATACGTTATTATTCAATCGATCTTCACTAATAATCGTTTTTCGTCACCAGCGATTTAGTGTTGTGTACAGGTATACATCAAATAACTGTGTATCCGCATTCAGGAACGGATCCAGAGGGGCCTAGGGGTCCAGGCCCTCCCCAGACATATTATTTCTCCAATATGCTTTTGTTTATAAGAAATCCTGATACTACTATATTCCAATCACAGATATGTATGATAGGTTCTAATTAATTATATATATATATATATATATATATATTATATTATAGGTATTGTAATTGTATTTGTGTAAAAAATTGTTGGGCTCCCGCCTAGATCTTTGCTCCGGATCCGTACCTGTCTATACACTCCCAACTTTCCACCCATATACAATACCCGTAAGCAGTGTGGGATCTTTATTTTATGTCTGTTAACAAGTTTTCTACCACCAGAGATCTTCAACTAAAAAACGGTAATTGAGCATTTTTTGTAACAAATTTTGACTAGTTGCTGCATTGAGGGGTAATAGTTCGATTTTTCTTGCAGCTTTCTTAATATGAGGAATTCCCTAGTTATTTTTTTATATATATATATATAAACGATTGAAGTTCAAATCAGATGAAAATCACCGTATTTCGCCTGATCGATAGAGTCCTACAGCGATGTGCAGAAATTACGTGCCTAAGAAACATTTTCGTTAAGGGCGGACGGAAATAATAAACGGTCTCTCAATTTAACAAATTGAATGACGAAAAATTACAAGCTATTCAGTATAAAAAAAAAAAACAAGTTCTCTGGGAGGGAAAGACATGAACATCTGTTACCCCCACCCTCCTATTCAGCAATGCCACTGATGTTACAGTAACAGAATTTATGAAAAAATAGCCCTCCTCCGGTGTATATTTTTACAAACGACAAAATGCGTATCGAATGCGCACTAGCTGTCGTTGCATACGTTAAGGACGCCAACAAAACGTGTTATACTTATACGGACGCGTGTAAAATCCATAGACCATATGTTGAGATTTGAGATTATAAACACACACACACACACATACGCACGCATACACACATCGCGCATCGGTGACGATCGTACGCTACCACATAACAATATAATACACACGATGTATCTACACATCAATACACATCGTAAATATTATTACGATTTACAAGATAATCGTATTGAAACCTGCAGTTAAACAACGCGCGTAATCATCGGTCGAGACGCGAGTAAATGGAAAATAATATTAAAAATATTAATTTAGAATTCAACCTTAAAAAAAAAAAAATGGGCTTTTTTGTCGTTGTATATTAATTGACTCGAGATTTTTTTTTGTTTTCGTCGATATGCCGATTAAAAACTCCTTCCTGCCCTCTCCCTCGCCAATAGCTGTACGATTCAATTTCGGGGGAGAAAGAGAGGGGGGGGGGGTTTGATAGTACCTATGATATAGTATGGCTTGATATAAAGTGGACAGTTTACGAAAAAGTATATAGTTTATAGCCTCTGGTACCGGAGGTAATATTATACGAATTGGTTCCTATAGACTACCCGGGCGAACCGATTCGGTAACTGCAGAGTACCGACTCGTATAGACGTCCTTCGTTGTCGAAAAGGAGATTTGTATTTGTGTAGTTTTATATTCCTAAATCTCATCGCGAAGACGACGACGACCGCGACGGGAGGCGAAACAAAATTCAATCGGAACGGTTTATTTTTTTTCTTTTTCTTTTTTGCGGCGGTGACGCGAACACCAGTCAATCGACTTACTGTATATATAGGTACTTGCTACTTACCTATACTCGGCGGCGGTATTTTATTTTCACTTTTAAACGCGCGTTACTATTATTATACTGTTTAATCTTTAGAAACCTAGGCACATAATATACCTACACATTTGACAATAAAGAACACGAATGTACACACGTTTCGGATTTATAATATAGTTATAGCATCCGAAACGTATGGAATTTTAACGTTACTATAAACAGGGTAGCGGGGGATAAAAAAAAATACACACACATACGATTTATTTATGTCATAAAGTAGTTTTCACTTTGAGCGCATTTTCGTTTTAGACGCCCCGCGATACTCCTATACCTATATAGGTACGCATCGGGCCGCCGCTACGTTAATATAACTATATTATATATTGCGAGCAGAATAAAAAGAGGCCCCGTGGAATTCACTGTAAATGTTAGATAAATTACCCCATATCGGCCATATTGAATTGGCTTCCGAGAAACGAATACTGTTGAATCGGTTCAATACAATTTTAAAAAAAACGTTACTGCCATTAAAAATCCGGTGGGTAAATTCACTAAAAGAGCCGTCCAAGCTAAATGTATTACGAGAAGCTCTAATAGAAAGAAATATTCGAGAAAACGTGCAATTTTTTAAATCATCAAATTCGAAATGCATGACGTCATACATTTCGACTAAACAACTGCACTATAACAACGGTATTCTGTGTAATATGCAGATTCCGAAAAATGTATACTATATCCTTAGTAGATGGCCACCACGTCGCCGCTAGCTCGAGAATATCCGCCGCCGGTAAAAATATCGACTAAATAATCCCGGCTCGGGTTTTATAGCACTGAAAATAACTGAAATATGCGCTATAGCATAATGACACAAAAAAATCTTGAAATAAGCGCTATAATATGACCTAAACATTTTAAAATAAGTCATAAAAACATGAAAAATGATCAAAAACGAAAAATGTTTAAACACATAAATGTAATGAACACAATCAATAAGAAGTCATAAATGTAAATTAGTTCGATTAGTTAATACACCGGGCTACTTAAAAATAGATTATAATATGAAACGAAAATGTAAGCATTTTTCTTATGGATTCACATAAATGACAGATTTTTCCTACTATTTAGGAAAAATATAAAATAAATCGTTATATTACCAAAAAAATAGCACTGAAAAAATCAAAAATACCTGCTTCAAACACGGAAGATTATAGCAACATAAAATTTCATATTCGGAGTCTCTGGCACATAAAACAAAATATGTAAAGTTCACCGCTGCTATTTTTAACAGTATGCTATAATAATTAGCGAACGCTATGAAATCCGAGCTCTGGTAATAAATATTGTAATTGTACAAGAAATAACCGAATGAATAACGTTTGTCGTTCGTATCCTGCAGTGTCGTGCCATGTGCACGTAAAAATGTTATGATAATAAATAGTGTACGGTATTAATAACAAAATATTGTTCTTGAATTAACACCGTTTGCTGCGATACGATCTAGGTTACCGCGTGGTCCTACGCTTGCATACCAATAATATTGTTTTGCGCTATATGGAAATATCGTTAACACGACGAAACCGTTAAGATGATAATATGATTGTAATGTACGTCTGCAATCTGCGCATTGGCTACTTGTTACTATATTTTATTATAATGACCAGTGACCGTTACGTTATTAACCGGCCGTGGTATTATGTATGTATTGCCCAAAACAATTTCCTTCGGAATAATAACAACGCGAATTATCTTTACGGAAAAAATAAAAAAAAAATAAAAATATTTTGTTCATACACTGTTTCGGACGTTTCAGTACCGCGTATATAATATGTATATTACGACTGGAACGCGTATATATTATTATGGTAAAATTATTACGTTCAAGACCATAATCAGTACCTATATCGCAAAACGATATGAAGAAAAAACGAAATAAAACCGTTCCCGGCGATAATGGTGATAGTTTTGAACCTCCGTCGCTTATAATCAAACATTTTCGAGGAACGTTACATTATATAATGGCCGTCCTTAAACTCACAGACGTACTGGGAGGGCGAAAAGGCTAGGGGAGTGGCTCCGGGGTGGCATTTTTTATGAGTACAGCATTTTCGAACGTGTATTTTTAGACACCTCTAACGCTCAACCGTCGTTAAAGTTCGTGCTATCCCCTGTCAATTCTTATTAATATTATTGGTATTGTTATTTTTCAAATTTTTAGTGTGGCGAAGAATGTACCTATTGGTTTTACAAAGATGTTTATTTCTTTTTTTTTTTTTATGTGAACATTTTTTCTACCAGAAAGCTTACTCCGATATATACGATGTGGACCATTTTCTCAAGAAAATTTTCTTGGAGGGTGGTGCTTTGAGCAGTTAATTTTTTGATTTTCCAGGAAGCTTTCCCAATAAAATGGAAAAAGTGAGAAAAATGAGAAAACTTACGAAATATATTATTAGTAAAATACTATGGTTTCTTTTTTTCTGTGAATAATTTTTCTACCGCGAATTTTGTTCCCATTTACAATGATAGTACTTTTTCGATACAATGTTGAACAAATATAAATATAGAAAATATATAATGCCTATTTAATTATTTTACCATAATATGACATATATATTGTTGACAAATCGCCACAATCAACTGAACTCCGCTCAGAATCATTTTTTCGTTAGCAATGGTTTATCGTTGCTTACAGATTTCATTCAATTTCCTTCTGTATCATGTCTCCCCAACTTCCCAACTACAACAGTAGCTGCACCCGCATGCGAAGTATGGCCGTCTTTTTTTTTTATTATCTCGTTCATTGCTTCGAATTTCTATGATTTTTTGGGTTTCCATGCCGATTCGGTTTTTAAACAAAAACTTCGGTACCTATTTCGTTTACAGTTCTTAAAATTACGGAATTAAGGTTCTGGCGGTACCTAACCTAAACCAAACCGATATTAATCAATAATAAAAATTATTCATTATCACCCATTACGCTTATTTTATTTTTATAAGAAACTGTACATAACTTATAAACATTATAATTAATACACCGTTTGTTCCTCGACAACCTTGATTATCAATCAGATGAAACACCCGGTTACACATCCGATTGAAAGTCAAGGAACACTGATTTATGTTGAAATACAAAATATTACCGCGTTTGAAAATATCAATATAATAATGTATATTTTTATTATTCTTGATAATAATATAAATATTAAATATATTAATGCAAATATATTCAATATGAGTGATTTTTTTGTGTAATGTTGTGTTAAATTTATTACAATTAGAGGTATACATTTGTTATATTTTTATTTACGTATGACCAAAGAGAATGCAAACACAGTATAAAATAAATATAAATATAATTTAAATTGATAAAATTAAAAAAAAAGTTTGAAATATGCTTGTGAATAAATATTTACGTGTAAGTTTATTCAATTGTATGTGTACTGCTGTCATATAGTGTCCTGGTTTTTTTTTTCAGACTTACACATATTTGAATTAAAAAATATTTGAATATACCTAACAAAACATTACCATAATATAGTGTGTCCTACAATGTTGTCCTTTTGCTAATATAACTCTGTCAATATTCGTTTTTTATTCAATCCGGTTTTGTGTGAGAGAGACACAAATGTAGAGAAAAATTAAATGTGTATTTTTATCCCTTAATCACTCAAAATTAATAATTTTTTGTTTTTACACTTTTTAAAATAATTACTTTGTAATAGCCGTTTTAATTTTTAGAAAATTGGCGTGAAAACAATTAATAATTTCCATTAGAATAACACGTTACGTGATAAGAAATCGCAATCAGCACGGTAATTCTTTGTCTTCTAATTGAATATTATTAAATGTTTTCATGTATATTTTCTATACATTAAAGCCAATAAGAAAATGTTAATCGGATGATTAATATTATTAATCGAATAAGATATTTTACAAAATGTGTGTTTTGAAAATTTTAAAAAGTGTAAAAATAAATAGTTTTTTTTTTTTTAGTAATTAAGTGATGATAGTAAAACCGAAATTTTTCCCTACATCCCCCTCGCACACAACTCAATCGCGAAAAAAAATAAACGAACATTGACAGGATTATTAGCACAAGGAAAACACTGTAGGACACTTTGTATAGCGGTCCGACAGTTTGTACTGTATATTATACAATAATAATACTTATAATGGGTACCTGCTAGCGTATGAGAGTTAGTATACAAATATTGTTTCAAATATTTAGATAAAATACAGTGTCGAAAACAATATTGTTTAGATTATTATATTATAAAGGAAATTAATTTCTTTGTTTTTCGTTCAATGCACGCGTGCGTATTTGTATCAGACAGCTATTAACTGCGTCATATAGCACATTTACACATTATTAGCACACATATATATATATAAAAAAAAAAGTAAAAAGTTGATTTCTATGGAAACGGAATTACCGAATAATCGAAAGTTGTCCCGAACGATAAAAATTAGCACATATTATACTTCCATGCCTATAGCATTCGATATTTTTGTTATTATCTAATATAATTATTACTATTACTTAAGATTCTGAGTGAACAGTTAGCGAGGAATAATGTATTGGTTTTGTTGTGTGTATTCACTCCTGAAATGGCTTTTGTTCTTTTCAATGCTGTTCAGTTCTTTTTTTTTTCTTGTAATAATTATTAGAACCTGGCTCTATGGTTCTTCTAGTTTACACAATTCAGAAAAAAATTATTTTCAAAAAAACCACATGCAAATATACAGATAACTTCGCTCCGAATAGATTTTCGTTAGCAATGATTTATCGTTGGTTACAGGTGTAAATTAAAGAACTTTATGTATTTTAATATGAAATTTACAATGTCACGAGAGGAAGGAGAATTATAAGCTTTGTACACCCCTATAGACCCTCAAAATAAAGTCAGGGAGATGAATGTCGTACATGCATGCTGTAAGTATCAAGTATGTGCCTTTTGGTTGTACGATGCTCTGTAGAACTGAATGAGTGGAGGGGTGGTATTAGACCACGAAATAGCCAAGTAGAGCAGAGAAAAGGGTAAACTAGTGAGCAACTCGGGCAATCATAACTAATTTAGATCAATTGAAAAAAAAAGTCTGTGTGCAACTTTTTACTAGAATTTTTGCTCCAATTAAAAACGACTAGAGAGCTTTTTTTTGGGGTAGTTGTTGCATTGTGAAGGTAATATTTTGATTTTCCAAGTGGTTTTTATAATAATTGGGAAATCTGAAAAAACGCATAGGTAAAACGGTCAAGTTTACGGCACTAAAAATTTCATTATTTTCAATTTTTTTAAATTTAATTTTCTATCAGAAATCTTACTCTTAGTTTCGAGAATAGTATCTAAAAAAAAATGTTGTCTAATAAATACCCGATTTATTAATACCTAAATGCATGATGATTTTACGACATTATGATTAATGACCGTATTAACAAAGTATACTATATTTTTGTTATTATGTATTTTCGCTTTTTTTTTTTTAAATTCGCTATTTTAACATTCGCGGTCGGATTTATTTGGCCGGATACTACAAATAGAGGGACTGAATCGGTTTTAATGATACCTGTATAGAGAACATTTGTCGTTTGTTTTATGTATTTTTAAATTTCAATTTCCAACTCCGTGACTATTATATTACGATGTTACAATATCGTAGATTAAACACGAACACGTTTTAATTTTGAATAATATCATCATATTTTAAACTACCAAAAATTAATTTTAAAAAATAACACATATAGTACAATGAAAAATTTGAGACATGATGTCGCATATTTGTATGTAAATATTTTTTTTTTATTGATTTTTCCCGAACATTTCACTGTTTAATTGTGTCTGTTTTCCATATGTTATTTAAGTACAGGTATTTATCTTTTATCTCTCCACTTTTTTTACACTTCAAGCCACTTCCTCTCGATTGAACGTTCTCTAACTCGATAATTTTTGGCAGATAAAGCGATCGAATTATTATTTTACCAAAAAATATTTCTATAATACAAACTATTATGTATAGGGGGGAGGGAATTCAACTAGTTTTCTTTTTTTTCTTTTTTTGATATTATACATACTATAGGCATATAATGATTGAGTATGATGGAATGAGGCAAAAGCAACATTAATATAAACTTTTGTTTTTTTGTTTTTGTTTTTTTTTTAATCACGGACAGTTATTATAATAATATTAACGATGGTTCAAAAGTTTCGTTCTCCAAAATACCGACCCGCTTTGAAAGGAAATGAACTCGAGAAAGTACGTACCTATACTACTGCAGAAAAGGTATCTCTAATCGTTAATACTCGAGTAAACAAAACTCGAAAATTAAATGTAAACACTTTAATTCTGCATACTTATAGTATCACGAAACCGGCAGGATCTCTCGACATCAAACGATTTATCGTCGATTGCAATATTTGTCAATATTCACATTAGTATGCGCTTTCTTCCCAAACTGAGTTAATACTCATATAATATATTATATATATGTGTGTGTGTGTGTGTGTGTGTGTGTATATTATTCATAGCGTTCTAAAATATGTCCATCATTGTTTTCGTCACAATAATATATTGTTCATTGAAAATTTGGAAATGTTCCATAATTTTACGATTTCATAACAAATTTCTTGGATCGAGTATTATAATATGCATATAATATGTTTGGATCACATTGTATTCAGTTCATTGTCAAAATAGTACGCACGTCATATTGTCGAAAATGTTTTCACGCGTTATTTTCAGTAAGCCTCAGAGTTTTAATACGCGTTTATTATTTACCTTGATATTATTAAAAACGATTTTCTCCCGTAAAAAGTTCCGCGCTAAGTGTTTTTACGTATTTTGTTGCGTGTTACTTGGATTCGCATATTTTCGATAAACCAATAATAAATACACTTACCTAATACCTATATATAAATATAATAATCAATAGTTAATATATATCGACACATTGCAATATATCAATATTGAAACATGTAAAGTATTTAAATAAAAGTGTTTGAATAATATAGACACCTATTTTATAATTCGATAAAAAAAATCATTCGGTATTTTTATTTAAATATTCGAAATCGAATACTTACCATTTTAAATACTTTTTCTACTTCACACAATTTTTTTCCATGTATACATACATATATTTTATTAATGTTATTTACTATTAAATTAAAACGCATCACACCGACACCGTAAAATGTCGAAAGTTAAGTAGATTCAGCATTTTATAACTTGTATACTGGTATTAAACCAGTATTATAAAAAAAAAAAACCGAATATTAACAACTCCTGTATTTGAAAATATTTATAAATACCTACTTTCCAAAAGTATACGTCATATCTGTATTCTTACTATTTAACTAATAATTGTTTAGTGTAGTGTACTCCAACGTATTCCAAATACATTTTAAAATATAATATCTGTATTTGTACTCAAAAAAACTATTAAAAAGGCTGATCGGCGTGTCATTATTTTAGGAGGAAAGTTTAAAGAGAGGATATACTGAGTGATCAATCCTTGACAAGATACTCATTATCTCGGAAAGTATTTACTGTTTTTGGATTTTCATTTATTTTTTTTTATTGTTTGACAATTTAAAGATAAATGAGCTCTAAAATGTTCCATTGCCGTTATTTGTTGATATAATTACCGCACACTTTTAAATTTTGATTTTCAAACAGCAACTATTATAAAAATGTTATAAATAGATAAAATTTTAGTAATTAAAATACATTTTTTTGATGTAGGTTATTGTCATTAAGTCAACAATTGGCAGTGTTTTCATTGCTATAATAAGGGTCACAATTTTTTTTTTATAAGAATTTTATTATCAAATTATCGGCGAAAATCGTAAATATTCCGGTCTTTCAAAACACGTATAACCGAACTCCGCTCAGAATTGTTTTTCGTTAGCGACGATTAACCGTACATTGAGTTCCTCTTGATATATTCTACCTAGCTTTAAATCCTCGCCTTCAACAGTAGTCCACCCAGGGTACGAAACATGTCCGTCTATTTTCTTCGTCCGCTGTTACTTGTCGTATTACGTCCGTTGGGGCTATACGCCGGAGTGTGTTTAGTTTGTTGTTATACTTGTCGGTCTTAAACAGCCCGTGACGATTCTGCCAATTTAATTCAATTTGATTTAAGGTTTCATTCGGCGGTGCTCATTGCTCATTTATAAAAATATAATAATACATAGTTCCAACTCGGGACATCACCCTGCGTTAGATCGCGTATCTCAGTCGCGTACACGAGAGACCCCATTATTCCATTAATAAAATCCGTTGACATGCCAACGATATACGTTTTATATGCAAATACTGTAGGTACCTATACATTTTTTTCGTCTGCCGTGATTGGAAAAACGCCAGAACATTCGTTTACCTGTATAATAATCGTATTATCCATTATATAGTTGGGTATCGTGGGGATATTCTTGTGCACGTTTACCCCGGCAAAATCGTAGCCGAATTTCCATCACGAGAATGCGTATATTGTTATTATTATTATTATTATTATTATAGGTATACATCGTTACACGCATTACATATACGATTTTAACAATATTCGAATCGCGTAATATATATTATTTCGGAAGATTCATAACCGTTCTCGAACAGCACGTACGTAGCATTATTGTTGTTGTTATATGCGGATCGTTTACTTCTACACCTTTCTACAATATGCGCTAGAGAAAAAACAAATCCACAAAGGTATACTGCATCAGCCGATACTACGTGTAATTTATCCTATTGTGTAGCACGCGTTATTATGAACCTATTTAAACGACGCAGATGCAAAAGAGAACGAAATTATTATTCATATAATTACAACGTTTTTGTTATAATATTATGTATGCAAAAATTTTTAGACTAATCCGTCCGTAGAAAGAAATTATATAGAAAAGAGCCGATGCTGCTGATGGGTGCACCATTGTAGTGGGTGCGAAGTTGGAAATGTAGAATACAAACAGTTATTTAATTTGTATCTATAAGTTACGATAAACAATTGTTAAAAAGTACGAATCTGAGCGAAGTTCAGTTATACTTACGATAATACCTAAATTATACATCTTAAATCGATTTAAAAAAATTTACATCATGCTCGTTTTTTTTTTTTTTTTTTACTTCTATGTTCAACTATAATGAACCACGTGTTAAATTTTCAAGTATTTCTGTTTGGTCAAACAATTGTATTCACATAATACCTACTGAAAAAAAACTGCGTACAAGCAATTTAAAATGTGAAATGCCTATGAATATTTCAATTTTTAACTAAATTACAACAATAAACGAACACAATTGAAAATAATGAAACCAATATTTCCGTGAGCTTTCCCATTCTTTCTACATATTTTTTTTTACAAATTTTCCCAATTATTATGAAAATTGCTTGGACCATCAAAAACTAACTTGCTTAATCTCCAACTAGACCCAAAATGCAATAAAAAAAGTTTCTTGTCAATTTTCTACTGGAGCCAGATTTCTGGTCAAAGAGTTGTTTACAAACAAAAGAAAAACATCATAGAGTAAAACCGTTCAGCATTATTGTTTTCAAAAGGATTACATTATTATGATGATTCCGGCACATAACATATTATAAATATATGATTTTCATTGAGTTTTTGAACTCGAACATAATTTGAAATTATTGTTATTATTATTATTAATAATTGAAATATTATTCTTCTTAGAAAAGACGAGTCGAATAGGCAATTATAATATTATCGCGCCCGCAGGAAATTTATCAGTGAGGGGCATAATAAAATCAAACACCAAAAAGAACAATTCAAATTATATTTGAAATTTTAAAGTCCAGAAGGGCAGATGTTCCATCTTCCGGGCACGCGTAATTATTATAATACATAATAGATTTAATGAATACAATATTGATCACGACTTATACAGGTGTCCCGCGAATATATTATCATTGTGATATTTTTGAAATTATTAACTTTTTAAGGTTTTTTTTTTTTTTTTTTTATAATCTAAGAAGTAAAGAGCTTTAAAATGATACATTACCATTATTTTTTGTCACTTTTAGAGGGGAGGGGGTTAATTACCGGAACACTGTTTAAACGCAGTACCCTGTGTCGCCACACAACTAATGCTCCACTACACTCCCCATATCCAAACTTAAAAGTTATAGAATATCTCGTCAACGGGTTAACGGCAATCAAAAATTTCAACTTCAAAATGTACTTTAAACCTATATTCCGTTTATTAATGGAATTTCGGATATAGGTTACCATTCGAACAACAAAATTAGGTAGTCTGTTCGCTCTCGGAAATAATGGCGACAACAAATAATGGTAACGTAACATTTTAGAACTATTTGTTTCTAAAATTTACTGTAAAAATTCATTCGGAAAAAATTAATACTTTCTATAATATATCGCAATGGTTATATCATCGTCGGACGCTATGTACACAAGTTAAACCGATGAAGCTAAAAAGATAAAAAGTAATAAGAATTAAAAACGCGTATAGAGTATTATGAAAAAATACATAAATTAAACGGAAAACGATTCCGCGAAAACGCCAGCAGCATATTATGAACGGCGGCGAATTTACGTAGGTAGGTATTTACACAAAAGAACGAAAACATTTTGCTTTGCACCGAAAAAAAAAAAAGAACAAAAACTAAACAAAATAAATGAAATATTTTAAAAATATAAGAATACTTGCATTGTTTCGTTTGTTATTATTGCTTAGCGGCTTCTAATAGATAGTATGATATAGAAAGTGTGTGCGGAAATTTAACGGACTCGTTTGAAATATTGTATTGACCTGTTTATGAATCTTGGTGTGGTGTGTCCAGAAGCATAGCTATTTAAGATTTGTGTTTGGGAAGGGCGCATTAACACAAATCAAACGACTAAGTCCACCCTAAATGATTAAGGCTAAATTGTGCCAAGACCATCAATATTATAGAAGTAGTGTGTGCGTGTGCTTGCGTGTTTACGGAACTATAGACGGTGGTTTCGGAAATACTATGTTTGGCTTTCCGAAAGAACTATTCATACGATGAGTCCACATACAAATACCACCACGAAAATCACGGTTGTTACACACGAGATTATATATTTTGCGATTGTTATTTTATAAACGTATGGCAGTTATGTAGCAGTGACGCCGTAGTCCAAAAAATCGGGCCAAATACACTGCAAGAAATTATCAAAAATCTAAATACAGTTCATTTTATAGCCGAAATTAGTGTTAAAGCAGTTTTGATGAAGTATTTATTTGATTTGGTAACCAAACGTTGGCCCGAAATGAAGCGAACCCATGCTTAACTTTTAAAAGAAGTCCGACCATATAACATGTTCGGCGCCACGTGTGTACACGATATAAAACATATATTAACAGAAATAACAAAAAATATACTGTTCAACAAATCGCCTCAGAAATAATACGTATGTCAATATATTCGTCACGCGGAATTCCAAAATTAATGAAAAGCCTCTGCCCCGCCCTCCGTAAATATACCACTGGTTACATCTACGTTCTTTATATAGGTACTAATGTATTTGCCATGTCCCGGAAACGTACCTCAATGATAATTTTGTATTAATACTTTTAGTTTGAGTGTGGATTTGTCGAGTTCATTTTTTTTTTAAGGGTATACAACAATTATAAACCGAATGAAATAGACACTTCAAATATCGGTCGAATATTTATATTATAATGGTCGTGAACTCATAATAATATACATATTCAATATTCATATATGCTTATAGTAAGTAACTTAAAAAAAAAAAAATACCAGACTATACACACATTATGTCCTTATGCATTCCAGATGAGTGATGGTGACCTCATCCCCGTGAATATTCCAATCGAATCAAACGAACGTACACCTATTATTATAAGTTATCATCGATATAGTGTCCCGGACGAATAAAATACGCGTATAATGTACAAATATACATCAAATATTAAAATTTAGACAAAAAAAAGTAAACGTAATGGTATTATTTCGGACGGATATTTCTCTATACATAGGTATAATAGGTACGATTGAAGAATCGTGCGATCTTTGAAACGCTCGCGGAGGAGAATACGGCGCCTGTGCGTAACCTTCACACGATCTCCGTGTGACGCACGCCCTCTTATATATTATGTATAATTATAATCTATACATGCGATTTTATATGAATCCGAATAAATTTCCACGGTCCATCGACACAATGCGCAAGTCGATAATAGTAATAATATCTGTGCATCGGCGTATACTGTATGGCTTCCATTTAATTATAACGTCCGAGAACGGAAATAGTAAAAACCGGTGCCAAAAAAAAAAAAAAAAAAACAAATTAAATAAAAAAGCGCCCGTCGACAGCGATATTATTTATAGTATAAGACGCGTTCGACAAATCGAACACATTGAAATAATCCATTAGTCGATTAATCGATTTTATTTCGCGTTCAATACGTCATTATATACGCATTAGTCATGCTACCTATGCTATCGTGTTGAGCAATACGTTGACCGATCCGGAATCCAGATTACGATTTCATAAATCCCGATTCGGATTCAACTTATTATAACATAATTCGTATATCCGGATTGAAAGTAACAGTCCGGATTGAACGGATTGTAACATTTGTTTTAATTCGGATCGATATCTTCCAAACTTACCACACACAACAGTAGCGTGCCCATGGTGCGAAGTACAAACGGGTTTTTTACAATTCAAAATCGCTATTAATTTCAAAGTGTTATGTAAATAAAATATAACAAAAATGACTTTTAAAATATCGTAAATATGTCGAAGATATCTAATAAGTGCCCCGACTTATTAGATATTGAAAATCTCAATAGCTTTGATAACTTTTTTTTTTTTGCTCTATTAAAAATAGTAATTCCTTTAAAATTCTAGCGAACTATATAACGGCGTCAAAATATAATCTTGCCAACTTCCGCGCGTGTAAAAAACCACTAAGGCCGGCTTTGCGTACATGCATATAAAAAATATGGTTAATATGTTACGGTTTTTGCCAATTATAAAGCATTTAATTTTTCTAACAAATAAAAGCAATATTAGCCAGCTTGACATCACTCTGCCCACTCTATCCCTGTCAGGTTGGGATGTTAATTTTCCCGATAAATGTTTTTTCTGGTAAATTGTACGTAAAATTTACCCCGGCCCTAAATTTTTTATTTATTTTTTTTTGGAAAATCTGCAATTTATATACACAATTAGCCCAATAAAATCATCACTAACATATTTTTAAAATTTGTATTTTCAAACTAAAATATTAGGTTGTTTTCCTAATAATTTTTGCGCAATTAATTACTTTTTCGCGTTGACAGTGGTACCGAGTTAAAAATCGATAGACATCATAAATCAAATGTGATTGCACGTAGAATTATAATTGAAATAAGCTAGGAGTCACTCGATTTTTAATTGGCAAAAAAAAAAATTTGACCGAGTAAAAAAACTTCAGTGAAATTGACCGAGCCCATTGATCCCTAGTCAAGTCTACACGCACGCCCGTGCCATTGGCATAAGGAATTTCGACTGATATATAATAAATACAAGATACCTAATAGAAATGTATATCGGTAGAAGGGACGGGAAATAAAAATATGCCATAGGGATGTATCTAATATTATGCAACTTATACAGTCAGGTCGAGTCATATGTATTTGCGTTATGTGTTACGTGTGTTTGAATCAATTGTACACATCACCGAGTTCAACGAGTAAAATCGGCCCAAACCAACAAAAATGTAATTTTGTTTTAACGTTACGATGTTAGATATTATACGAAAGTTTTCTTTGAGGCCACCGAAGGCCCCGGTATAACCTTAATTATTGTCTTTACTACACAATGTGCACATATTATACAACGTACACGGTATAGAACATCATAATATCATAATTGTAAGGTAGACGCAACTGTTGAATGGAAAAAATCTATAATTCATTACCTACATACCTTTCAATTAGCACAAAAAAATAATGAAAATTAATCAGCGATTATTTAAGTATTTGTTCGACGATTGATATGTATATACGTATGGTGACCTTTAATGCACACCTGCATCTCTCCTAACACTTGTCTCGTGGTTTCGTGTAGGCTCATCATTACATAAATACTATGATGTATTTTGGGTATTATATACTTGAAAATTAAGAAAGAATGAATAAAGACCGCGCCGGATGTAGATTATTAAGAAAATTAATGATTGCATTGTTGCAGAGTACCTATATGTACGAATATTTAACGTGTAGAAATCAACTCAGCAGATCGGAACGATAATTGATACGAATAATCTGTAAATAACGAAGGACGCGAGTAAAAGTGCATCCTTTGGAACAAAAAAAACAAAAAAAACAAAAAAAAAAAAAAAAACGTATTCATTTTTGATATATAGAATATTTAATTACTACTTTTGAAATCATTAATGAAGGAAAATAGCAAAAAAAAAAATTAGTAGGTAGGTACATTTGTAATTATAATGAGTACTTACCTATAATGTTATATTTATACATTTTAATTAACGTTTTGACCACGAGTGTATATACCTATTTTGAAAATATTTAAAATATTTAACTCGCGCTATTTTGAGTTCCAAACGAACATTATTAGCGGCTTATCATCAAAAAACTAAGGTTATCTAAAAACGTGTTCATATAAAATTATAAATTAAAAAATAGAACAACAATATAGGTAACGGTGAGAGTTGAACGTTTTTTAAAAATGTAAAAATTCTGGCGCACGGATTTCATAACGAATTTTAACCGAGCTGTCAGTGGCTGTCAACTAGGAATACAGCATATTATAAATTATAATTTTATTTCATTGCACCGAGTACATTTAAATTAGTATGCCTATTATATTTCAACAATATGAACATTCAAACTTCGAAACCTGCCCGTTTAAACTAGTCGCAGTACGTATAGACGCATATCGGTAATTTTCAAATCGGTATCCACTACGTCAATTTCGTCGTTTTAATAGGTACGCGTACCTGTGCTACACAAACACTACACGTGTTTTCATAAACGGTTCCCAGACCCAATTCGTAATAAATTAAAGTAATTAGTTGTGCATTTCAGTACACTGAACGCCTGGCGAACAATTAAAACAATTATTATTCAAATTCCGCGTGGGCGTTTGATAAAATATGCCTATATAATAAGTTGCCACGTGCAAATAGGTATCTATTGTAATAGCCGTATATAAAGGGTACAATAATATAACACGAGATTAACAACCTATATGTGTTAGAACAGTTTTGCTTGTCTGCATTTTAGTATACAAAAAGCGGATTACAGTTTATACTCGTACTATTGTACTGTCATTTCGCCCTTGGGGTGTCAATAGATATAAATACAAATATCGGCTTATACGGAAAAAAAAAAAATGAATTATCCACCGAGCGCACTGCACGAATAGGAAGATGTAATATGATCACTACGCCCGTGAAAAAATGTACGAGTATATATTCCTTATAGCCCCGTATATGTACCCATCAGATTATTATTTGCTAGCGTCCATTATCATTTAATTATATTTCTCCTTTGTTTAAAAAATATGCTTTTCGCCGTGTTAATAAAAATATTTATTTATTATTTTTATTTTTTTTTTTCATAATTTTAGGTATTATAAATTCATCTTTGGTATATGTTTACAAAATAAGTATACACCTACCTACATAAACCTCAAAGTCCTTGCGGTTGTTTGACCGCGGCGTATTAAGGTTAGAAATAAAAATCGTTTTTTTTTTTTTTAGACATGTTTTGGTCAGAGCATCACTCGCGTACAACAGAAACTCAATAGCGACCTGAAACCATGATCTATTCGTTTCTGTCCACTGCCATTTATCGTGTCGAAAAATCCATTTCCAACGGAACAATTCGCCATCACATGGAAATTATGAACAAACGGTAGCAAAATTATTACAGGTCAGTGCAATTATTAAACCGAGAAAAAATAACTACCGGGAACAGATAACCCGAATATTTCAGTAGTACTTAAAGACTCCGAGCTCCCATATTTACGCCAATGACTTATTATTCATTATTGTATATGTTCTATTCCATCTGAATTTTATTCTTGGTATTATTTTCCGTTATACATCTGCAAAAAAGTAATTTTATTCCATAGAATAATATTTAAATAATTGACATAATTAAAACCGATAATTATATCGAATTTAAGTATTATACTTATCACGTACCTATAATACAATTAAAATTAGACAAGTTTAACTTTGAGATGTGTAGAGGTTTATAATATCGTTCAAACATCAAAAAAAAAAAAATAAATAATAATAAAATAAACTTAACATTTTGTTGTTCATCAATAATCATTAACCTTTATTTTTGTTTTCAACTTGGAAAACCAAAATTATACATATTTTTTAAAATGTCATTCGTATTAATTTATAATTTTATTTATATACAATAAGTTGTAGATTTAAATAAGAAAAAAAAAATCCCGTGTATTATTTATAAAGTTAAAAGCAGTTATGTGTGGTAGAAATACGAAACTAGTTTAAATATTTACATTTCTAACGACGTAAAAACTTAGCATTGTTACCTAATTAACAAAATAATATAGTAGGTTCCGGTTTATACATCGACAAATTTACGTATACGTATTGAAAATAACTTTTTTCCCGAAATAAACTTTATATTATAATTATAGGTGGTAAAAAAATATATTGAAAAATCGTAAATAATTATTATTTTTTTTAAATATTATTATTACAATAAAAATGAAATCTGAAGTAGAATAAAGGCCGGATGTGATCCGTAGGTCTGCGGCGATAAATATATACCAATTGTACTCCATACCACCGGTTTTCCTCGATTCATTTTATATAAAAACTGCGGATTAATTAAACCACGAATCCAAATTTTTAATCGTTATAATATTCACACGTAGTGTATTTATGGTGTTACAGGGATGGCTGCGTTTATCGGAATCGGTGTACTCAGACATATGCTATACCGTTTGATATTTTGGGCGGCTATACTACTATGTCTCACACAACTGTTGATAACGTTATGGAGATCGGATCGTCCGATGGCAGCGAAGTCGAACAGTATGAACACCAGAATGATTCTGCAGAATATGATCGACTTCCACATTGCACGTACTACAACGCCGCCTTACGAGAGTTTGTTGACCGTAGAACCGTGGGTGGACAAAATGTCAGTGCAATCGGAACAACTGATCATGGACCAAGTACAGAAACGATTGCCCAACCTGCCGGTGTCGTACTGGAACCAGAATAAAAACAAAGCTATGTACTATAAAAACGAGAGTTGCGCGAAATTCCCGAGCATTTATGAATTGGAATTTAACAACGTGTACTGGCAATCGTTGCAAACGTCGAACGGGTCGTTTCACCTGTACAGCGCGTACTACGACATCAGGAAACTGAGCCGAATCGGCCCCGCGGTCCGAATACTGGGCATGATCAATCGTATTGAACCGACGGTAAAAACTCATTGCCAATTTTGGTTCGACGACCACAAGCAACCGGTGATTGTGAAAATAATGGAATACAAGTATATATGGTACAAAAAGTGGGGCAATTACAAACAAGGGATTTTTCAGCCTTACTTAATCGCCTGCCAGATACCGAAATCCCATTATCACGCCATACCCGCGTCCGTGTCTCTGGTAGAGAATATATGTGACAAGGCTACCAACAATTTACGGGTGGTGTACAACCGGCCTGCCGTTAAAAAAGATTTTGCGGTGTGCGTGAAAGGCTTGGACTTTTTATACGAAGACCTATCGGTCCGGTTAGTCGAGTGGATAGAATTGCTGCACGTACTGGGCGCCGACAAGATATTTTTCTATCAGTTGCAAGTGCACCCAAACATCAGCAAGGTACTGAGTCACTATGAGGCCAAAGGCCGCGTCCAAGTGACCCCGCTAACTTTACCGGGCGGCCAGCCCAACGTGCCGGGTTTCCAGCACTTATACCTGACCAAAAAAGTTAATCACAAGCGGCAAAACGAACTGATACCGTACAACGATTGCCTGTACCAGAACCTTTACTCGTACAACTACATAGCGCTGTTGGACATTGACGAGGTGATCATGCCAATTAAGTCCAGGACGTGGAAGGAGCTTATGGACACGGTGGTGGTTAAAGCACTGGCTGTGAGAAACGAGACCCGGGCTTCCTACAACGTGAGGAACGTCTATTTTCTGGACGATCTGATCCACACGCACGGGTGGTTCAAGACCATACCCAAATACATGCACATGCTACAGCACGTATATAGGAGCAAGAACTACACGAAACCCAACCAGTATGTGAAATGCTTCCATAATCCCGAGAGAGCCTTGACGCTCCACAATCATTTCCCGCTGGCGTGTCTCAGTCAGGGGTGCACCTCTTATGCCATAGACACGGCAGATGCCCATCTGCAACATTACCGGGCAGACTGTGTGAAAACACTGAAGAAAACGTGCACAGAGTTCAGGCAGAACAGTATTATAGACACGACCATCTGGAGGTACAAAAAGGATCTCATATCCAAAGTGTCCAACACGTTGTCAACACTAGGTTTTTTCCCTGCCATATGACGAAAAATCGATGTACTTAATAATCACGCAATAATATTCAGCCTTAGGATATTATTTATAATTTATAATGATAACTTCAAAAACCTCTTGGGGGTTTTTTTTTTTTAATACTTGTGATTGCGTTTTGATAAGAACTTAACAAGTTTAAGTAGGTAGTAAAAAATATGGGATTTTTTAAATATATTAAGTTAAACAACAATTGATATTTATTAAATATTCTCCATTAAGAGTATTCAATTCTAACTCGAACATACGGGGCTCCACAACATCATTTTACAACATATAGATAAAAACTAACTGGCCTCAAGATCTCTAGTTACAGTCAGTGCTCGAATTGGAAAATAAAACAAAAGGGACTGTAAGACATAAAAAAAAAAAAAATACCTTGTCATTATTGAACTGAATCTTACCGGAGGGAGACTTCAGCACTTCACTTACCTCCCTCTTACACCACTTTTCAATTATAATTTAATAGCTATATTTAATAATAAACTAAACCTTTCCCGTTTCGATGAAAGACATTTTAGTAATTTTAAAATTAAATTGACAATGTTTTTTTTAAATAATATTTGCAACACATTAACATATAAAATGTATATCACAAATTATTTTTCTAGAGTTTAGACAAATTCGAATGTCTGTAGCTTAGTCTGTAAAAAAAAAAAAAAAAAATGTTTATTGAATGTATTTAAAAAGTTCATATACAATTATTTAACGAATTATTTCTTATTTATTTATCATAATTACATCAAAGTTGGACTCCGGGTTTAAAAATTATTACTTTGTTAACCACTTAAGTCTTTAGAATAATTTGAGTATGAGAGCACGTACGTTTCACACATTGTCAACATATTTCATTTTCGTTTATATTTTTTGAAACGAAATTATATGTACTTATAATTATGATTGGAAACTACCATGTCCCGCTTATTTTTTTATTAATTTGATAACAATGGTATCAGTAGAATCAGTAGATATTATATTATGACCGCAACAAAGACGAGCCGAATATGTGCTTCGTCTCCTCGTGGTTATTTAAAAACCACCGTCAACTTAATTTTAAAATGTCTAAAATATCTTTGGTCAAGACGGGTATCCGGACGAAACAGGAAAGGTCATGTTTAGGCGATAAGGGCGATACGGGTCTCGCTCAAAAATACAATAATGATACAAATTTGAAATTTACGACTGAACGATAAATATTAAATTATAAAAAAAAAGTATTTATGAGTGTAATATTATATCTAAGTTGATGACTAAATACATGCACGTCTTTTGAAATTATCATTATTCGCAAACATATTTTCCGTTCAACCCGATAGAAATTATTAGTAAAGGGTCGTCAAAAAAAAAAAAAAAAAATGTATAAAATAATAGAGGAGATTTGACCACTGCGTCCCCCCCCCACCCAATTTGACCATTGATTATACTACTATCCTAAATACAAAGTGTTTTATGCTATATTTCTTAATTGTATTCAAGTACCTATATCAAATTAGTAATATTCCTTACAACATTTTTAGATTAGATTAGACATCAAAATTTAAGTATAAATTATTTTTTATGATTTTATTTTTGTAACTATCCAATTCTGTAATATTAATTTGTACAGAAAATTATTTATATGTATATTTTTTTTAAACCATTTCATTATATTTAATTACATTTTATAGTAAAATTAGTATCGTTAATAATTATTTTTAAATTTAAAAAAAATACAACTATTGAGGATTCCTGATAACTCAAACCCACAACGCGAATTGTCAAAAACTAAAATATAATTATCTAGGTACCCTATATAAATATTTTGAAATCATTTATTTTCCTTCGGATGGCCTTTGAAATTTTTCCGAGATTCTATATAATAATACCTGTGTTATGATAATAATATTATGTCGTCTGTGTATTAATTCCTTTTGAATATCCTTATGGTCGGGTTATTAAATATACCTTCGGGTTGTACCTAATATAAAATAACCATTTCTTTATTGTAGTTGGTGTGTAAACTTATACTAATTATTATGAATTTCGCAGACACGTGACATCTTTTGTAAGGTTAAAAGTCGTCCTCAACTAATTGTATATCAACACAATATTATGTTCATTGTGTGCATCGTTGTATTCGTGATTTTGTATTACCTAATGTGTATGAAAATGTAGAAATCATATGCAAGCTATGTGTAGCGTACTATATTATATTATTATGTTAGAATTAAGACTTATGTATGTATCTAATACCATTAAGAAGAATAGCTATTCAATGAAAACCACTAGATCAAATGCCGTTTATTCCGCATACCCCTGTAGGTATCCTTATAGATAAACCATCAAATTATTTATTTTATTCATTATGTACGAACAGTATCTGTACTAAGATGTCCATTAACAAATTTGACGTTTAACGTGTGTAATATTGAGGATAAGCTCCAAAGACAATAATCATTATAATATAGACTGATGGATCGATATTTTATTGCTGTACCAAATGTATATTGTATTTTTTTGGCAAAAAAAAAAAAAAAACCAATGTTTTCAGTATAAAATATATAATATGCCTGCTGTGTAGAAAGAACCATTTGCTAGGCCTCGGGTTGTTTGCAGGTAGTCAAATTTGTGCGTACTTAAAAGTGTTATTATATAAAAGTACTATTATTAATAATATCTAAATTTCGGTGCGATTGACAATGCTCAGTCATAGGTGTTTACATATACTAGGAACACGCGTATTGTATTATTTGAATTATCCAAACTTAATATTTGTGACAAGTCTGTAGTGTGTACTTATAACTTTACTCATACATAATATTATAATAATAATAATAATAATAGTAATAATAATAATAATATGCTCATGTGTTATAATACACAAACGGTTTATTGTAATGCATTAATATTATAATAATAATAAGTAATATTATATTTTATTTCATTTATTCATTGATACGTTTATCTTCTACAAACTGATTTGTTTAATGTTTAATGTACTTATAGATACACGATATATAACATGTTTAACGGTTATTATATAATTTTAACATTAAATTTTCATTATTTATTCATTGATACGCGTATCTTCTATAAACTGATTTGTTTGATGTTTAATGTACTTATAGATACACGATATATATAACATGTATAACATGTTATTATATAATTTTAACGTTAAATGTTTATTATGTAATTTTTTTTTTTTTTTCTTATTTAAAATAAAAGTATTGAATTATAATATTTAGCAGATATGTATTTTTCGAGAAACCTACATTTTATTTTAATTGCTTGTATTACATTGTAAATGTGCTTAAAATTCTACCCGTCAACGTTATATTGTGTTTTTACAAAATATTCGCATCAGTCTAGGGCCGTGGTTTTTACAATAATAATTTACTGCAAAGAAGAAAATTGACAATAAGTGATAACGCCATTTGTGGACAAAGAGTACAGGTATAAGTGAGAAAATGTAAATATTTATCATAATTAAATACATACCAAATTGAACGTATTTATACATAAGTTTTTAACCAATTATACAATAAAGCAAAAATTATAAGTCATTACTTAAAATATTTTTTAACTTGTTTGGTGGATCAAAAAAAAAAGTCAAAGTTTTTTATGGAATTGCCATTTAATAAAATTCTGTCCATAGGCGCATAATGACCGTAGTTTTGTTTTTTAGGCTGTACACGAAAGGTATTTTTAGAGTGGAGAGTTTGGATTGGTACATTTAGAGGAATATTCGCTAAGAACTCGGGACAATCAACTAAATTATTTAACAATTTATAAAGGAAAAAATATCATTATTAAACCGTCTATCCGCTAAGGATTGAAAATTAAGTTCTTAAGCTAATTTAATTGAAGGGGTGTTAGTTTTTCCAAGTTTGTAGCGCATCATATAAAGAGAGCGTTTTTGTTTCATCTCGATTTTAGAAATAAGACCAATTTAGTAAGGGTTCATATAATTTAACAATATTCAACTAATGAACGTATTAGTGAACAGTATAATGTTTTCAAACAAGTTGGATCTTTAAATTCACGACAGTTTCATTTTAAAAAGCCATTTATAAACGTTGTTTTATTTCACATCAGTATAATATGTTCATTAGACGTTAAATCACTAAATAAAGTTTTACCAAGGTCTTTTATATGTGTCTTGATATTTAGCCTATCGTTTCCAATAAAATAATTAAAAGTTACAGGATTTTTACGCTTTTTAAAGGTTATATGAGAACATTTCGAAACATCAATATGTAATGAATTTATTAAACACCAATTTTCAAAACTTCAGTAAGTCACTTTGTAATATTTTACAATCATTGATAGAATTTATGGATAAATACAATTTTAAGTCATCCGCAAATAACAAAAATTTACAATTAGTAAATATATACTGAAGATCATTAATACATGTATATTAAATAAGACGGGAGATAAATGACTTCCTTGAGGTACTCTTGAAGTAACATCAATTGTGTTAGATATGGAATTATTTATGTTAACTTGTTGTAATTCTGTCTGTGAGATAATATTTAAACCATGATAATATTTGATCAGTTACCCCCAGTTGAGCTAATTTCAAAATGAATATACAATTATTAACACTATCGAATAATTTCCTACGAACCGTGTATTTAGCATCTATTTGCCCTTTTTCTCGTACTGTGGATATTAGATCGGTGTAAAAAAATGATAAGTTCGTAATTGTAGATTCAGATTTACAAAAACCGTGTTGCATGTTAGAGAGTACAATATTTAGTGAAGATGTAATTTTTAGTTCAAGCAACTTTTCGAATAATTTATATAATACGTTTAGTTTAGAGATTGGTCGATAATATTTTGAATGTCATCTCTGTTTCCAGATTTAAAAATTGTATAAATGTAGCTTAGTTTCTAAAACGACGGGAATATGCCCGTAGACAAGGATAATGAGAATAAGAAATGTATTGGCCTGGTAAGAGCGTATCTACGATTTAAGAGAAATATATCGAGATATATAGACGGAATTAAATCTGGACCACTCTTTAATTCGGGTTGTAATAAAGAAAGTTCCTCAAAAACTTCAGATATTGATGTGTAGCAGGAAGACAAATCAACTAGATCACCAACGACAGGTAAAGTGGGAGTAAATTAATCAACTGGAGATGGGGATGAGTAAGTAGAAGCAAACACGGATTTAAAATTGTTAGTAATAATTTCAATGTTATCTCAGTAAGTGCATATTATTTGGTAAAGAATCGGATTGTTTTTTTTATTTTGAACAAATTTCCAAAAAATGCCTGAGATTGTTTGTAAGAATAGACTGGATCTTACTTAAATAATTATTATACAACGTTCCGATAACACTTCACAACTAGATCTTGATGAAGCAAATGTTTCGTAATGTGTATAATTGTCAGTTAATTTCTATAGTTACAGTATACAGTATACAGTCTAGGGCAGTGGTTTTCAACCTACTTGTTGCACGGCTCTTCCGATTTTGGAAACCATATTAGCACCTCGAATAATGATAATAATAAAAATTAAAATTAAAATAAATAAATTTACTGTTTTAGCTCTGCTATATTTTAGTGTATATTTAAAATGTTTATTCAGTAGATAGTACACTATACAGTAGTACGGTAGTGCCACAGTACCATAGTACTCAAAAGGCACCAAATAGTTAATATTATTGCGATAGTTATTATTATTATTATTATTATTATTATTACTATAAAAAATCGTATAATAAAGACAATCAAATTCTGTTTTTTATATTAATCGTCGAAATAAGGACTACAAATATTTATATTTGATAAAAAAAACTTAAACAAATAACTTTTTATTTTATTATTTTTGAAAAATTTGTGTAGACATAATCATTTTATAGAATTTATTCTTCTGCAAATGTTGACGTTAAAACTTTTTTTTTCATTAAATTTGTGATCATTTTTTAAAATTCAGAGAAAAAAGTGTGTAATAATAATATAGTTAATTAATAAATGTGATTTTAGCCCGCTGCATTATTATTGGTAATCGGAATAATAATAACTATTATTTATGGCTAATGTTGACTGCACATTTTTAGATTCGGTGCGTAGTCAGGAATGTATTGGTTTTACAATGTTAATTCCATTTATTTTTCTGTGAACAACTTTTCTACCAGAAATTTGGATCCGATGTATCAAGTGTAGCATCTTTTCTGAAGAGAATTTTTTATCTACGTGGTACTTTAAGGCGGTCATTTTTTAATTTTCATAATAATTTAGCAAAACTGATAAAAAAAAAACAAAGAAAGATCTGGAAAACTTACGAAAATAATGTTTTTATTGTTTTTAATTTTGTTTTTTTGTTGTTATTCAATTAAAAATGATCGTAAGCAATTGAAACTTGGACGAAAAAATTATATTTTCCTTTTCTAGACGTGGTTAAATTTTCAAAACATTTGAGCTTTTTTTGAGCCATTTATAGACATTTTAATTTTGCAAGTTTTTTTAGACCAAACAGAAATGCTCAAAAATTGAACAGGACACTCATTATAATTCGTACTTTGTGGTCATAAAACAAAAATTGAGTTTAATATAGTTTTTTTTTTTTTTTTTATAAGTATTTTAATACCAAATTGTGACGAAATTCATAAATATCACGGCCTTTTAAAACATCTATACCCGAAGTTTGCTCCGAATATCGTTTTTCATTAGCAATATTTTGATTTTCTCTGAACATTAAAAAATCGCGAATTTATTGTAAATAAAAAGTTGAAACGACCAAATATTCAAAAGAATAAACTCACCGGGATACCTCTCGAATACACCAACTAGGCAACATTGTCTTTCAGTAGAGGAATGCTATACATCGGAACAAGATTTCTGTTCGAAAAGTTATTTACAGAAAGAAAAAAAACACACGTCATAGTAAAACCAATAAATCCTTCGCTACGTTTCGAATTTCAAATAATAAACATCATTATAATACCAATATATTCCTCGCCACACTCCGAATCTAGAATGACGTGTATTATTAAATATTGTTAACATATTATTCTATGCTGTGTAGCCACAGGTACTCGTCGAAATGCACATTAGGCTTCCAGACAATATGCAACGCGTTGAAGCATTTAAACTTGAATAATAAAATAACACACACGGTTTGTTATTATTAGCGTAATATATGCTAACACATTTAAAACCATATAAACCGTAGTCGATCGAGCAAATATCAATATTTAATTCAATTCAATTGAGTAACGATCGCCCCGTTAATTCCCTCCCCACGTTCCCGTTTAAGAACGGCCAAATATAACAAAATATTGGTTTTAAAAGATATCACAAATATGGAGTATGCCGAGAGTTTGATGATATTATGTAAAAAACCGTAAAACATGACTGAAAGGGTAAATTACTCACAAGTTATAAGAAAGAAGATACATTATCGTTTGACATTTTGAACGCTTATTAATAAAACATTTTTAAAAATATTGTGACTACGGATTTTGGATATCTTATATACTCGTATATATATATATATAACATATATTGAAAACGACTTCGGTTAATTAAAATGGTAATAATGTTTATAATTATGATGAACAAATAAAAGCAAAACGACTCCGCGCAAATTTAAAAACCATCAACTTATTATAAGATGTATAGATCAAATATGTTTTTTTTTTTAAGACCCCGGTCAAAATCTGGAGTTGGTTATAAAAAAAAAAAATAAAAAAAAAAAAAAACGCCTCATAAAACGTAAAGATTTATATTAGTGAGTCTATACGTACAGACGATAAGCATTTGTACACTTCATTGCCCCTGGGTACGACATAGTCTATTAATCATTGCCTAGGTGTGATTTGAGAATATTCATAATTATTTTTGAAGTGTGCAATACACGCGGTCGCGGTAGAACACACTTTTTGTAATTTATTTATCACATACGTTCGCCTACTAACAATTAACGATAAACATTAACTAAACAATAGTAATCAATAGTAAAATATGATGATCACTTCAGAGCAGCACAATAAATGTTCGTTAATATAGCTTTCACTAACGAGTTTGTCGGTTTTCAAATCCCAAAGACAACCGGTTTTCTTCGTCACTCCCTGCAAATTGATTTTACTGATGCACGTTTCAACGACACATTTGTATCGGTTGTCTTCGCGAATCGATCGGCACAAATCTTTCACACGATCGTTGATTTCGTTCGAAATGGTAGTGCAGATCATTTTCGGATCCAGATCTTTCCATTTTTTCCCGTCTAAATGTGTTTGGTGTGTGGTATGCATAATTTGTTTTACCAAAGTCAAGTCAACCGTTTCATTGTATCTAGGTTTTAATCTAAATCCCATCAACGACTGTACGGACTCATCTGTATGCGTCTTATCATAAATCGATAGTTGGGCAAGTTTTACCAATTCTTCGGGGAAAACATCTTTATGGGCATCACCTATATGTTCAAAGGTACAATAGCACAATCAAATCATAACAATAATTGAATACACAATATTTTATACATTAATTTCCAAGCAAAACGCTAGTTAAAAACTAACAGATAAGTAAAAGAAAATGTAAATGGGTAAATAATATTCAAAGTCCGTATGTTTTAAAAACGTTGTAATTATTATTAATTTGGTGTAACGCGCAAACGAATGCAGGGTCGTCCTCATGATCCCCAACTTAAACGTGACATTTTATTTTATTGAAATTCGTATTTATTTTTCGAACTCGAGGACTCAAATCCATGTAAATTTAATGCTTGAGGCCCAAAGGACGGTCCTGATACATACCTGTACATATATAAATATGTTCATGGAATCATTGTTATGACCTACACATATATTCATAACATGTACAGTTACCTAAACATTGTTTTTGATAATTGTGATTTAATACTAACCGGACCCGGAGTACATGATAAATTGGAAACGTTCCTATATCGTGTGCATATAATTAAGATTTTCTTATAAAAATACAGTAGCTTTTAATGTTAAATCCATCTATATATGACATCCAGTAAATATCTACTATTGCTTAGTGTTTACAGTAAACATATTAGATTGTCGCCATAGCGACAGGTTATTGTTTTCCAAAATAATGAGAAATTAACTAAAACTAAATTTCTTATACGAGCTGCCGTACAGATAATTAAAATACGTGTATAGATTACAGAATCTTTTATACAAGGCTGGGCGTTAACGAGTTAATAAGTTAATAAGCTACGTTAATTTAACCTTTTAAAGTTACGTAAATTTAACCTTACGCTCAACAACCACTTGTAATCTTGACGTTATCTACACCGAATTTTCTGAAGCGTTTGATCGCGTTGATCACTCAATGCTTATCGAAACTTTGGACCATCCCGGTGTCGGTGATCCTCTTCTCTCCCGACTACGTTCCTACCTCACTAATAGAACACAGTACGTCAATATCTTCAACACATTATCGAATGCGTTCTATCCTTTTTCGGGTATTTCCGAAGGTGCCGTACTATCACCTCTTCTGTTTTCCCTATTCGTAAACTCTGCCTCTTCCGTACTCAAACACTCCAAGTTTCTAATATTTGCCGACGATATGAAGATTTATCGTTGCATTTCTTTCCTCTCTGACTGTCTGACTGTCACTACTTTCAGTCGGATTAGAATCGGCTGGTTGCATGGGGTTTATCCCTAAGTCTTCATCTCAACATCTCCAAATGTTCAATAATGACTTTTTCCCGCATTCGTACCCCTTTAAAATTTACCTACTTCATAAACAACCAACCAATCTTCCGGTCCATCTGTACTTGAGCTCGGTTTTACATTAACTCCAACTCTTTGTTTTTAAACACATTAAGACTTCTTGCTGTAAAGCCCTCAAACTCCTGGGTTTCATCAACTGCACCTCTCAACAACCTTGTACGTCCTATCCTTGAATACGGTTCTATAACTTTGGGGCCTTTCTACGTCATGTGGCAGTAGGATGATTAATCGTGTCCAATTTAAGTTTCTTGCTCTAGTCGCTTTCCAATTTAACATCCCCCATCCTCCTCGCGATTACTCTTCTATCCTCCATAAATTACGTGTATCTGATTTATCAGACCACAGACACTTTTTAACCTCTTATTCATCTCTTCCTATCTTAGATCTCTTTTAAAATTCCGCTCTATCATACCCGGTTAGGTTAACCTAACCTTTCCACATACCCCTGTCTTCTACAAATTATTCCCTAATATTGAGCTTATTCATTTTTAGCACATCTGATGATGAAAAACTTGTCAATGGACTTTAAATTTTTTTTTTTTTAATATTATACAAGAATAAATTAACAATAATATTGAAAATCTTTTAGAAGAACAAGGCTAGATACCTGAAAGGCAAATATGGGATTTATATAATGTAAGGAAATATTCAATCATTCATAAGTTATAGGCTTATAACTAATAATACTAATTTATTAAGTGTTATAAAATACAAATTATTAATATTATTTTTAGGCCAAATTTGTATCTATGTTGAACTATTTTAGACCATTTTAGGCAATCAATATATTGCCAAGTTTTGGAATATATAGGGTAAGTAGTCTAAGTTGGTTCTCTAGTTATCTGAGACATAGGACACAGTTTGTCTTAATTAATAATGTTTTAGGTAGTAAAAAACAAATTGTTTGTGGTGTTCCCCAAAGCAGTGTTTTGAGACCAATTCTATTTATTTGTTTATATTAATGTTATTTGTAATTTAAATATAGGTGGGTCAGTGGATACATAATAAGCTGTTGCCACTTGTCTCCTGTTCTTAGATAAATCATGGGAAATGGTATAAAAAAAACTACTATAGGCCTAAATAAAGTTTTTCAAGAGTTAAATAATAAAAAACTAACCTTAAATTTAAAAAAAAACCAAGTATATGATTTTCTCATAAATATTTCTAGTTCCACTTTATTTATATGTACATTAAAAGAACTGTTAAAATTTGGTTACTAAATTATTTTGTGTAATAGTAATGTAAATGTTAAATTTAGCCATTTGTAATGCATGTTGTAATGCTGTTTAATTAAAAATGTAATTTTTTTTTGAGGGGTCCATGGTTATAGTTTAAACTTGAAAGGGGTCCATAACCAAAAAATGATTAAGAATCTATGCTCTATGGACTAAGATGAAAACAGTCTACCATTTAATAGCAATATTATGTATCACACTATTGTCACAGCCCATGGAAGTAGATAAACTAATTCTACAAAACTAATAATCCACTGATTTCTATACAAAGTTAGTATAGAAGTCTGGGTGCTTATCCCTTATTCTAATCACAGTCCATAGATAACAGAAAAAAACTCAAGACTAATATAATATAAATAAATATATATATATATAAAAATTAAAGATGGGTAAGGTCTTTCAAAAAAGTACTTCATCCCCCAAATTCAAGCACTGGGTATTTATTTAACTAAAACCTTTCAAATGACAATTAATAATACACGAAGAGACAAATATATACGTAGGTTCTTAATACTAAAAGTAAAATAATATAAAATGCATTTAAAAGCAAATTATGATGGCATTAACTATCAATATATTTAAGAATTAATATAATTTACTTGTTAAGTTTATTACAAAAAGTAAACAGTAATAATTATAATAAATATAAAAATGATTTCAAAATTATTGTAACATTAAATTTATTTTAAAATTAGTAATTTAAATTTTAAATTAGGCAGTCAAAGACAATCAACTATCAAAAGATTATCCAAAGTTAATTATAATTTGTAATAATTGGTATAATATTTACATTAATTATTGAAAAGTACAAAATTAAATCAAGGTAGTGTTTAATATAGTACAATCAATTAATGTGCAAGGTTTGGTGAACATATAGTCGGTGAGGGTGGTAAACTTATATTCCAATAGTCTGGAGGTGTTAAAGATAAATCGCTTGATGATAAATGCAGTGAAGGTGGTAAAGGCGGTAAATATGGAGTAGGTGGTAAAGGTGGTAAATATGGAGTTGGTGGTAAAGGGGGTAAATATGGAGTTGGGGGTAAATATGGAGTTGGTGGTAAAGGAGGTTGAGATGGAGTTGGTGGTAAAGGCGGTTGAGATGGAGTTGGTGGTAAAGGCGGTTGAGATGGAGTTGGTGGTAAAGGCGGTTGAGATGTAGTTGGTGGTAATGGTGGTAGAGATGAAGTTGGTAAAGGCGGTAGAGATGGAGTTGGTGGTAAAGGCGGTAAAGATGGACTTGGGGGTAAAGGCGGTAAAGATGGAGTTGGGGGTAAAGGCGGTATATATGGAGTTGGTGGTAAAGGTGGTAAAGGTGGTAAAGATGAACTTGGGGGTAAAGGCGGGAAAAGAGGACTTGGTGGTAAGCTAATAGAAGACAGATCATATGCAGTTGAATCATAACTGAAATATGATGGCATAGTCATGACAGATGAAGATGCAGTTGGAGATGAAGGTGTTTTTCTTGATGAAAAATTTGTCATCGATAAAGGTGCAGTTTCCAAAGAATATGCATTTAATGAGGAAGGTGCTTTTTCTAATTCTGGTTTAGATGAATGTTCTTTTTTAGATGAATCTGCTATTTTTGATAAATGTGCTGTGTTTGATGAATATGAAGGTTTAGATGAATGGGCTGTTCTTGATGAATGTACAGTTGAATCAGCAGGTTTAGTTGAAAATGTTCTTTTTTCTCTATCCCCTAGAAATGGTCTTTTAAATTCAACTGCTAAAAAATTTAATGGTTTTTTGAATCGTCTAATTCTACCACCAAATCGAAGTTGACCAGATTGTTTTTGACCTCCCCAACCACCACCTATAAAAATTTAAATCAAATAAATTTTAAAAAATATATTTTTTATATAATAATTACTAAGATTCACATTTTGAAGAATTTGTTTTTATTTTTATTATTATTTGATAGATGATCTATCAGATTTTCAGTAACTAATTAAACTTAAATTTTTATTCTCATAAATTCAAAAAAATGTCTCATCATTTATATCAACTATCATAATTCTTTTTAGAATTTAAGTAGATATTTTTAACTACTTATTAATAATGACACCAAATATGAACCTTAGAAATATATATATAATAACATATTCTACAGAATTAACATTAACTAGTGATAATATTATACCTAATCTTCGAGGTTTCCATCCTGGCAATGTACGTCCACATTCAAAATCAACAAATATCTCGGATTTCTTTAGTAATAATGATCGACCAAATTTATAAGCATCCAATGCCATTGTAAACGTTTGGTATTCTACAAAAGCATACCTTTTGCTTTCGCCTGTTATAATATCTCTGACTAGTCTCAATGCTACCAATTTACCATAGCGACTGAATTCCTGAAACAAAATAAAATAAATTATCAAAAGTGTATTTATAATTTTAAGTCCCAAATTTAATTAAATCTCTATATAATTATTGTTTTGACAATAGTTTAGTAAAGCAGTTTAAATTATAATTTAAAAAAGTTTTTCAGGAAAGTAGTTTGAAATGTTTACAAACAATTTTCATTACTAATGGTTTCAATGTATAGTTATCTATAACTTATCAGTTGCAACAACATAAAAAACTACCATTTAAACAATATTTAAGATAATTATTTCTTGCTTATAGTTTTATTAATTATAAAATAATAAGTGTAAAAATAAAGCACTTAACACTAATAGCAATGGAAAAATAATTAATAATGCCAAATAAATTGTCAACCTTTCACAGATATAATTAACATTAATAAAATATTTTGTTTGTAATTATAAATTTGTTCTAAATAAAGTAAATCTTATTTGTTAAGAAAACAATTTAATGATAATTAGTATAATACCATAGTGGTAGACTATGTATGACTATGTATTCAATCTATGGTTTTAACTATTATTCATAATAACCTAATAAGTCTTTAAATTATTTTTAAAACTAGATGTAATATACTATCTTCTTTTAAAACTTATATTATTCTGTTCTACTGAATGAGTATCAGAAACATTGAAGTAATTTGAAAACTTTAATCAGTTTTTACTTTCATAGGTCGATTTTTATAAACTGAAAAAACATACCATTAATTGAAAATCAGTCTGTGATTACTAATTTTAAATTGGATATATTTGTCAATATATTGATGTCTTATAATATCTATATTGATAAAGTAATCTACTAAAAAATTACATGAAAAAAAAATACAATTTAATTATTTTCAGAAAAAATACTACATTATGGTCTAATATTTTAATCATTGTCAACAGCCAAATTGACCAAATTTTGGCTGCTTGACATAGTTTATCATTAGCATTTACTTTGATGATTAAATTAAATATTAGTTAAGAAAAACAAAAATGTACAACCAATTAGTAACAGATAATAACCATATAAATAATAAAATTTTATTAAAGCATGATGGCTATTTTCAGTTCTGTAACTACCTACCATGGCACCATTGGCAAATTTTATTTTGGAGCTTTTTTTTGTTTCATTTAAGGATATTATTTTTATAATATTATTCTATTGCATTCTTACTTGTTAATCAAAATACTGCCATATTGTTTAAAATATTGATTCATTATAGTTAATGAGTTAAAATAGATTACTGATAATATTAAATTACAAGAAATAAACAAAAAGGCACCATGTTTCTTATTATATATAAATGCATGTACCTTATGTTAAACAATACAATATTACAATAAATCATTGTCATTAATATTCAAATTTAATTTTTCTAGCTTTTGTTGCTGCAAAATTGTATTTATTAATTTGGTCCTTGGTCCATGACCAATCTATTCCTTGGATACAATTAAATCAATCAAACTTTCTATAATACAACATTGACCATTCATAATTTATAAGAAAAATAAATTTTATATAATAAACCAATTTTAATTTAACTCAAATGCGCCCCCTTACTTTGTTGCGCCCTTGGCAACTGCTCATTTCACCAACCTCAAGTTACAGCACTGGCTATTTTAATGTTAAGCAAAAAAAAATTGAACAAAACCTATTGATAAGTTAACAGATAATGTTTTATGATAATAATAATAGATAATAAATAATAGTAGGTCTGTCAGATTCGTTCCGCTTATTAGCGGAGAAACGATCCATTGAAATAAATCTGCCAGATTTATTTTATTTAGCGATTGAATCCTTGGATACTACACACAGTAAGACTTTTTAAAGGATTTAATCTGCTGGAGACCAAATCCATCAAAAATTATTTCGTGTATAGCTACCTATTTTGTGTACTAAACTATAGATTTGGACAACTGTAATAGTGTTAAGTTAGGTTTACACCTGCGTGTCTATGTACACCAATAAACCATATTGGCATTATATCGACAGTGCTTACTACTTCCCACTTTTTACATCTACTTGGGCCCCAAAAAAAATGCATGAGCAGACCCAGCATTAAATATAGGATTACTTTTACTACATTTTATAGTACCTGTATGTGTGAATTATATGTAATTTTTCAATAAACAATGGCAGCAGTGGAGAAATATTGTGAAAACAGATCCCTCACTGCTACCGATTCAAACACAGGAAAAAAAATAAAGCCATTGATATGATCAGAGAAATAAAAAATAATAATGATAATGATTGTATAGTATTCAGCAATTCTTACGTGTTGTAAATCATCTTCCGTTGTATCTAGGCTTAATTTTCCAACAAATATTGTATTCAATGGATTTCCACACGCTTTATAACTGGGTTTATACGTTGATTTCACTGCTCTTGCGATTGCAGCATCGTGCGGTTCAATGTCAGTGCTGTCCAAACTACCAGCTTTTATTGGATCGTAAACAATTGATTGAGGATACCAACATTTAACTTCTGGAATATTGTGAATTTTTCCTTTATATAAGAAACTCATTTTTATCAAAAATAGTAGTTTAGAAGTTGACGAAAACTAAAAAAAAAAAAATATTAAAGATTAGCATAAACAAAATACAAACTGCAATATGGATAGATTATATTGTATAATTTATAAATATATTTACTTTATATAAAAAGCTAAATGTTTTGCTATTATACTTTTCAGTAATTTTTCGGCTTCATAAACAATTTAAGTACCTAAACAGTTTATGCGAGTGATAAGAAACAATTAGTATACTTTTCACAATCTACAACAGAATCCGAGGAAATTAATTAAAGACAATAACACGTTAATTTAATACGAATACGATTGTTATTCACTGTTAAATACTAAATAAAGCGACCTAACATTTAAAAAATAAATACCCATACGATTAAAATATGGAAATCACATTACATAATTGTAAATGTCGCATAGTCTGAGTAAATATTATGAAATCAACATTTCTTTTATCTGTTAAAATGGTTCTTGTAAATAGATAAGCTACTCAGAGACGATACGTCAATAGTGAAAAACAAATCAACGACGATTCTCTAATTGGTTCGAATACGTTATTAAACAGTTATTTTGCTCGTGGCTCTGTACATGACAATATTGTTTAACGTTATTGTTCACAATATCTTGACATCACGATAACAAATATACTGGTTGATTACACAACAAGGCGCGATAACGTAAAATGTGTTTTACTTTAAACCGATAAGAAATGTCTTACGGCGCGCTCCGTAGTAATTGTAAAATGAACACTGATGCATTGAATATACATAAATAACGATAATCACGAACCCTGAGATATCTTAAAGTTAATTATTGCCGGGTCACACCAATCATAGATAATGTAATGCATAATTATCTTATATCGTCTATATTATCAACGTTTTGCGTTATTGTGGTGATAATCGAAAACATTAGATGATAATAATAATGCCCGGTTGCAAATATTATATTAGTTTATATTTCTAATTAACTGAGGTTTTTCTTGAGCCATATTGTCGCTGTTCATTGTCAACATCACCGGTGTATGAACATATAGGACCCGGGTCATATAGATCTCAAACATACCTTTGGTAACAGTGTGCATCCAGTCGTCGCGGGATCAAATTGTCTTGATATAAAAGTCCAGATATCCGAATGTTATCAGTATATACAATTATCATAATAGCTGGTATGTCGTAGATACAAAGGTTGATATTTTTCAGAACTTTCAAATAGTATACCCCTTCACAATAATCTTAACAATATGAACTTCGCATTTGCCAGAACCCCGAACTCAGTGTCATTTAAGTGCCACAATGTATTAAATTGCCATGAAGTTAGAAGAATATGGTTACATTGGTAAGGGTAAATACGATTCTCGAAAATCCAATGCCTAAGCAATAATAATTAAATTACTGTATGAATAAATTTTTTAAATTTTCTCAAACAATAATTTAATAACACCATGCCATTAAACTAACATTAGGTAGATTGAAATTGAATAGCATTAAGTATTTTGTATACTTATATTCTTGAAACTATGACATGAGGGTTTCTATGTAAGTTCAAAATTACAAAATTTGTATGGGAGATGAGCCACTAGTAAAGTGATTAAAGTATTAATCATTGTGTTTATTTTTAACATAGTTTACCAATTATTAATAAATGGATCCATATGTCCGAGATCTAAAAATGTCATGGATCTAAATGACTCGGGACCATAATGTCTCGAGATCTGAATGTCTCTGACCTGGTATAAATTCTTATCAGAATATTTACCCGGGTCTCGACGACACGGGATCTATTTGTCATGCTACCAACTTCTTTAGCGTTAGTTCATAGCGCTAAGATATACTAAGATATATCTTAGTTCGTGGTCTTAGTTATTTCCTATACCATTGATAAGAAAATGATTAATACTATGTACATTGAACTGCATTTGCCAGAATAATAAAGGGTAATAATATTGTGAAGTTTTTAAGTAATAATAACTTAATTCATAATATTTAAATAGTACAATAGTCTATACCAGTATTTCTCAACCTGGGGAGTGCGATCCCTTGGGATCGACAACTAATTATTTAGGGTCACCAAAAATATAAAATATTGGATCACCATGTATAAAATATAATATTTAGTGGTGGCTAAAAAAATTGAATATTCATTTAGGCGGTCACGACAATAAAAAGGTATAGAAAAATTAGTCTTAAGTATAGACTCTAGTTTAATTTTAAGTAATACCAGTCAGCAGTAATATAAATATATCAATCAAGTTCATTAGATAAATTGGTACAGGTACATTATACTTGTTATAAGTTACTTATGGTGTAAACACATTTTAAATTCTGAACGAAGTGATGAATATATTGGTTTTACAATACTTGTTTTTCTGTGAACAACTTTTATACTAGACATTTTTCTGAGATTTTCAAGTATAGCACATTTTCTGAAAGGAATCTTATAAAGATGTTGGGCTAGGTTAGGTCTCATGCACACCCATTTTTTTTTTTTTTTTTTTATGAATAACATAATGAATATTTGTAAATCATTATAATAATATATGCTATAATATTATAATGTACATAATATCTACCTAATATTTTTAATTTGTTGTGCCCAAGTTGAACAAATTAGTTAACTTTTATAAACTTTTGTTAAAAAAAACAAATGTAATTATTTACTATGAGTCAAATTAAAAAACAAAAAGAAGATAATGCCTTCAATTTAGAATAAAATATATAAATAAATAAATAAATGTGTAGCCTGGAGTATTATGATATCCGTATTGTACTAATAGTTCTGAATTAAAAATTAGAATTAATTTCCAGTTCACTTCTGTCCCTGCTACAGTAAATAATTGATGCTCAGTAATTTATGCTTTAAAGAAGATAATTCCTGAACAGTGAAAATAAAATTAAATACATATTATTACTGTTTTTTTTTCATTACATGTCACTAAAGTTACCCATAAATCAACAAAAAAAGTTCAATTTCCATTCCAAAAATACCAATAATTTTGTATAAACCAGTGCTAGTATGTTACATACAAAATAGGTAAATTATTTAATCTTTAATAATATATAATTAATTTTCATAAATAAATCACCAATCAATCATGATATATACATTCAAACATAAAATGTTATTTTGTAACACAATTTATTACATTAATTTAAAACAGCATTAATTTGTTTGTTAAACAATAAAACAAACATTTTACATTATTTTAAAAAAAAATTTTCTGGCTTTTTTTCTGAAAATATATTGATTATTGTGCCATATGACAAAGTTTCAGATAAGCCTCATTTCTACAGCAATCAACTAAAATAATTGGCTGGGTAACGTGGAGTAATAAAAATGTATAATTCCAGGTGGTACCTTAAAATTTAAAAATGCAAGTTGGGAAGGAAAGTCAACTGAGCCAGAGAGAAATTTTTGAAAAAAAGATTTATTGAGATTGTGATCGGCTAAGGTAGTGAGATTTAGAAAATGGAAGACAATGGGGTGTAGTCCTAAGATACACAGTTAATATTAAAAGTATAATTTACGAAACTAAAAAATCTGTGCTGGGCATGCTTGAGTTATTTGCAAGTGTTGTCCACAGTCTAAGGATCCCAAACAACAAGCCATATTCAATAATAGGCCTGACAAGAAAATAGAAAAGTGATTTAAGAGAGTGGGAGAGTTTGAATTCAATTGCTGCTCTTTTAATAAAACATAAAACTTTAAACACCTTGCAGGTGATATTGTCAATGTGCTCTCGAGGACAAAGTGTTGAAGTCCATAATCAAGATGTTAAATTTTATGTTACAGTTTTTTTAATTCATAAGAAAAGTCATTTGTTTTTAATGTTTTTTTTTTAATTATTATTATTATTATCACTATCATTTATGTTAAGAAAGTTTTATGTAAGACAAACTTAAGGTTACCACCATGTGTATTCTTTTCTTTAACCATTATTAAAAATTACATATTCAATGAGTTGCCATTGTGTTCCATTGAATAACAAACATTGCGACTCAAAGTGGACTGGTTAGTGATTTCTGTCAGTAATTAGTTTCTAATGAATAGCTCCGTGTGTAAATGGCCTTAGAGTTGATAGGAAGCAAGTTGGCACCATTAATAGAGTAAGAAAAAAATATAGGTGAGCGCTCATGGGTGAATAACAGACCTGCATTTAGAAATGTTGAAGGACAATCCAAGTGATTCGGATCAAGTGACGAAATTATTGAAGTCAATTTGTAGATTAAGACAATTAAGACAAGAAAGAGTTAACCTTAAGAAATAATTTCATGTCATCCACAAAGCATAACAACTGACAATATTTAAGAAATGAACAAGCCCTATTAACAAACAAAGAAAAAAGTAAAGGGAACAGATGGCCACCTTGGGGGACACTAGATGGAGAGGGAAATACTTCAGACTTAATTTTGAATAAATTTACTCATTGCGAGCGATTAGTTAAAAATGAATTAAACAAGAAAAGGAGGGTCACCAAAATCTGAAATTAGCAACTAGGACCTTATGGTTAACAGAGTCAAAAGCCTTAGCAAAGTCCATATGATTACCTCTACTCATTTACCATCAATAACTACATTAAAAATGTAGTTTCAAAAAAAAAGGTTACATGTAGGTTTCAATATTTAAAATTAGATTTACTGAGGGCTGAATAGCATCTAAGACAAGAGATTCAAGTATTTTCAGAATATGACTAAGAATAGAGATTGGCCTATAGTTAGTCACCAGAAAGAGGCAACCAGACTTTAAAATAGTATAGTAGTGATAGATTTAATTTTCTACAAAATCAGGAAAATACCTTCATCAAGGGATCTATGGAAAAGAAACCATCAGTTTGGAAACAGATGAAAAATGTTCAGAAAACAGATTGACATTGGCAACAATGCTGATGGCAAACACAGATAAAAAAATGTTGCACAAGATTTAGTTTAGTTTTTACTTTAATTATAAATATTCATTGTTATATTGTTAATATTCATTATTAAATATTCATTGTCAAGTCTTTTTATTATTATTTTTAATTTATTTCAATATATTACATTGGTGATGAAGGAAAAAAAAAATATTGACAAGGTGTCTTTAAAATAATAATTTATTAAAGGCGTTAAAAAAATTATTGAATTTGTGTAGAGGTTATTTTTCTTTTGTTCGCAAAAATAATTTTTTGTATAAATATATCACATATTTATTTGCATCACTTTTTTAAGACAAAAATGTCTGAAAAAGAAAAGACATTAAAATAAACTATTGCTGAGTATTAAACGCAATTAGTAAAAAAGCAAAAATTAATAGACAAAAAGAAAAAAGAACAAAAGCTAATGAAAGCTCATATCAATTTAGAACAAGAAATAAATACTTATAGGAAGAACATACAAACGTTCCAAATACATTGGTGAGTCAACCATTGTAGTACATACAGCTATAGGTACTATGCCAGAATTCAAAGTCAAGAACAGCTGGAAAATATATTAGACAAGGTTAGAACAATATATAATTGTTGGATAATTAAAAAGTTTCTACTTTTATTACATTTGTTGGAATTGATGAACTTAAAATATTATCAGATCTATGAAATCTAGTGGAACATAAACAAATTCTTGAAGAATTGTGTAATATTTTAAAGTCAATTTTCAAAAAAAGTTTCTGCTTTCAAATACAGTTTAGAATAAAATAACTTAATTCAAGGTAAACATGACACTACTGATTACTGGCTATAACTGGCTACTGCCAGTTGGTATGGTAGTGTAAAAAGCAATTCTGTAAGTTGTGGTTTTGGTGAATTATCAAATGACTCTGTAAAAGACAGATTTGTAACAGGACTTTGTACAAGCTTTTTGGTAGAGTGTGTATGTGAAGAAGGGCCAAATGCAACTTTAGAACAAATTCTTGACATTGCAAGGGAAAAAAAAATATTCATTAATATTTTCAAGAAACAATCAAAATGACCAATCAGTTCACAAAATTCAAACAACTCAAGGTGAGAATTATAATTTAAAAAAAGTAATAACGGTAAGAAAAATGTTAACAATAATAAAGAAAATAAAAATGCATCTAATAATAACAATAATAATGTGCCAAAGTGTAACCACTGTAGCGGTATAAAACATAATTTCAGTAAATGCAATTACACTTGGCGTCACAAAAATCGCACCTATTGCAAATTATTTTTCAAAGTAATTTTAACTACACTTAATCATATATAAGGGTACTGTTATGATATATCATTTGAAAGGTGATGAAATAAACTTGAAAAATAAATAAATGGTATGTGTTTTTGTTTATCAGTGTTTTAAAAAATAAGTTAATCGTGGAAGAGGAAAACAAATTGTATTGAGGATATACAGTTTTATAAACAGAAACAGACAATAGACTTCATATAAAAATAAAAAACTGTTACTAAATGTTATTTAAAATCTAGTGCTACTTCCTCTTGCCTTAATTACTGCTTCCATACGATCTTTCATAGAAGTTATGAGTCGTAAGATGCATTCTTGAGGAATGTTCACCCATTCCGCAACAACAGCATATTGAAGATCTTGGAGGGTTGTTGGGGCAGGATCATGTGACCGCACTCTTCGTTTTAATTCGTCCCAGAGGTGCTCAATTGGGTTTAGGTCTGGACTTCTCGCTGGCCAGTTCATAACAGGGATCCCAACCTCTTCCGTATAATTTTTTACAATTAATGCGNCGCAAAGACGTCGAGACAATAAAACGATCATCTCTGTCCGTTGTGCAGCGTTGTCGGCCTGATCCATTCCTCCAGATAAAGCCACCAGTCTCTTGATAACGTTGGAAAACTCGAACGGCAAAACGGCTCAAGTTTAGTTGCCGTGCAACATCACATTGATGCATCCCTGATTCCATTACTGCTACCACTTGAGCGGCTTCGTTAGCAGTTGTATCCATTTAATACGTTATTTTTTGAAATAATATTGTTTAAAGAGTATTCACATACGTCCTTTTCAATGTTTAGGAAGTGAATGACCTGCATTTGACACTTTAAACTGATTTTTCTATAGGCAAAGAATATAAGATAAGATAGGAGTATATTTATACATTTTCCTAATGCACCGTATACTCGGAATATGATTATTGTTTATGAAATGAAACTACTATCGGATAAGAGGTCATTAACTGTACTTTCAATTTATATCTTTATTGTTTGGATTAAATGTTTTGGTTCGGGGAAATGCCCGTTTGAAACTTAATTTTAAAGATGTGCGATTTTTGTGACGCCAAGTGTATAAGGGGTAGGTATGTAAAAATTGCAAATCTAAAGGACATTTAATTAAAGTCTATCCTAAATTTAAAAATAATTTCACTTATTATGTATATTGTTCGAAGAACTAGAATCTTGATGTTGGTTTACAATATGTTGACATGTTTTGTGTCCTTGTCAGATCAGAAAATGAAAAGCCTTTTATTGTGAAAATTATTGTTGATAATTTACCTATTGATAGGAAGGATCAATTCTTCATCATTACGATAATGTCCTTGCAAATATTTTTAAAATACTCAAAATTAGAAAAAATGTTGGTAAAATTAAAATTGTATGATTTTTCAATAATGGTTCCAGAAGATGAAATTAGAGTCAATATTAAGTATGGTGACATTAAAAGCACAAGTGTTTTCATTATTATAGAAAAAAATGTTAAAACACTTTTAGGTAGATGCCTTATTGGAAAATTAGGGTTCTCATTAAAGGGTACAATTGATGCACATCAGATTTCTTCACCTGATAAAGAATTAAATATATTATTAAAAGATTTTTCAAATCTTTTCAACAACAAATTAGGTTGTTATAATGGAGACAAGGTTCATTTCAAAATTAAGCAAGGTGCTGAGCCAGTTTTATGTAAACCGAGAACAATGCATTTTGCATTTAAGAATAAAATAGGTTTAGAATTGACAGGTTGGAAAAAATAGGTATAATGACAAAGGTTAATAAAAATGAATGGGGCATACCCTTAGTACCAGTTCCAAAGCCTAATAGAGAAATAAGATTATGTGGTGATTATAAAATTACTATAAACAAGATAGTAAAAAATATAAAAAACCATTGCCAAGAATTGAAGAGATTTCTTCAGAACTTAGTGAAAGTGATTATGTCACTAGATTAGATTCAACAACTACATATCATCAATTAGAAATAATGAAAGAGACTAAATATTTGCTTGCTTGGAGTGTGCATAAAGGTATTTATAAGGTAAATAAGTTAACTTTTAGTCTGAAGCCAGCTGTAAGAGCTTCTATAAAAATAATAAAAAAAGTTTTGCAAAGTGTGAATGAAGTGATAATTTTTGTTTATGACATCACAGTTACTGGAAAAAATTAAAAACAGGACCATTTAGTTAAATTAAAGGAAGTCTTCAAAAGGCTGAAAGAAGCAGGACTTAAGTTAAATTTAGATAAATGAACGTTCTTCAAAAATATATTAAGTTTTTAGTTCATGTCATTAATAAAGATGGTCTTTTTAAAGAAAAAGAAAAACTTGATGATGCCATTGTAATGATACCAATTCCAACCAATTTCACAGAATTGAAAGCTTTTTAGGCATGGTAAATTATTATAGTAAATTTATACCTATGACAACAAATTTGTTAGCAACAATTTATTGACTTTTAAAAGAAAAACATTTCTATTAGAGATAGCATCATGAAGAAGCTTTTACAAAAATTAAAGAAGAATTAGTATCAGATAGGTATTTAAGTCATTTTGATCCAAAACTCCCAATAAAATTAGTATGTGATGCATGTAATGTAGTAATAGGGAGAGTATTATTACATGTTTTTCCTGACAAATCAGAAAGACCTATCAGTTTTGCATCGAGAATTTCGCAACCAGTAGAAAAAAATTATACAGTTATACAAAAATAAATTTTAGCAATATATTGGTTAGTGTGTATTTTTACCAATATTTAATAAGTAATACATTTACGGTATGTTGTTATAAAAAATACTAGATGAAAATAGGATAAATTAAAACTAAAAAAACCCAACTGTGTCTAAATACATTGTATTCAAAAGACATTCTAACCTAACATGATCTAATACATCTAAGACCCGAACCACTAAACTACCTAACTGATGATAACAGATCAGTTCATAGATATAAGTTGTCAAGTTTAAAATATTTTATGAATTTACAGTCATACTTCAAAATTATGGATTATCCCAGGGTTTTTAATCGTTTTGACAACATTTATGGTTCAATAAACAATATTACTAACTTTAAATGTATACAGGTGTTTTGCATATTTATATCTGAACTCAAAGTTATCAAAAAAAATGGTTGTTTTTTATGGAACTGCCTGTGAACTTGACAACCACCTAAACATAATAAAAAACAAATATTAATTCAAATTCAACAATAAAAAAACTGTTATTTTATAGGATATGTAATTAATTTAAACACCTATAAATTACATTCCAAAATATTATTATTTGTGATATTAGGAAAGCAAATTAAAATTTTAAAACATATCAATAAATCGGTTAGGTTAGGCAGTTGAATAATATTAGATCAGTATAAAAATTGACAAACAGCAAGACACATGGTAAATAAAGTTCAATAATTCAATACACCATTAATCAAATTACCTATAGTAATCAATGTCTTCCGCCTTAAATTAAATCAATTTAAGAGTAATATCTAACATATTGCATAATATATCATCATATTACATAATTTTACCCTTTGGTTATTAAAATATCTGTATTTATAATTTTTTCTTTATATTATGTTATTATTATATTCAAATTTTTACCAGTGCATCACTTGTATGTTTTATCAGAGGTTACATGCCAAAATAATTGTACTTCTACAACTCTACACCAAAGCCCTCACAAACAACCTGTGCAAATGATTAAAATTATTCATGATATAGAGACTTTCTTAATACATTATATATTTAATCAAATTTACTTTACAATCCATACAATTAGTATGGATTGTAAATATTCAAACTAATAAAATTTAAAAAAGTATTTTAAAAAAAAGTTTAAGCTCAATTACAAATAATATTGCTTAAGACAATGGTTCCCAAATTGTGTACTTTTCAGGGACACCATGAATTATAAAAAATGATTTAAAATTTGTTGGAATTTGTTTAAAATAAAATAATGTAAATACTAAATATATTAAGAAAAATGTCAAAAATAATTTTATAAGTAAAATATAAAATTATTATATTATTTTTAGATAGAGAATACAAAACATAAAAACTAATTTCTCTCAAAAACATTCTCTAACAATTTACAGTGTTTTTACTCATAAGAATAGAGTAAGAGTAGATACAAATTATATAAAACAATATAAAGAAGCAGTTAAATAATTCTACTATAAATCACATTTAGTATAATAATATGAAGTAGTACAATACCAATAATAAATTACCTACCTTTAAATAATTTAACCGAATAAATGCCATTGAATTGAGACCATATGTTTGGTTTAAGGGTACAATTTTATTCATTGAACGGCGGTAAATCGAATGCTCTGGACACAGCTAAAACTAACATACCTGTAAATAAAATATACTATTAATGTCTGTTAGTTATCACAAACTATGCAGACATTAATATAAAAAAAAAAAATCAAAACAGTTGGCGTTTGTATACTGCAGACTGCAATAACAGTTGTAAGTAATAAGTAGTACCTGCTTATTATTGTTAACATGTTAACAGTAATAAGTAGTACCTGCTTATTATTATTAACATGTTAACAAATCAATATACAGTAAACACTATTAATTTACTTGGTATGCCAACATAATACACTGGCTTCACACGTTTACAACCGTAGTAAAAGTAAGCAGCAATCAGTAGAAAAGAAATGGATCCGGATACTCTACACGGTAAACAATTAACCCTACTCCGACTAGCAACATTGTCGTCACTTGTAATATCTTGCATTTTGAAAATATCGTTCAAAAACAGTATAAACCTTGATCTAAACGAACATACGAGCAAAATTAAACGACGGACAGATAAATTTTTTCAAAGCTTTCAATAGTTTCAACCTAAACGGACAGACGAATAATTTTACATAACCTATCTATAATATGCGCCATCGTAGTTATCTCGTATACCATTGATAAAATATTCGTTATTACCATGGACATTAGATTGCGTATGCTAGAATTATAAGGGGTAATTTAAAGTGTTTTAACTTCTACTAAGTATATAATTGGTACTTTTATGTTTTAGATAATGAGTGTAAACTGTATGTCCGTGTCACCTTAGGCTGGATAATTTAAGCCGCATCCACACGATGACAATTTTTTCATGAAACATTTTTAAACTGTTTGAAATATATATCATGAAGAGTCACACTAGTGACATAAACGTTATGACAGTTGCAGTCATGACACAAATATATTTTTATATAAATATAAATATACTAGTCGACCCGTATTCTGAATACGAGCGACACTGCGACAGACAAATGCCAACTAGTATTTAGAGTGCGCTGTACTTAACATTATTTTTTGTATTTGTTAAAATTTTAGTTGTTTGTATTCAATTATTATGTAAAAATGTATCGAAGAGAGATATTGCGACTACTGAAATTTCGCTAATTCAATTCGTAAAGATATAATAAAATAATATCTTTTTGAATCAAAATTGGAAATGGTTAATTTAATTTGAATTGTGGTCTGAGTTTAGCAAACAATGTACCTATTGGATTTAAAATGATGGTTTTTTTTTTTTTTAAACTTTGACAAAAATTTCCACTAGAAATCTTGCTTCAATATGTAAGTGTAGCACCTTTTTTGAAAGAAAATATTGTCATATTGATTAAATGGTACTTTATAATGTTCATCTTTTGATTTTTGAAGCAGTTTTCATAATATCAGGAGAACCCAAGATAAAACGTAAGAAAAACCGGAAAATGTACGAAAATAGTGCTTTTATTATTTTCAATTTTGTGTTTTGTTGTAATTCAGTTTAAAATATTTGTAGATACTTGAATTTTAAACAGAAAACTTATATTTGCCTTATATTTACTTTTGGTAACATTTTTGAGAAATGTATAGAAATGTATTTAATGGGAAAAATATAAATTTACCTTTTAAATTGTACTGTTTTACTTCATTTAAACAATATATCTGCAGTCTTCTAACATAATATAAGTTGAAATGACATCAGACATAAAGTTTTTTGGTTTCTGTTGACCAAAGCGGTGGTCTATTTAAAAGTAAAAATTGTTTGCCGCCGTCAATGAAATTGACCCGAAGACACCCTTGAGCAATACTATTAACCGAGCTCCGCTCAGAATCGTGTTTTGTAAGCAATGATTAAATTTAGTTAGATACAAATATACATTAAATTTCCCTTAATATTCTACCTTTCCAACTTTTCATCTATAACAATGGTCCACTTATCGCGCGAAGTATGTCAGTCTTTTTTTCTTATCGATCATTAATATTGAATTTAATTATTTCACCCCCCCCCTCCTCTGGTCAAGGTTCAGAGACGCCCCAGGCGGTTATTCAACGTTGAATATTTTCATATTTTGATTGTTTAAAACCTAGCATTAAAGTTGGATATTAAATAATAGTTATAATATCCTTATCAGAATATCCTTATCACCGATTATCAGCAAAAAAAAAAAAAATTAATAGTCGGTTAAATTTTCAATTTTGATTACAAAAAAATTAATATATGTGTTATACATAATGTATTATATTTTTTTAGCTATATTAGTTTATAAGTTACGAGGAAAAAAAACTATAAAGATTTATGACACAATGAGTGACAACGGTTCGGATAATTTTTGGCATTTGTGTTCATGTATTACAATATACAATATTTGAGTTATGCATGTATTAACTATATTATAACAGTGGTTTGATCAAAAAACTAGTAGGATTTCAAATTTATTTTTACAATTTTTAACTTTATGGAAGAAGACTATATGTATTAATATTGCTGTAATAAGAAAGGTAGGTATTATTTTATTTACAATATTATACAAATTATATTTATTAGTGTAGTATTTTAAAAACTATATAACTTTCATTGTTTGATGAAACGTTCGGCACAATACATGCTTTATGTATATTATTTAATATGTTATGTTCTATCGCTCCTAAATGGTTTTATAAATATACACAAATGTTTATTGATGAAATACCAAAACCATCAGAGTTTCTAAAAAATTTATTTTTGGATTGAAATCTTATTCCTAAAAAACTTATTGTTTTGGACTTTTTACTTTGAACTAAAATATTTTCGACAACAAAAATAAAGTAATTATTATTGTCATTATCCATTACAATTATGCAGTCGTCTTGATGAGTATATAAATTTCGTTTTTTTTGCTTTACTTATTTGAAAAATAAAATATTCAAATTTTATATGCATATATTATTCACAGTTCACATGTTTATTTAATAGTGGTCCATTGTTATCCTTTTCTTTAAAAACTGGAAAACTGTTGCTAGTTGTCAAATATTTTTGTTCCCTTGCTAACCTATCTTCAATAATTCTGTTGTACAATTCAGTTATTGCATATCTTCTAGATTTTAAGTACCTTTTTAATCGGCCTGAAAATTTTTCATACCAGAACACATTAAATTGATTAATGTTTCCATTTCTTAATACATCATTGAAAAGGTGAAGTAATGAATGATCATTGTATGATATTAAAAAACTCGCATGTATAATTCCAAAAGTGTCAATAAAGTACCTTAAAATTTATTTATTTATTAATAATTTATTCTCATTCTTATTTGTTGTTTTAGGTAACGAAAGTATATGCATTGCACAGTAAAATGCAATAAAGTTCTTATAAATGGAATCTGGTATGTCTTTAAATATTAATATCCCTGTATATAACATTATTTGTCTTAATTTGCCTTATAATGACAATATTTATTTAGTCACAATGGTATGCGAAATCTGTACTCAAAAATGGTGCTGTTGTTTTCATACTATTAAATAAAATACCTTTAGGTATATATACATATTCATATACATATGAAGATGGCAATGAAGATTTAAAATTGTTTTCTTCCGATGAATCATTTGTGGATCAAAATAAACGAAAACTGTTCCCCAATAAACTTTTTTGTTAAAGTGATCAGTTAGTAGTTGGATCAAAAAAGAAAACTAAACACCTTGAAGTTTTTACTTTGCCACCTATGCCTTTATATCAATCTAGTAAGTTTTAATGTGTGTTGCTTAAAAATAACCAGGATTTGTAATGGAAAAATGCATAAATAATTTCAATTTAAAAATATGGAATGAGCGCATTTATGTTCCAAATCCTGTTTAGATTTTCTGATTAATTAGTTAATTCATTTGAAATGTGTACAGCTCAGAAAAATGAAATGCCTATTAAATCAACACCACCACACAATGAGGTAATAATAAATAACTTGAATGTTTCACTTTCATTGTTAAGTGATCAGGACAGTAATAATTTTTCGACTACATTTGTAAAAAATATAAGTTACTCGAATAAATCCTCAAATCACCAAATGATAGGTACTTTATTTTATTTTTTTTTATTTTTTTGAACTTACTACAATTTTTATAAGGCTTGGGTACTGTATTCTATATAAATATCTAAAACTTTGGAATTGTATACATTTTTAATTGGATTTTAATAATTTTATCTTGTTTTTATTATTTACAGCTACTTTTAAAAATTCATCTGAAGTAATTAACACCAAAAAAATTCACAACCGACTTTTGGAATTGATTATGTCACTAACTTACTTAACTATGGTACATATATTATATGATGTTTGATCACTAAATTTGTATACTATAATTCATATATATTTTTATCTATTAAGTAGGAATAAAAATTATTTCAAAATAAAAACAAATGTTTAAATCAAAATTTGAATTTGTGTAGTCATCATATTGGTCTATTAACTATAATTATTACAAATTAGTTTCAGATCAGTACAAATTAATTCAAAATACACTGAATAAAATTAAAGTAGACATTGTTGATATACAAAATCAAATTCAACATCAAAGTTTACAATTAAGATTAAACACTGGAAATGTAGATAACTCACTTAAATTACCATTTGAAACAGTTTTCGAAATTAGATGAGTTTGAGTTGAATCCCAAAGATGTGATTAATGAAAGAAGATGAGATTAATGAAAGTAGATTGGTAAATATTTCATTTAACAAAATAGGTAAATAGTAAAATTGTATAAATAATTAATATATTCTTATAAAAAAATTGTCTTCTAAAAGTTAGACATGTGAAATAACCTTCAAAAATGATATATAATTTATTAAAAAAAAGTGATGAAAAATAAAGTAGCTGGAACATTCAATTTAACAGAAAAATGAAATAAGAATGCATTTGGAAAATATAAAACAACTCAAATAATACAAAGTGAGTTGATATATTTTGTTTGTTAAATATTTTTACCTACATTAGTAAAATAGTTAATAAATATGAGTAATAATAATTAATAATAATAAGTAGTATGTTTGATAATGTGTTATAGTTATTAATGAGTAGTATATCTAGTGGAAAAGCACACTCTATATGGCTATGACTCATACTGAAATTTCAGGTTAAATTAGAACTTTTTATGTACATAGGTACTATATTTCACATAACTGTATCCATACCTGTCCATACTTAGGATATCATATTTTCATTATGTAAATGATTTTTGAGGAAGCAACAGGTTAATGTTAGATTAATGTAATTTAATGAAGTATCAATTATAATTAATATAAATACAATTATCAATATTTAAAAAGAAAACAAATTAGAAAACATAATTTTAAATAATATTAAAAATGTATATCTTTTTAATCTTTATTTGTATTGTTTGTGATCATTATAATTACCCAGCGTCTTAGATACTTTCTAGTTGTGGCTATGCTATAATGCTATAGTGGTGAATTGGCTCACCAGTTAAAATAATTTTCATATATGCATGCCACTGATAATAGTTATTAGATTAAAGTTAATATTGGGTATTTTTCTGTAAAATAATTATTCACTTCTATATTTTTCAGATGTAATCTATTCTTTACAAGGTATAACAGAAGTTGAATAATTGAATTTTTAGGACTATGGTTGTGTCAAGCCAGTAACTGTGGGACTAACTAATATATCATTATTTTTATCAATATTTAGGGATGAACACTATATCTACTTACTATATCTACTTAGAGACTGGTTTAGTTGTGATTTTTATTTCAATATAGTATATAATGATATTATATTCTTTTTTTTTTATTATTTAAAAAGTAAGATTCTATGTTAAATATTATATATATATATATATGTATAATTCAATATTCGTTTTTTTATTTGTATTTCAATATATTTTATGATGATATTATATCGGTTTTTGTTATTTATTTAAAAAGCAATTCTAAAGGTTGACTAGTTTTTTTGTATATAATATTTTCATTTTAATTTTTCTTATATTTTAAATAGTAAAAACAATGGTATTTTTTTTATTATTAAAAATTCTAACCTAATATTAGCTTACAGCTAGTAAGCTATCCATTATTTGTTTTATTGTTGATCAAAAAAATTTAAAAATACAAAAATTAATAATTATTAAACTGACATCAAAATCAATTTATATATTTATTGTGTTTTGATGTTTTGTGTGTATATATATATATACTTATACTTTAGTCAAATAAGTACTTAACAATTTTTAAGCAATTAATCCATAATTATTATCTATTTATAGTTAATTACTATAGTAATTACTAATAATTATAGTTATAAACATTTAAAGTTTATGTGGGCAGAATGAAGTAAAAGGTATAGGTATTATTATCATCAATTATTTTAACTTAATATAGAAAAAATTAAAAAAATTGCTAAAAAGCAATCACTAATATGAATAGTTCACATGGTATGATATAAATTATTGTTTGGTATTTAAATGTTTATCATATTTTAGACATAGTTATAATACAAATATTCAAGGTTGTTTAAATGTATATAAGACATAAATATAATACATATAATATAAATATTATAAAGATATTCAAAGTTTAATTAATGCAAAAAAAAGTTTATAAATGTATAACAAATAAATACATAATAACCATTTAGAAATCTATGTCTAATAAATGCCTATTTAATGCTCACAAGTAAAACCACTTCTAAATACATCTGTGGTTTATCATGAATACTCCAATGCTTAAATTTACTAAACTAAGTTTTGCACACTGGGAAATTAGTATAAATAAGTATAGTAAATAAATATATAAATAAAAAAAATATATATAAAAAATTAATAAATGTGTCACCTGGAGTATTATGATAAGTGTATTATACGTGTCATAATACTTCAGGCACTATCTGAAGTATTAATTAATTATTTTTTTTATTTTTATACACAATTTTTTTTTGTTTATACATTTATTTACAAGTATTAATCATTTTAATAAATTTGTTTTCTTTATTTTTTATTATAAAATAAGTATTATTATACTACTGTATATTAGTTTGAACTAGTGTATACTTATTAATATGAAAAAATATTCTAAAGTATAATAATTGTATTTTTTAAAAACCCCAGACAAACTGTAAACTGTTTTGATTCATCAAAAAATATAGATTGTCTATTAATTTCACTATTGACACTTATTTCGGACATGTTCAGACCGGCACAAAAATTGTCACAAGACTTGTGACACGAAAATGAAATAACTGTGACAGAAATGTAAACAATCGTTCATATGTACAGATAACTGTCAAACAGTTATTTCGTTATAAACATGTCATTGTGTCGAGCTTTTAGTAAACACTACTGTTAGTCGTTTACCAGTTAGTTGTGACCACAAAACCGGGTGAGTCTTTGTCAGTGGCTGGTGAAGTTGGATATGTTCAACTTTTGGTAGCAGGCAGCGGTGACTAATTGATCACGTGACTGCTGACACCAGCTGACAGCGCAATCCGACCACTATCAGCAGTGAGTAATATCGTACCACGTGGTCTTTTGGTTTTTTTTGTTAAAAAATTAATGATTTGAAGTGGAACGGTGAAGAAATAACTTGGTTTTTAAATATTTTTCAAAACTACTTAAGATTTCTTATCATTTTTTCTGAAAACTGTTTACTACCTTTAAAATGTTAAGTTAATTCTCCTTGGAACTTTGTCCCCACCTTTCCTTCTTTTAGGTTATGTTCATAATATTGCTGATGTCATTCTGTAGATAGTAATATGTAATTTTTTAGTCAGCTTGTTTATCATTTCTTGTATTGTTGCACGAGTACAAATGTACTAAAACGCGTACAAATATAATTTAATATATTTTGTATAATAAATTATCTATTGCTATCGGTCGATTGTGTGCATATTTTATCACATATTACATGTTTTTTCTCTTAGTTGTTAGGTTTTATTAAACAATGGCAAATAAATACAAATTCGACAAGGGTAAGTTTATGAAAAATAACATTTATGTTGCTAATGGATAAACTGTAATTATTGATAAGTAATACATACAATTCTATAAGCTATTTTAATATCTGATATGGTGACCATATAATTTACATTAGTACATTTTGATGATGCTGTCACTAACATAATGCATTATCTGTTCTGTCATAGCATAATGGTTCGGTCATACAGTAGACAAATCTGATCAGCTAATGGTGGTAATGTATTTGTATATGATGCATTTAGACAATTCAATATTTTGATGTGTAGTGCATTTATGTTAGATAATTATGTAATTTGTCAAACAACATTTTTGTTCAGGACAGATACCTGAAACTCATGTGTTTGTCTTACCAAAAGAATTTCTAATTTTTCTGTAATTGGTATAAGCATTGTAAAATAATAAAACAAAATTGTTTACTTCCTCCCTTCTCAATTAGCATATATGTGATTAGCTTAAAAAATGTATTTTTCTCATAATAGAATGTATTTTGTATTATATGGTAACATTACATTGTAAAAAATGTTCATTGATGTGTCTTGAACATCTTGCATACCTTAATTTTGAATTAAAATTATTATATTTTATACAGTTTTGTTACTTTAATTAATTTAAATCAACACTCTAAATGTGTTTCTATTTCAATTACATAGAGAAAAATTAATTATATCAATATTAAACTGTTATAATATATTTAACAAGGTAACACACAAATTTAAATTATTTTGTATCAAGATAATTAAAATATTGTACTTTATGAAATAATTAAATTATCTTAAGTGAATTTTGAAAATGTGTGATTATGTTGTGTTGAAAGGTTAACTATTTTTTTTTTTTTTAATTAGGTGATTGTTTATTGTGTTATGATGGAATGCTGTTATATGAAGCAAAATGCTTAGAAAGGAGGAAGATTAAAGGAATAATACAATATTTTATTCATTACAAAGGTTGGAATAAAAAGTGGGATACTTGGGTAAACGAAGATAGAGTTATTAAAGTTAACTTTGCCAATAAGCGTAAAATGGAATTATTAAAAGAAATACAGTAAGTTATATGAAATAAATCACCTTTTAATTAGATACCTAATATAGTTTATGAAATAAGTTTATTTTAATTTTCACGAAAAATAGTTCACCCTCAAAAAAGAATGCTGTCGCTAAAGAAAAAACTGTTCAAAATACTACATCCACTGTAAAAAAAATAAAAATCAAAGGTCAAGTATTTGAAATTTCTCCACAAAAATTCATACCAAGAATACGAGGCAATTAATTTAGTTTTTACTATTTTGAACTTTTATTTTATTTTAATTATTTATCATTACAAAATTTGCTATTTATTCTACTTAGGCATTCCTCGACAAAATGTTGTCCCTCAAATGCAGATAAAAAAAGTAACAAGAACCTCAGAAGCAACTGAAACAACTAAATTGATAGGATCAACCAAAAAAATGCACGGAACTGATGAAATTAATGTTAACACTGCTGCATTTGTTTGTACATCTGCAACTAATGCCAGTGTTGGGACTAAAAAAGCAAGTGATAAAGAATCAATTGAACATCAAGCATTAAAAGTGAATTTTGCAAATAAAAGTAAAGTGGAAGTTCTAAAAGAAACAAAGTAAATAATATAAAATAAATTATAACAAATTTATTATATACCTTATATAGTTTATTAAATAAGTCTATTAAAATTATGTTATCAGAAAAGTACTGGAAAATGTAAAGTCAAAAAAATCTGATGAATATAAAGCTCCTCCAAAGAAAAGAAGAAAACTAAAATTGATCTCATCAATTCCTTTAAAAAAAATGCTGGCTATGGATGTTGACAATATTGTAAGAGGCAAAGTATGTATTGATTAATTTATACACTTTTCAAATGTATAATTTTGTTTACTTTTTGTTAGGTATTAAAATTTCCAGAATATTTTACAGTTGACACATTGATTCGGAATTATATTTATAATGCAGACCCTGAAACACGGTAATAATTTAGTTTTATAGGTATAATGATTTTCAAACTTTTTAGAGGATGATATTCTTTTTATAATCAAATTCAGTCAGTATCCTGCTATATACTCTGGTAGACAAATAAAAATGAACATTATTTTCTCTTGGTATCCTATTGAAAAATACAATAAAATATTACATCACCCATATTGTATTAGTTTTATTAAAATATGGGTCTTTTTGTTTTTATCATTGCAAACAATTTTTAAAACAGAAATCTTGCTCCAATAATTAATTTCAGAAATGTTTTTTAGTTATTTAAAGCTATTTTAATTAATCATTTTTTCAGTTATAACTAGAGACCAGATTTATATTTTTTTATAATCCTCAAAAAGCCGCTTAAAAACACCAAAAAAGCATTTATAATCATTTAAATGTTAAATGATAGATAGGTTTTTAAGCCCCCCTCTAATGACTCAAAGTTATTAAATTAAATGTCCTAATTTTACAAAAAATTGTATTCATAAATTAAATCTATTAGAGGGGGACTATTAAACCCCTCTATTATTTTTGTGTATTTATATATTTTTTAGGTCATTTTTTTCAATACTTTTTGATGTTTTCAAGTATTTTTTTTGTATATTTTAAGAACATAAATTTGGCTTCTAGTTATAACTTGTTAGACTTATAATTATAACCAAACATAAATTATTTACTTATTCTATATATGAATAATTTTTATTTGCACCAGTTAATATGCTTAAATATTTGATACAATTTTAATTTTAAGTTGGGTAAAATAGATTAAAAAAATTGTGGTCATTTATGTTTACATTAATTTAATGAAAAGTATAATATTCAATTTAAATATATCCAAAAGTGTTCTTCAAAATTCTGGTTTTTGTTTGTAATGTGTATATGAATTAAATTATCTTATATATCCTACCTCTTCAACTGCCCACTATCACTGTGGCTTTTAAGGAATGACCACAACATTTTATAATTTTTAATTTATTATTGTTATAGAAAGGATGCAACTACAATGGGTCTATCCCTTATCAAAATGTTCCAATCAGTAATTGACAAGAGACATATATTTTACCCTAAAGAGATAAAGTACGATTTATCCAAAAAGGTAATTTATTTAATACATGTGAGGTATGTTCCTTCACATGGTCTCCTATTTTTTTAGTACATATGAATGATTTCATTTGGACATATATTACTACTTTGACTCATTGGCCGCTTGTATTTATTCTTAAAAGCTCAAAACTAATATCAGGACATGTTATGTACCTATATTGTGGGTAAATTGAATAAATAGTACATAAAAAAATAAAAAAAATCTGTTATAGCTTATCTAACTGTTATCTAACTTAAATAGTGTGGGGAATCACATACAACTTATCTCTACAGGAAATGAGGCATTATCTCAAAAGTTTTCTACTGGTCAGGTATTGGGTAATACATTAGGAATCTTCTTCCCGGTGAACATCATCATCTGACATCGAAATTCATGTTCTTCTTCTTCCTCCTTTATGGTATTGTCATTTCAAATATATAAAAAGAAAAATGTCATGGTTGATTGTCTTGTGGAACAAGGTTGAGTGGAGAGCTAACTTCATAGTGATTGTGTTAGTGATCATTTTAGAGTTGGCAGTAGAGATGGGTATTTGGATATCTTCTGATGTGATGATAGGCTGTAGCCTTATATAGGTACTTATAGGTACTTTTGTAAAAATTTGCCTGTGATGAGGGGAGAGTCTTGTTATTTTAAATGTTACTAGTACTAAAGTAATACTCTAATACTTTATAATATTACTGATTTTTAAGTAATGCTTTGCTAATTTTAATCTTTATTTATAGTAGGGATAGTTGTCTACATTTCTACCAATGTTTTCCCCCAAATTTTGGAGATTTTGGTTTTTGTTATATCGTTATACTTTTTAACTGGATACTAAAAATCCATTATTTTTGAAGATTAATTCCATTTAAATACATAATTAATCTGATTGATTAATACATTTATTGCAAATAAATTAATTAATTTTTACTTTACCACAAAAAAAATGAATTTTTAGAATACATGTTCTTTGTAGTATAAAAGGGAAAAATAAATTTACTAGAGTAGAAGTTTATAATGCTGAAATCACAATATTTTTTTTAATTTCTTGTTATTAAACTTCAACTTTGATTTTTTTTTTTAATAAGAAATCATATTAAAATTCCATAAAAATTAAAATAAATTTTAATGTTGATATTTTAAATTGTTGTCAACTTTTTCATGAGATATTCCACTTATCACTTTAGGCAGGAGAAGAGTAGTGGAACATTATTCAAATACCTGGTACTATGCCACTATAAAAATTATGCTCCATTACAGACTCTTAAACTACACTACTAAATTCCCAAAATCAGTATTTACATGTATAAATAAATGTCTATTTTTTTTTATTGTTTTAGGCCAAGGATCACTATCTTAAAAAATTGGAATCTGGATCAATAGAAGGACATTCCTTGAATCGCCATGTTCATAAAAATGAATATTGGCATTATACATACCATCCTACATATCTTTTACGATTACTTGGTATGTAAAACTTATATATACCATTTTAAACACAATTTTATGTTATTTTATCTTATGAGTGACTAGTTGTCCCCTTGATGTTACCCTTGCTAAAAAAAAGTACAGTCAAACAATAAATTAAGTAACCAGTTTTTCTAACTTGTTAGTTGTGGTCAATTTTAAAGTTCCTATTACTGACTATAACTAACTTGCATACATTTTCTCTTTCTCATAATTCCTATGTGTGCTACTTACTATTTATATAATAATTTCTGCAAATGATGCAATTAGCTGAGGCCCAGCAACCTAAAAATGTTTACTTTATTTAATTTATTATTGTTACTTACATTATTCTAATATTTTGAAATTTATCTATTCAAGAATTTATTTATTGATTCAAGTATTTATTTAAGTATACTTAGTAAACTTTTAAGTACCTGTTATGTTATGTGTTTTATAATATACCAAAGAGAGCTCATTAATTATAATTAATGAATATATTAACTACTGATTATTGTGCAATGCATCAACTATTACAGCTCTTATACTTTTTATTTAATTTTTTTCAATTTCATGTGAATCACCAAGGTAATCTACAATCAACAAAAATAATTTGAATTTTGTACCAAAAATATCAATAACTATGTGTGAGACCCCTTTTAGGAAGGATTTGGAGGAAAATGTAGCCTATAAGTTATTTCTGGTCTAAAATTACTTTTATGCAACATTCCTGATTAATCAAGTCAATAGCCAAACTAACTTACACATTTAATTTTACTGTGGGTTATCTTTAGGAGATAGACATATATCATCATTTATTCAGTCCACCTTTTTAAGATAACATATAATAAATTCTGTAGTACATTATATTAATGTATTTCATGTAAGTGAAAAATTTATTTTTTTTAAATCTACTTTCTTAAGTTTTCTATAAATAAAACAATATGAAAATTGTATTATACAAAAACCTTCAGGAAGAAAAAAATTATCCAAATGAAAACCATATCAAACTCAGTTGCATAGTTTAAAAGAGTAAAATTCACAAACAAATAGAAGAGAATAGCATTGTTATATTTTATTTAGATATTTTATAATTATTTATGAAATATTGAATATAAATCACATCTTCTTGTGGTTTTTATTACTCTCTAAGAGTTTTTGCCAACAAAACTTCATTGCACCACCTTTCACTGTCAAGTGCCAGTTCTATCCATGTGTCAATTTCCATTTCTTTTAAGTCTTTCGCTGAATCCATCCATCTTTTCCTAGGTTTTCCTGAGGTTTCTTTCCAAGTGGTTTCCACTCCATTACTGACTTGACTATATTATTCCCCCATTTTCTCATAATGTGTTCAAGCCACTGTAGTCTTTATACTTTAATACAGCTGGTCACTGATGCTACACCAACCATTTTGTACAGTTTCTTTCAGTATCTTCTCCAACTATCCATTGCTACATCATAGATGGGGCCACATATTCTTCTCAGGGTCTTATTTTCAAAAGTTTTCAGCCTACTTTTAATTTGTTTGGTTATTGTCTATGCTTCACAACCTTATGTTAATGTTGGTCTTATTATTGCAACATGAAGACTTGCTTTGGTCTTTCTTGAGAGTTAGATCTGAAGAGTTTTGTCAGTGCGAAAAACGCCTTTTCCGCCTTACATATCCTAATACCTATTTCCTTGGTCCAGTCATTTTTTATACTTAGAGTTGCACCTAAGTACTTAAAGTCTTCTACTTTATTTTACAATAACTGTTCTGTGTCCCCAGGCTTCATCATATTGAAGTAGTTCCATTATTTTAGTTTTATTATTGTTAATTTGAAGACCTATAACTTTTGCCACATTAGCAAGCAGTCTGGTTGTGGGTAATGCGTTTTCTAAGGAATTGTCTATAATATCAGTCAAGTCATCTGCAATTCTGATAATGTTCATTGTACTTTGGTTTATTTGGATATAACATTCATTGACTCAAATTTCTCTTACCACTTTCTCTAAAACTAGATTGAAAAGCACTGGAGATAGAGAGTCTTCTTATTTCAATTCTGTGTCCTCTGAGAAAGGTGACCACAAGACCACAATTCGTTATCCACTTTCACCCTGTATTTTTTTTCTTCCATGTACATTCTTGTTAGGGTCATTCAGGGTTTGGACACATACTGGTTGATAATATCTTAATCATTTTCATAACAAATTATTAAAATAACTCAATTTGCTTTGTGATATTTGTTACAATATGGACAATGGGTATTATAAATTGATTAATGCTCAGGTGTTAACTGTTTGTAATACTTTTATTTTAAATAACTATAAGAGTAGATCTTAATCAGGAGGATATTTAGAATATGACTACAGGAGTGTCATCATACAATGATAACTCCTCAACTTAATCTATGTTACGAGTGTTATTATATTAATATTTTGCTTTCATTTTTAGATAGCATACCAAAAGAAAAGGCTAGCAAAATGATGGAACATTTTTTGATGTAAGTGTACATTTTTTACTTTTTTATTGTATAGTGTAGATCAATGGTTACCAAATGGCAGACTGCCAACTTGGTAATTATAATTCACAAATTACTTAATTCTTTAAACAAACATTCTGAATATAAGTCAATATGAAATCAACTACTTTATTTTTAATGATCAAAGATCATAAACTTTTTCCATACCCTTTCCTATAATTTTGACATATGTATTATGAAATATAAAATTTAAAAAAGGGGTAATAGTTTTGATAATACATTATAACTTTTTTTTCATTTTTATATTGTTTAATATTTATTTTTCAGGTTTGTGGAAAAAAATCTTGATCTGTACTTCAGTGAACAGGAATACATTGATATGTTTTGAATACATTGATTATTTGGTTGTAAAATACCTAAAATTTTAACTTTATTTTTGAATCTAACTTTTAAATGTAGTAATATAGGTATACTATTATCATTAAGGCCTAGATTTGTATGCATTTACATGCTTTTTTTTTAACAATCCAAAAAGTAGCTGGATAAGCTACAAGTTTAAATTATAGTAAATAGATCTTAAATACAATGTTTTATTTTGCATATTTTTGCAAATTTTGTCATTTTTTGATGTGTACTACATATTTCTGTATTTTAGACATTTCGTTATAGTTATAGTTATTCGTTATATATTATTTGTTATAGTTTAGACATTGCATTATAGTCAAATACCTATGTGTTTTAAACCTATTTGTTTTACTATTGTTTGTTGGTTTTACCCACATATACCTATTGTTCGTAAGAAATTTTCTTTCTTAGAATATCTTATCACTTCTGGATAAAAATAATTCGGTGGGGACTAGTTTTAATTGTTTTTGTTTGCTATATATTTCAAGTACACATTTTTAGTGATAATCAGTGCATAAATGCATGCATATTTCATACATTTTTGTGCATATAATTCTGGGCCCTAATTATCATTATTAAATATTAACTATAAATAATTTACTGTAACCCCGCCTTTTTAACTTAATTTTCAATGTTAAGACTACTTTGTACTTGTTTGTTAACTAATTGTACAAACATAAAAATAAACTCAATGTAAACTAGGCTTGTCTCCCATTAAATACAAATAAATAAATAAATAATGGAGTAATATTTTCTTTTCAAATATTACTGGGTTCTTTTCAATCACTTTTGTTGAAGGTTACATGCAAATGTACCATACCATAATATTATATAACAAACAAATATTACAATTTTACTTCAAAAACTCATTTTCTGTACAATTACTTTAAAACAAAAAACATAACTCTTATTGTAATAACATAAAATACAGCATTTTTGAAATAATAATAAGTTATACATTAAGAAATTAAAATAATGTATAACAATTTCAATGTTATAGTTTATTTAATAGTCTTATAGTTTTTGAAATAATCAAATATAATCACATACATTTAGTATCTTATTGAATAGTACAATGGAATAATTAGGTAATAATTTATAGTAATAATAATAAATATACGAACCAGTCTTTTGGGTTCATTTTATAATAAAAATAGATAAATTTGTTAACATAAAATGTATACTATAATATAAATTTATCTATAATATGATAGGATTCATACTGTCTTAAAATAATATATCATATTTATTGTACAACATATTTCATCTTTTTTCTGTAGTGTTCATACTAATATTAAGAGAAATACAAGAAGAATTAAACTAACTGGATGTTTTTTTTAACTATAACTTTAAATAACAAACCATAAATTGTCCTCGTATTTCTATTAATAGTAAAATTACAGTGACTGATAGGCCTGAATGTATGGTTGAATGTTAGAGTTGTAGTTCTTCAAATACAAAACAAAATTAAATTTACACAAAACAAACACAGACATACTTCAGCACAAGGGTGGTTCTTTATTGGTGAGAAGTTGAGAAAGTAGAGGGTAAATTTAATGTATACCTGTTAGCAACCATAAACCATTGCTAACAAAGAAACGATTCTGAGTTAAGTTAATAGTGATGCTTTATCAACATTAAATATAATGTTTTGTATCATATTATGGTAAAATATATATTATATATTTACTCTAAAAATATTTGTTTAATATTGTACCTATTTTCGCAGTTTCCCATGGTTTTCCCATAAATTGGTAAAACTCCAAGGAAAACCAAAAAAAAACGTCATTACAGTACCTTCCCAGTCAGATTTTCTTTCAAAAAAAGTAAAATTGCTAATAAAACAAAAAAAAAAAGAAACATTGTAAAACCAATGCATTCCTCAGTTACTTCAGAATCTAAAATTTAAATAAAATAATTATATTTACATTTAATAAAAATTGTTTACAAAATTTTTATTGTTAATCTACTATACCTATCTACTTCTGAACCAATGACAATGCCAAATACCAATTTGGTATTTCTCTCTGAGGGGGGGGGGATCTGATTAAGGTTATCACCGTGTGTATTTTTGTCTTTGAACATTATTAAAAATTTAACATTCAATGAGTTGCTGTTTGAATTTATTAACTACTTTTATTTTGTAAAGAAATAAACTACTAAATAGGTTATAGGTTCAGGTTGTTTTTTGTGAAATATGCATGTGTTAATTTTTAAAATTTACAATTTCACAATGGATTTATTAAGAAAAATCAAACTATTAGCATATCAGGCTAATTGGCCAATATAGAAAAATAAGTATCAGGTTGCAGTCAAGCATCATGAGGATACAGGTTAGATGTTCTTGGTGGAAAATTGGAATAGCCTGAACCATTGAATGAGGATGATAGATATCTGCTAAAGAAAAGGAGTATGAACAAAAGTGCACTGTATATTATAAAGCTGACAGTTATGTTTAACCATGATGACATCATGACAGATGATGTATATCAATAGATCATGGATCATAAATCATGCATATGGTGCATGACAAGTGTTGAAACAACAATTTGAAGCAACATCAAAAGATCAAATATTCAAAGTAAGTGATCATTTTTTTCTCTTTTTTTGTGGAATACAAGTGAAGATGTGTCTACTTAAATAGTAAAACTAAAGAGTTTGTGGAAGGACTTAAACACTGGACTTGCAGCGAGAAATGAGAGAAATGCAAGATTTAATATTAATGGGTACAATTCTTCAAATTCTACCAAACAGCTTTGAAGTATTTAGATCTAATTGGATGCTACTGATCAAAAATTATTAGACAAATCTCGATGGATTGACCACACAGCTGTGTATGTTTGAAAGAAATCACTGAAGACAAAATAATTGCAATGGATTATCACAAGATGCACTTGTGAAGACTGGTCAATTCAAGCAAATTAACAAGAAGAAAATAAATAGCGAAAAAGCAAAAACAATTTGTTATTATTATGGTCTTAAAGACTTTTATAAAACTGAATGCAGAACATGGATAGCTGATGGAAAGCTATCCATCCAGAATCAAGATTAAACAGGAGAGAGTAAGAAAAATGTTGTAACTGCTGCTGATACTACTATGGCTCTTGTGACAGTTTGTAATGAAGTCTGTTAAGTTGAATTAAATTCAGCAAAATAGTGGACTGATAATGGTGAAATCAAACATGTCACAAATTGTTTAGATTTGTTTATTGATTTTCAAACATTTAAAATTCCTTGCAACGTCCAAGCAGCTGGAAAGTAAACTCTCCAAGCAGTCGGTTAAGGATCAGTTTGAGTTTTGTCAAAAATTGATGATAAAATTAAAGAACTGATATTGAAAGATGTATGGTACGTTCCAAATATTAAAAAAAAATGTTTTCTCTATAGTAGAAGCTCAAGATAGAAATCCTCAAAGTAAATTCTTTTTTACAACAAAATTTTGGTTGAAAACTGATGGAAATATAATACTGCGTGGAGTTTAATTCAAATCAGCCAATTAATGCCAATCGTAGGATTGTAGGAGACAATGCTACAGTCAATAATTCTTGGGAAAAAAATTGAAATAAATGTTACTGCTGCAAGGAAGTCAATGTTGAAGCTATATCACAAAAGATGGAGACATCAAAATAAACGACATGTAAAAAAACTACTTGCAAAAGAAAAAGACATTCAGATAATAGTAGATAGAGAGATTTGTGAAGCATGTGTGTATAGTAAAGCACATTGCCTGCCATTTGGTACCAGAAAGATGTATCAAAGTCTGGTGATTTAATATCAAGCGATGTTTGTGAACCATTCAAGGATTAATTTTCAAAGAAATGTTATTTAGTTGTTTTTAAAAATAACTACGAAATTTCATTATGCATATTTACTCAAGAATAAAACTAAAATTCAACAAGTATTTAAACATATGTTAGCACATGCAAACAAGCAAGGACATTCAATCAAGGAGTTATTGAGCCATAATGGTGGCTTCATTGCTGAAGTTATATTTGATTAAAATGATATTATACAACGATTAACTGCACCCTACATTCCTCAACAAAATGATGGCAGTGAACATGGAAATAGTACAATTGTTGAAATGGCTAGAACATTCAAATATTCTAACAAAGATGAGATTTTCCCTGAGGCAATTTGAACTGAGCTTGTGACTACTATGATATATATTCTTAACAGAACAAGAAAAAGTTGATGGTAAAAGTCCATCTGAGCTGTGGATGGGACAGAAACTAAGAACAAGTCACCTACATATTATTGGTTCAACCTGTTATTTTTATGTTTTTACTGAAAAAAATAAGAAAACTGATCAAAAAGCTGAGTAAGGATATTTGGTGGGATATGATAGTGATTAATGATACAGGGTTTATATACCAGAAAATCATCAGATCATTTTGTTCAGAGATATAATATTTCAAGAAAAAATAAGTGACTTTGAAAATAAAGAAATAGCTTTGTTGAATGGTTCTGTACATGAAAAGGAGGATGAAGACAGACTTGTAAGTAATGACTTTTTTGAAGATAAAGTTACTTTAGAACATGATACAAGCACATATGAAAAATATCGAACTGGTAATTTAAAAGTCTGAACATGAAGAAGAGATTCTATAGAGATAACTCAAAGATCGTTCAATACTCAAGAAACCAAAACACTCGGATGACTTTATGTTAGCAGATGGGTTTGTCTGTGAAACAGAATACCCTGAGAAATTTCAAGAGGCCTTAGATAGTTCACAAAGTACTGAATGGAAGAAAGCAGTAAGGAGGAAATTGATTTTCTAAAAGAAAATCAGACTTGGGAACAAACAAGCTTACCAAATTATGCCAAGGCAATTCAGTGCAAATAGATGTTTCGTTTAAAGACAAATCCTGATGGTGGTGTTGATAAGTACAAAGCAAGGTTAGTCATCAATGTTATGGAATTGACTATGATCAAACTTTCAGTTCAGTTGCAAAAATGGCAAAAAAAAATAAACTAAAAAGCAAAGAAAGTTCTTGAACGTTTGGATTTTCAAGTTGCTAACAGATTTCATCTCCAATACTGAAAGGTGCTGATGTATCACAATCAAGAAAAGATGATACTAAGAATCACAATTATCCATACAGACAAGCTGTTGATGCTTTGGTGTATTTAATACTAGGCCAGATCTTGCATATCACACAGTATTATTGTCAAAGTTACTTGAAACACCATCACTAGAAAATGTTGTTAGAGTAAAAAGAGTCTTCCGATACATTGCTGGAACTGTCAATCTTGGAATATAATATCAATGTAAAGTGAACAAGGATGTGTTGAAATGTTTCAGTGATGAAGTTTTGGTGGTTTTACAAAGACTGGCAGATCAACCTCTGATGTGTTCATTAAATATACAGGTGGCACAACCTCTTGGCTCAGTCAATGACAAAGAGTAGGAGCTACATCAACCACAGAAGCTGAAATTGTAGGTGCGAATGAAGCCACCAAAAAAATAATTTGGTTGACTAAACTGTTCGAGGAAATTATAAAGTTGCAATCTATTCCTGTGCTACAAGTTGACAATTCTGTAGCAGTATGACTTCAGACTTGCCCGAAGTCCTGAGTTTCACCGAAGAACCAAACACATCGTAACAAACATTTTTTCATCAGAAAAAATGAGACTGAAAGAAAGTTTGGGATCCAACAAATTCCAATGGAGAAGCAAGTTGCTAACATCATAACAAAGCCACTGCCAAAGACAAGATTAACAATTTTGTTCCAAGAAATGTAACTTTCTAAGTAAAATTTTTATTAAAATGTAACTTCAAATTACTAAAGGAAAATATGGAAATCCACAATCAAGGTGTTAATTTATAAGTTATAATTTTCTTAGTTCATAGGTAGAGTCACTTGTTCTTAATGTTTTTTTTTTTAGTATCACAACTATTTCTGTTAAGAAAGTTTAAAGTAAGAAAAATTGAAGGTTACCACCCTGTGTATTTTTTCTTTTACATTATTAAAAATTATACATTCAAAGAGTTTCTGTTTGAATTTATTTCAAAGTAAAGTAACGTCTATAGAAAATATTAATGAAATTTCTAGAATTGATCATTATTGAAGGCAGTTTTTATATATTCAAGATAATTCAAATAATTTAAAATTTCCTATCATTGCTAATGTTATTACAGTACAATTTTCTTTAACACATGGAAATGCTTTTTGTTTTTCTTTGTCAAAACTTCTTTGTCATTAAGAATGTTAAATGCTCGATTATATATTAAAAATGTATTAAAATTGTATTGTAATAAACTGGAGTTTGTACCTATTACAAAAAAACTCTCAGAAAGTCAGACAATTCTTCTTATAAAAATTATTAACAAAAATAAAAACTTGAAAAAGAAACTAAAAAACATAAAGATGAAAATAATTTGAGGATAGAAAAGGATCTACAATTGAGTAATAAAAAAAAAAAAAATGAAATTTGGAAGAAACTGAGAAAAAATTATTAAAGTTATTACAAAAAAGCCTACAGAAAGAAAAAAGAAGGCAATGACAAATTCAATGAAGAAGCATTAGAAAAAATTAAAAAGTATTAAAAAAGAAGATCTTAAAGAAATAAAAATAACTCAGTCTTTACTTTACAAGAAGGAATTTCATCACAAAAAAAAAAAAAAAAAATGAAGGAAGAGAATTCATAGGAATTAAATAGTTTACAAAAATAAATTTATAATTATAATGTCGATAACATTGTTAGAACAAAAATAAATATTGTAATATTATTTATGTTATTATTTTTTTTTTATTAGTAATTTTAGTTATCAAACAGAAAGTTTCTGTATATTATTAGAAAAATTTTAAATTTAGTTTAGTTCAAATTGTTAGTAATTTTATAAAGTTAAAAATTATTTTTAATTAATTTTGTTAAGCTTGCATTTAAACCTAACCAAATTTAAATTACAATTTGTTCCTATTTGTATATGCAATAATTAAAAAGAGACTGTTATTAAGAAAAACATTAATTCATTAATATAAAATATGTTATTTGTTTATTATGTATACTATTTGAGAATAAATTACAAATATTTCAATTATAATAACATATTTATAAATTAAGCTAAACCTTATGATACTTGATGTATTTAGGTAAGTAAATTTTTGGACACTTTTTTATAAATATTAGTCACATTATCCACTATTTTAAATACAACACATTGGTGGCAACTCTGTATTTTTAGACATTTTAATTTTAAGTGTTTGATATGTAATTTTTATTTGGTAATTACTGTGTAGTAAAATTATTGCAAATTTAACGGGAGGTTCATTAAAAGTCTTACTTTGTGGTCAAAAAAAAGATTTGAGTTTAACGTAGTATTTTTTTCTTTTATAAAGGAATTTTAATATTAAATTTCGACGAAAATCGTTGAGTAAAAAATTATGTGGAAGAAATATAATTGAACAATTTTTTTTTTTTTGAACACATATATATTACGGATTTGAGAACGATGGTGATGTCAGAATTGAGCGAACTAAGTTTCGAAATTATAGCTTTATGAAGTTCTGATATTATGTGGATATTATATGTTATGCTATATAACTAAATATTGTCTTTATTAAACTATATCTATCGTAGCTGAATGGTTATACATGCATATTTTCATCCTAGGATTCGCAAGTTCGAAAAAAAATTGTTTGTATTTTTTTCCCCCTTTTACCTAAACAAGGAAAAGACAAATGCATTTTGGGTGTACCTAAGTCCCAACCTAAGACCCAAACCATCGCTCGCTTGGACTATTTTAATCACAAAATACCCTTAGATTTGTTGTGCAAACATTTCTAACAAAAAAACTTGCTCCGATATATGAAGTGTACATTTTTTTTATTGATTTCCCTAGAAATTTTCCAAATAAATTGGAAAAATCGTGGAAAATAGGAAAATATACAAAATACATGAGTAAAATATCATGATTTTTTTTTTTTGTAGACAACTCTTCTACTAGCAATTTTGCTCCGATTTACAATGATAGCACTTTTTCTGAAAGGAAATCTGACTAGAAAGGTAATTTAAGTGGGCTATTTTTGGATTTTCTCAAGAATTTTCCTGACAAATGTGAAAAACCGGAGAAAACATGGGAAAAACGGGCAAATTCAAATCAATATTAAACAAATATTATTAAAGAAAATATATGACGTCTATTTAATTATTTTACCATAATGTGACATATATATTGTTGATAAAGCATCACTATCAACTGAACTCCGTTCAGAATCGATTTTTCGTTAGCAATGGTTTATCATTCCTTACAGATATACATTAAATTCTCTTTTGTATCCTACCTTCCCAACTTCCCACCTACAACAGTGGCTGCACCCGTCTCCAGTATCCTAAGAAAATTAATTTAGATAGTATTTCTAGAATATTTTAAATACATTTGGTAAAGTTTTCGGAATATTTTGGAAATAATATTATTGTGAAATATTCGAATATATATTCTGAATACTTTTATTTATTATGTATTCTTAATAATTTTTAAAAGTATTTTACCCATGTCTACTAAAACGTCTTTTTCTAATTTTTGGTTTAAACATATTTATATGTACACTGTCGATTATGGAACGGTGGTGAAATAAGAATTGAGCGGACTGACATAGTTTCGAAATTATAGTTTTTTAAAGTTTTGATATTATATTGTACGTTATGTTAAATAATTATATAATATTGACATACTTAAAATATGGTAGTCTAATAATATTAATAATATTATATGCCTATTGGCATCCAAGGTGTCGCGAATTCAAACTCGAGTTTCGAAACAAATTGTTTGCAAAATCGTAATATTTCACTAATGTAATTTGTACATTTTTCCGCTTTTTTCGGTTTTTCCATGTGATGAGATCACTCCTGAAAAAAATTGAAAAATTACATCCCTACAACAATTTCCTTTCAGAAAGGATGTTACACTAAAAAATCGGAGAAATTTTTTGGTACAACAGTTGTCCACAGGAAAAAAGAAGGCCATAATTTTTTTTTAACTATGATACCTTCATTTCGTATATTTTCTGTTTTTCCGAAATCTTATCCCGGTTTTTCGCAGATATTATGAAAACCACTTGACAAATTAAAAACTGACCTCCCTAAAATATCATGTTGATAAATTTCATTTCAGAAAAAATTTTACGATTAAAATAGTCCGAGGGAGCGATGGCTTGGGTTTCTAGGTACACCCAAAATGTATTTGTTTTTTCTTTGTTTAGGTAAAATTGGAAAAAAATGCAATTAATATTGTTTGAAACCCAGACTTGAACTTGTGACTTAGATTACGACAAACATTCTTTATAAAGACAATATATATTTATTTAACATCACATATATAATATCAGAATTTCAAAAAAATATAATCTCGAAAATTAGTCAGTCCGCTCAATTCTGAGTTCACCATTGTTCTTAAATTGACAATATGCGCAATATGTTCAAAAAAAATAAAAACTGAAGAATTATGTTTGTTCCACATAATTTTTTACTCAAATGTTTTTCGTCAAAATTTTATAATAAAATTCCTCTAAAAAAATACTAGATTAAACTCAATTTTTTTTTTTTACCACAAAGTAATACTTTTTATGAACCTCCTGTTAATTTTTCACGCATTTCTATTAAGTATAGTAATTTCACCACACAGTACCTATACCGAATAAAAACTACGTACAATACTCGCAAAATTAAAATATCTATAAATTTCTCAAAAATGTTACCAAAAGTAAATATAAGTTTTCTGTTCAAATTTCAAGTCTCTACGATTTTTTTAACTGAATTACGACAAAAAACAAAATTGATAATGATAAAAGCATTATTTTTCCAACAAATGTTAAAAACCGGAAAAAAACACGGGAAAACCGAAAAATTATCTCCCTAAAGTACTTTCTCAGTCAGATTTTCTTTTAGAAAAAGTACTATCATTGTCTGTACAAAATTTCTACCAGAAATCTTGCTCTGATATGTACGATGGTACAATTTCTGAAAGAAAATATTGACCAGATGGTACTTTGGGAGGTCATATATTTTTTTTCCATAATTATATCTAGTAAAATCAGGATAAAAAGTAAGAAAACAGGAAATTTACAAATATAATGCTTTTATTATTTTCAATTTTGTCTTTTGTTGTTGTTCAGTTAAAAAAAATTCGTAGAGAATTGAAATTTGAAAAGAAAATTTATATTTGCCTTTTCTTTTAGTAAAATTTTAGAACAATTTATAGACATTTTAATTTTACGAGTTTAGTACATATTTTTTATTCGGTATAGGTACTGTGTGGTCAAATTTGTATACTTAACAGAAATGCGTGAAAAATTAACAAGAAGTTTTTTTTTTTGAAAAGCGGGTAGCTCAAATTAAAATAAGGATAAATAAGGACGTAAATGGGTACCTTAATAGAAGAAAAGCTATTCAATGAAATTACTTGAT